TCTCTAGTCTCCCTAGGTCGAAATTCTAGACTTTTTGTCGCCTTCTTCCTGTCTCTATAGGTACCTAGCCGCCCTATACTTTACCAGCATAGCCGAAGCTATCTGTTTCTACCTGCGACCGCGTAGAGGTGTGCAATAGGACTTCGCAGGCGATGTACATGAATTAGTGTGCCAATTCCTTTGGAGCAGAGGCGGCCAACGAGGGGAAGATACTGACTGCGAGTGGATGAGAAGTACCACTAAGGGCCCAAATTTGTATATCTGAGTTCGCTTTTCATATTAAGTATCTATGCCTAAACACCCCATGACGAACAGCGTCATGAATAGACAAGTAGCCCACATCCACAGCTTTCCCTCGCCGCTGTGCCTTCCGGCCGCTGCTCCAGTAGCTTGCAATGCGGTGCTGGCAGTCTGACTTGATCCACCACTGGCTTCCCTGGAAATAGTCCTAGTAACAACTACAGTTGTCGACGGTGCTAGGTCCAGTGTCCTTGTACTCGTTCCCGAGATGACCACGATCTGAGTTGGATTCAACAAGCTCAAAGTCTGGCCGTTCACAACAACAGTTTTGCCCCTTGCACTATCAAGAGTACGGCTGCCTCCAATGACAAGTTCTGATTCAAAGCCAATGAAGGAAATGGTGTCGCTTCCTGCAGTGATTGCGCCAGCGGCTCCAGCTGTGACGACTGGTGCTGCGGTTATGCCTGCAGCAGTAGCCTCGATAGGTGTGGTATGTCCATTGACCACTATGGCGCCTCCGTCGCTAGCCAGTGAGTACGTGCTGCCGCCGGCCACGACCTCGGATCCATCTGAAAGCGTCTGTCCGTCGATGACCAACGCTCCATCTCCTTGAGCGGTCAGTGTTGCCGCTGGGAGTGTGATTTGCGGAGGCGAGGCTCCTGCGACAGGAGTTGTGCTCCCATCGATGACCAGAGCCGTGCCACTTGGGGCCAAAGACAACGTCGTGCCGCCGACAACCACAGCCTCTCCGCCTGGTTGCAGCGTTTGTCCGCCAATCTCAATGTTACCAGATGGGTCAGCTGTCAGAATTCCACTCCCAAGGCTGACTTCAGCTGCGGGAGCTGCGATTGGGGTCGTCGCGTCGTTGATCACGACCGCGGTCCCGCTTGGTGCAAGTGACAGTGTATTGCCACCAACAGTCACTGCAGGGCCTCCGGGTTGCAAAGTCTCGGTGCCGATCTCAAAAGATCCATCCGGGTTCGCGGTGACCGACCCGCCGCCGACAATCACTTCATCACCAGGTTCGAGCTGTGAGGGCTGCTCTCCAGAGGAGTTATCACCAGAATCGTTACCTGCACCATCGGGCTGAGCTGCACTTCCGGTTGGCGTCGGCACTAAGCCAATACCGCTGGCTATAGCATCCCCGGCACTTGGTGATTCGGACTCATTGTCATTGTTCTCTCCAGGGTTCTCCGCGGGTTCGGTGCCTGGAGAGTCATTGTTCTCCGGTGGTGGCTGCGCAACGCCATCTTCGGATTCATCATCCGCGTCAGGTGCAGGCGCTGGAGAGGTGTCCGATGAGTCGTCCTCCGGTGTTGGCTCTGGAGTACCAGGTGTGCCTTCGTCGTCCTCGTCGGGTGCTTCTGGCGCCGGCGCGGGAGCATCAGGAGTGCTCTCATCATCCTCGTCCGGCGTTTCTGGTGCGGGCTCGGGAACAGCAGGAGTGTCTTCGCCATCGTCATCAGGCGTCTCAGGCGCTGGCTCAGGAGTGGCAGGGTCATTGTCATCGCCCTCATCAGGCGTTTCTGGTGGTGGGTCGTCGGAAGAGTCATCCCCCTCCTCTATGGGGAGTGCCGTACCTGTCGGTGGTTCATCGTCAGGTGTTGAGTCCGTCGGAGTGGGCAGATTCGTTTCCGGCACATCTGAACCTGGTCCACCAAGTGTTGGACTCGGGCTTGGATCTCCGTTTGCAGTTGTTGTTGGTGAGTTGGGACTCGTCAAGGTACCAGGCAGGGTCATAGTTACATCGCTTCGTGCTGTAAGCTGTGAGACTGGGATGTGCACCGTGGGTTCTCCGGCACCAGGCCCAGGTTTGCAAGTGCCAACAAATGGCCAAGTCGCGATGATTTCAGGTATGCCAGCAAGGAACTCCGGCAGGTCGTCTGGAAGCGAGAACTCGTAAGTGCTGCTGGAGTCGCCCTCATCGGTCATGTTCGCCAGTTCCATGTATTGCTCGAAGGTGAAATCAGCGTTCGCAATTTGTGACGGTAGCGGCATGGCGATCGTGCTTGTCTGCATGATGGGATCTCTGTTACCGAGCGTTCTAGTACCATCACATGGCTGGCTCGTTTGGATCCACATATGGCTGAACCATAAATAAGGCGTCGGAGACGTGAACGTTAAATGTTGAAGTTCATAGGCCATCGTTGTTGCTGCGAGGACCTGGCTGGAGGCGTACATCAAGGCATTTGCTGGCAAAAGATTGTTTGGCACTCCACTGAAGCGTTCAGACCTGGTTTCGGGCAGGAACTTGGTCGAAGTAGGGAGTGTGAAAGTTTGTGTAGTCGTTGCAAGAGTTTCCGTAGTGACGCCCACAGCGGTAGAAGCGTCGCCGGTGATCCAGCTATACCATCCAGTCGGGGCCGTTGCGTTTGCGACAAACTTGGTGGTCGAGTTCTGAGGCACTGCTGAGCCATTACCGTACTGCACCCAGGTCGTGATCACTGTAGCCACTGGAAACTCCATCGCTGAGGAGTACCAACTGTTGACGCCAACAGCGTCGGGGTAGACATAGCAGCATGTTGCGGCCGCGTCTGAAGTCGTGTTCCCAATTGTAGTTGAGTTGGCAGAGAGGGTCGGGGCCACAGTCAAAGTTGGACCACTTGTGATCAAAGTACTCGAGCTGGACAGTGTCGATGAAGTATCTGTGCTTGTCTGTGCAGCATTTGTCGTGGTTGTCAAGCTGCTATTTGAGAATGCTTGTCGTGGGAAGTGTAGGGCATCGACAACACTTCCAATTGTGGTCAATGTCCATAGATAATTTAGTCCCATGTTGGGCGTGAGAAGAGGCCGTGTTGTCGCACCCACGATGTCGTACCTAGTCTATCAGTGTACTATTGTCATCGCACGGATTAGTAGGAGAGTACAGATGTAGAGAACAATAAAGAAGCCCAAACGGGTGGCGGGTTGCTCAAGACAGATGCGACTGGCGCAAGGCCCACTTCGTCTTTAGCGATACTCCTGCTGACCCGGCAAGATGCATCGGACCAGGCGATGTCAACAGCGTGAGATCTAGCCCAGGTCAGGCTTGATGGGGACATGAGTGCTGTGCGGACTCAAGCGAAAGGAATGCATATGCCTCCGTCTGCGGCTGAAGGCGGTGCGACTTCAATTCGGAGCCATGCACCTTGTGTCTGTCGACTTGATGCTCATGCTCCAAATTCTGCGTCCTGTTCGAGGCGCGACACGCTTCGCGATGGCTTCTTTCAAGAGCCATAGAGCCGGCTCTACTTGGAGGTAGGGCTTCAGAGGATCGTTATCCTTGATATTGGGGGGTTTTCAGCTCCGTCTGTGCAGCGCAAGAAGGAAGATATATATAAGCCAAGCGCCCTTACCCTGGTCCAGTGCATGCCAAGTATTGAGTCTTGCCATTCTTAGTGCTCGCAGTTGCACACGGAACTCGGGCTTTGGCCTCTATGCAGCCGACTGGGTGTTGCTGCTGCTGACCGACACCACGGCAGGACACAGCATGCCTTTGACGCGTCCGAGTGACTGGATTTGGCGCTCCTGCAAATGGGCGATGTTTCTGCCGCATGGCGCTGCTGCAGAGCCGACATGTCAGTGTTGCGGTGGTTTTCACCGAGTGTCGGAGGCATTTCTCGCGTCGCGAGCGCTCGTGCGATGGTGATGGAGGATGTGGTGGAGCACATCGCTTGACGCGAAGTTGGCAAGTTGGGTCGGCTCATCTTCGGCTTCGCTTGGCACATGTCTGTCGCAGCTCTTCCCAGTCCAGTCTTCTAACGTACCAACAACGCATTCACTTCCTTCTAGCCAGCATTGTCGTGCTATATGCTTGGTGATGCCACCCTATTGGATCCGGTACTTTGCATGACAGCCAGAAGCATGCGCTTGTCAATACTCACGTTCCAGAATCCCCTTAGCAAGTCAAAGTTCACTGACAGCAGCACTTTCACACTCGGATTCCCGCTGACGATGGCAGTAACTCCGGTCTAGGGGAATTCAGCGCGGTTGCATACGTTCCTTCGTGCGGACCCTTGGCCGTCAGCAGTCTGTTCAATGGTTTCTGCGGCGATATGAGAAGTGGCGACTGAGCTCGTGCTTCGCCGGTCGTTGAGACTAGCAAATTCTCCGGCCTAGAACTGCCAGTCACCGACTGAGATGAGCGACACTGAGGTCTCCCAGACTGTGTCCGAGCAGGTTTTCAGTCTCGATGGTAGTTGGCGAGCATGATCCTTTGCCAAGAAACACTCTCCTGAGTCATCATGGGATATGGCCTTCCTGATCAACAGTGGCAGCCTAGAAGACTGGCCATCTTGCTTTGCGAGACAACAACATCGCTGACGCAGGCGAAGACTGACATCTCAATAAGAATGTCTTCCTTAATCCCCTCACAGCTTCGAAGCAACCGCCGAAGACTTCAACAGGACCTCGCGCTCGTGCAGAGCCAAGGCAAAACACAAGGCATTACTCTCGAGCCAATCCCCGACACCGATCTCCAGAAATGGACTGCAACAATTGACTTCAGAGGCCCAGAATTCGCAGGCTCACCTTACGAAGGAGGCGTTTTCGAATTCACGTTGAACATGTCCGGCACGGAGAAACCATATCCATTACGAGGCCCTGAAATATTTTGTAATACCAAAATATACAACCCGCATGTGGACCAGAAGACTGGGGAGGTTGGCTTTTCCATGCTGTCGGAAGACCAGTGGAGTCCGATCCTGACTCTGTTCACGACGATGTTATCTTTGCTCGTCGCACTCGGCGAGCCGGAGCCTGGATATGAGGTTGACGGTGTGTTGATGTTGGAATACATCTCGGATCCAGACGTTTTCTGGGAGAAGGCAAGAGAATGGACCAGGAAATATGCTGTGCCTGGAAACACGGACACAACTCACAGCTCGACATCGCAAGCCGAAGCACATGTCTGAAGTCTCTGACAGATGTTGTATGAAATGAGATTATAGTTGAAAACTAAAAGATTCGTAAATTATCATGAGACACGTACACGCATAATTTCTCGTCTTATCATCACCCGTCAGTGCCCTCCAACATCTAGATCGGTAATGCGACAGCTGAGCAACCTGACGCTCTCATAAGCTTATGTCCACCCTCGACATTTATAACGCCGTGATCCGTCATCATATCAAACAGCCTACAAATGCCTCTTGCACATTCGTAGTCTCCAATCCTACAATAGCCATTGCGGTCGCACTTATTACGACAGTCTGTAAAATTCGCTGCGGTGCCCTGCCAGAGAGGTTGGCTGCCGTTCACCAGATATGCATCCGTATAAATCCATCTAGGGCAATTGAGTGAGGGGCTGCCATTTTCGGTTGGTGAAGCACAATTGGTCTCGGTGCTTGGAGTTCCTGGGTCGACTGGCGTTGGAGGGTCGACTGGAGTCTCATCGTCGCCGTCTGTATGATATAAGCGTGGTTAGTGATGACCTCGCTAACAATTGGTTGCGGTGGAGCTGAGACGAACCTTCATCGACTGCCACATCAGCAGCCAGGACATAGTTCGTAAACTCTGCGACACTGCCAGCAGGCAGCAGAGACCATAATCCATCTTCATTTCTGGAGTTGACCTCATTGCCGTCCACCGAGCAGCGAAGTGGACACCTTCCATCTTGCGTAGCCTCGATGCGACATCTAGGCACAGCGTAGCCATTTGCGTTAGACAAAGCCATCATCTGCATTCCAGGTCCATCGTATGATTGGCCGACAACGGGGTAGCCTTCTGCTGCACCCTCGACATTGGAAAGATCGGCGACTTGAAGTTGCGTGCCATCCAAGGAAAAAATGGTAGGGGCGTATTCGTCGTCTGATTGATCCCAGTCGTACTGAACGTGGTAGTGAATCTCATCCGCATCGGCGGGCCCTGGTTGGAGGTCAGCGTCAGTCACTTGCTTGGATGCATGCGTGTTAGCGGAGCGATCTGCTCCACTTACATTCCGCGAAGGCCTGTGGAAGGTCGCAGTCAGCAAAATGGTACATTGTCATATCGCATGCGTGGAACTTACCATGTCTTGATCAACGATGTAGAACGCTGAGGGAGTGGCCTGCAGCTGCCAGCTCGTGACTGATACTTTGGTCTCGGTGGTCGTCTGAGTCGTGAGCACAGTGTTCCATCTCGTTCGTGAGAGTACTGTGAGTCGTGTGGTGGTGATGACCTTGGTAGGCGTTGTCGTAGTAGTTGCCACAATCTATCACACGTCAGCGAAAATGCAGGGAAACCCCGAAGTGAGGGCACTTACGTTCTGCGTGTTTGTGATTGACCTCACACTCGTAATGACGGACGATATCGTCTGACGTATCGTGATTGTCGAGCTAGGTATCATGCAATTGCAAGCTGAGGTGATCTGCACTGAATTTGTAGCTTTCAGGCATGCCGGTTGCGATGCAGTTGCTTGCCTCTTGATTATCGCTGCGCCCGTCGGGAACTGCGTGTTATTGCTCGTTACAGAATCTGAGCATTGATAGCAAGCCGAGTCGGCAGCAAGTCGATCTGCGGCGGCTATTAGTTCGAAGCCCATCTCTTGCTGAGTGCCTCGCCATAGGTAACAAACTGAACCCAAGGACAGCGTTACAGATTTACAACCAGGAAGTCCACTGAAGCCTGAGAGTCCGGATGCGTCAAGTCTGCGGCATGCGGCAACGCATCCTTCAAGGCTGGACCGCGATTCTGAGTCGGAGGTACTAAATTGAAGATATTCGATCCCCTGGGGATCTCTGGAGATGGTATTGTAGCCTCTCTGGGCACAGAAGCCGGCTTGTGGCGCCTGGGCGGTCGCGAGTGCACAATCGCTTCCAGTGTAAGTGTTCGTGGCAGTTGTAGTCCTTGTAGTCGTCGTGGTTGTTGTAGTGACCCTGGAAGTGGTCGTAATCCTAGTAGAGGTTGTAGTCGAGGTTGACGACGTTGTATTGCTCGCCAAGGCATTCGAGCACCGGTAGCAGGCCGCATCCGCACCAAAGGAACCCCCGTCATTTAGGTGGAAGCCCATCTCAGCCTGAGTGCCTCGCCATAGGAAACAAACCGAACCTATGTAGAGGCTTATCGATTTACAGCCAGGAAGTCCGCTGCTGCCTATGGCGCCGGAAGAGTCAAAGGCATGACATGCGGCAGCGCATCCTTCAACACTAGACTGCGATGCCGGGTCATCGAAATATTGTTGAAAATAGTCTCCCCCTTGGGGATCCGTCGTGGTCCGTAGGTAGCCTTTTTGAGCACAGAGGCTGGGTTGCGGCGCCTGTGCGGTTGCGAGCGTACAAGCAACAGTGGGTGCCGAAACAGTCGTAGATGTGGCAGTCCTAGTAGAGGTGGTAGTGGAGATTGAGCTTAATGTTGTGTGGTTGTCCTGGTCGTCGTCGTAGTCGTAGTCGATGAAGTGTCCGTCGGTACATCGTTGGCGCCTGGAATCTCTGGATTCTGGGCCGTGATCTCGGGAGTGTAGCCAGAACATGCCGAAATCAAGCCAAACGTATTGACGGTGAGAACCTCAGTAGCGATTCTTGTATCGGTCGTGGTGGAAGTCAAGGTCGTCATAGACGTTCGAACGCTTCAATCTGTCAGGATACGATCGCTCCTGAGGCTGATATCTTGACTCACGAAGTTGCCGTGTTGTTCAGTACTGGGGCTGTTACTGTAGCAATCCTGGTTGTTGAGGTCACTGTATACACAGTAGTCCTGTCAAACGTGTCAACATATAAACACTTGATTCGAATTCACTGATAGAAATCCATACTGTCTGACAGTAGCAGTCGTTCGAATTGTACTGATCGTGGTACCATATCCAAGGGAGCCGCAGAAAGCACGTGCGGATGATTGCAAGGCAGTGTTGCTGCAGCTTCTAGTGTGCGGAATCGAACATGATGTTGACTGCGAGGGATTGAGCTGACGTGCTTGAAGCTCCGCAAGAGGATTGGCAACTGCCAGTCCTACGAGAGGCGCGAGACCCCCGAAGAGACGCATCTTGAATGGGTAAGGAAAGAAGTGCAAACTGCACATTCAGCAGGGACCGTGGCATTATCAACCGAGTAGCATGGGGGACAGACAGAGCGCCTCCGGGCAAGCAAGCCCAGAGGATCTGGTCAGCCCTGTAGTGCACAATATCTCCTGATAGACTATGGCTGTACTAGATCGAAGCGTGCAGCTTTGGGTGCGGAGGCAGTGTTGGTGTGCATGTCACTCACAGGCATGAAGCCTAGGGCCGCATCGCTCGATCCTGTGCCAGGTGTTGACGGATGTAAAGCTACAGGCGCCGCCGTCTCTGGGAGATGCGTCAGCTGTGTGGTCCTGTTTTCCGTCGTTAGTAGCGGTGTCTTCGCCAGTCAAAATTTGGCGTTAGCATGTCGGTAAATGGTGTGAACCACCACGCTTGGCAAGCAATCGTCCAGTTTCTAGAAAAGGCAATTGGAGCTTTCGGATTCTCCACAGGCATAGTCCTGATGTGGGAATGGTATGTGTAAGACCTTGGCAAGAAGTGTCCACAAGCGACTGACTTCCATCTCGTTGGCTCATCGCGCAGTCCGAACGCCAGAGCCGGTAGGCTTGCACGCTTCTGATCGCTTGACTATGCAGGGAAGCAGCTCGGGCGTATTCTCTCGCGTGAGCCACGTGGCGCGGGAGTACTGTGAGGCTGCGAGAACCATACTGCGAATGTCTTAGTCGCGCTTATACAATGTCTGATACGCAACTTTAGCTCCAGTGGGCGCAGTCGTGCACTTTACGCGAACTTTGGGCGCACTTTGGCGCTCTGAGCTACATCTGAGAACCAACCGGGTTGGGGAGAGGGTCGTAGAGTATCGCAGCACGTTGTCAGGGCGCCTTCGTTGTCCAAGAATGCCGCGATACATGGCAGCCTCTAGTGAAGTTGGCACGCAGTGTCAGGCCTTCCTCAAGTTTGTCTCGTCGACATTTGCAGGTGCTTCTTCGGAGCAGCTGACTATCTGCGCCATCGGCAAGAATTGCTCGCTCAACGACTTCGTGTTGATGGCGTGATGTGCAAGAGATGAGGCGTCCACGTGGCAGACGATGGCACAGATCTAGACTCCGCGCCCAGTCTGGTCGGCTACACTGTACTCTTGTACAATACGATACTGCGCAATAGGAAAGTGTGATCTTAGTAGCTGTGCCCGTATGCGAAGATGAGAGAAGAGTCATGATGAGGTTCCAGTTGCGATGATGTCCGTGAAGGATGTGATTTGCAAAGTGGAAGCGTCCACCTGGGCAGTGCTGGCGGGTCGCTTAGTAAGCGGAAGGGATCGGACTTCACCCTGAAGTGCTCTCTCCCCGAGTCCTCTCTTCGCGCTGTGCAATAGACGCGACTTCTTCGTAGGACTGTTGATTGACACTGGAGAAACTACTATATTCGATACAATCATAATGAGAGCTGCATTGCTGCAGGGACAGATGATGAACGCCGGTTCTTGTTTCCTGGCGGAGCAAGCTCCAAAGCCATGCTGGACGACCCGGAAAGATTCGACTCGATGACATCTCTCACGAACACCATTAACGCGTTTCCTGCTACGCTCCAGCTTCGGCGTCAAACGTCGTTGGAATCAATCATTGTCAAATGCCGAACCGCGCGGAATTTCCATGGACATTCGATCGACTTACGGGTGTCCTGTCTCTACTCTGCAACAGTCTGTTTTCAAAACCCCAAAGATCACGCCAGGGCACAGGTGACACTATTCTGCACATCTGGCTACTGAACTAAATCAATTATCATCTCATTTGGAAGTCCACCTTCCCTTTGCCGCACCTCGTATTCATCGTATTCACGCTCAGGCTCTCGAGATAGCCTGCGATCAGGACATGTTCGGCAATCTGCAAAGCAACTACGCAGGCAAGCATCAATTCAAACAAAAGTCTGGACCAAATGTTGCGACCCGCGACGCAGACGATCTCCATTCCCCGAAACCTACGGCGAAGAACGACATCCTGCGAACTGGATCGCGACAAGGAATGAACACGAAAAAAAAGACCGTCCAAGTTCTAGACCACAGGGAACGAGATAGGGACCTTGCCAAAAGTTACGATCTCGAAACGAAACCTATGATGATGAAGAACAACCGATCCAGATCTTGCATGAACGATCCAGAACCAACATCCAAAAGCGCCAAGAACCCAAAAAGCCATCAAAATATGACAAGGCGAGATACAAACTCCACGATCACATCCTTCGGAGATCCTCTGCTCTACTGCTGTTGCCGGTATTCCGGTAAGCGAGTCACGTACCTGTCCCGTAAGCCGCTTATCGCGTACCTGTATCACATCTTCCCCAAACACGTTCGACAGAATCCCAGCGGAGAACATCTTCGTCACCAGCCACAAGCGTGGGGGCGCGGAGGTCCTCCTAAGCTTAGACCCCTGGGCTGGACAAGGATATGCCTGATATCAGGAATCCCAGAATGACTTCTGTATACGAGTCGAGGATTCCTTGATTAGAAGACATGTTGTCAGATCTGGTTTTGGAGATATCCCCGAATGAGTTTGCAGAGATGGCAGAGGGTGTGGTATTGTGAAGAAGCCGATTCTTCCTTTGCGTCCGGTAACGGAGGTAAGGACTGGGAAGCATGTTCGTAGGCACCGAGAGTCCGAATTGCATGGAGCAATCTTTCTGGATGGCAGTTGAAGCAAAGAGAAAGATGCTCGGAGCGAATGCTATCGGACGAGAGAAGTCATTGTAGAGCTCATGTAGTTAGTGTTCAGCAGAGACTGCAGCCTCTCTGCCCGACACCAGAGATGATATCGAAAAAGAGATTGGGCCTGTCGACGAAGTGGAAACTCATCCTTGGGATCGGAGTTTACCAATACCTCACTAGTTATCACATCACATATCCAGACAGTAACAATGCAAAATGCAAATGCAACCAACACCGAGCGACTCAAGGTTCCATGCCATCCCTCATATCCTAATCCCCAATCATTCGACATGTCAAAATCACCTCAACTCCACAGCGCCCCATCCAGTCCCTCTCCCCTTCAACCTCAAGCACTGGTACGGCGTACTCGTGGGATCGAAGTACAACCCTTCCACGACTCCATCAGCTCGTCTCAAACTGACATAATAGAACCCACTAATCGTCAACCCATGACCCCGATCCTGATCTCCCTGCCGTTCACTTTCCGAACAAGTGTCCCCTTTGCCGTGCACGAAGCAACGTTCCTTCCATCGCATGAAAATGTAATCTCTGCCAACATCTGACATGCGGTCTTTACTCAGTAACACCCGAGCAGTTTCTTCGTCGCTGGGATATTCGTTGAAAGGCGGCAGCTTACGCCAGTTGCTGGCGTCGGTCTTTTCATTCGCGCTAGGGAAGGCAATAGAGTCGGAAAGGTGTGTGTAGTGAGTTGAGTTGTTCGGGTCTGTAAGTGGTGAGTTTCGTCGATGAGGGTCTTTGGTGGTATTTGGCGTCAGAAAGCTGTGTGTGTCGAGATCGATGATGTGTCCTTCGAGATATGTCGTGATGGGTGCGTTCTTCTTGCCCGCTTTGGGACGGTCGGCTGAATTCGTGATACTGAGGCTGTGGGGATGTTGCGGCACATCATAGGCTTCCATGGTGCCTTGGAGTGTCATGCGATCGGTATCTATGGAGTGGATGATGACACGAACAGGCCAGTGGTCGTGAGCAGCGTCAGCGATTTTGCTGCTGCTCAATAGCATGGCCGATGGTTGGCTCGAACCACTTAAACCAGCGAGGCTTTGAAATGGCGCAATGGGATGTTCAACCCAACGTGTGGAACCTGGAGGATGATCGAAGCCGGTCGCCGTACCTTGAGTCCGGAAGTTGGGGTTGATCTGCTCAACAGCTCTGGACGAAGCACCTGCTCGGGTAGCGAGGAGAGCAGCATTTCCGTTAGTCGCATGCTGATGTCCTTCGAATATTGTGCCAGGTTGCAGCCATGAAGACCCAGCAACAGGTTCGATTTCTGACAGGTCCATCACAAAGTCGTCATGCTTATCTGCAAAGAACTCCTTGGTTGCCAAGCCATGATCGATCGCTGCTGAGAGAGCTTGTTCGTAGCTATAACAGAACCGCAGCTGGTCCAAATATCGTAGCGCATTCTCCAGAAATTGCGCATTGCTCGAAGATGTCGCGCTCGCAGGCACAGGAGGCGTCGATATCCGAGGCAGTCGTGGTGGCGCATTCTCACCATATCTGCGTTGCATGGCTTCTGCCCGTTCTTGCATTGTTCGTGAGCGAAGCTCGTTAGCTGAAGGAGGTAGCGGCCAAGAATCTCGATCAGACGTTCCACTGCGATGTTGATCGCCAGATGTGCGATTACTGCCCGCGGCAGGAGCAGGATTGAACCACCCAGCAGCTCGTGCCCTCTCCTCTTCTTCACTCATTTCAGTCCCTCGTCGTTCCATAGCATATCTTAAGATCCTTTCCGTCGCGCTCGGAGAGCTCTCCTGTCTCGCACGTTGCAGAACTGCCCTACTTCTAAGACTCCTCCGTTGACGATCTCCTCCTGCAGCCGCATCGAGTAGATCCGTGCTCGACGGCGCATGAGAGTCACGATTGCGCTCCCTCGTGCGACTCTCGCTCTGGCTGATCAGGCGCGCAGCGTCTGAAGACGAGTTTGCGCTTGACGGCTGCCGTCGTAATTCCGCTAGGATCTGGTCCAGCTCGTTCTCGTCCTGGCTGGCAGCATTCGTTGTAGCCTCGTGAGACGGTGCCCAGTCGTACTGATCGTTTCTGCCCGGAGAAGGCGTGCGATTACTGTATGCTGCGGCAGAAGATGTGCTGTTCGTGGTCGGGTCGTGGATTTGATTCAGTCGAGCCAGCACTCTCTGCAGCCTCAACCGGCGCGACAAGTCCTCACTATCACTTCTGTTTTGCGCCTCCAAGTGCCGTGCCTGTGCCAACCTATTTGCTATCCGTGGATCCCGACTCAGATCATTATGCGACTGGCCCCGTCGATGTGTAGGCCCTCTGTTGGCTGTGGTCTCCTCTGCGCGGTCCAGCGACTCCAGCGAGTCTCGTAAGAAGCTCACATTTGCCTCGTCGGCGTCCTCGGCTGCCGATGTATGCAAGGTCGATGCCAGATCTGGGACAGGCGACGAAAAGTACGAGAGCGGGGTGAGCGGACGGTGGGCGGGCTCGAGTGGTGGAGGCGGTGTTGATCCAGCGCTGTCCCCACTGACTGGACTCCGCTACAAGCGCCGATGGTCAGCGACGGCTTTGTAACAGCTGGCATCGGATGGGATCATGCAGGAGGCACTGTGCTGGCAGCTCTTACCGGATTCGAGCCGTTCGGCGTGTTGGAGGGAGGCATGTCTTCCCTTGCGCGCCTGTCTACTGCATTTTGTGGCGTCTGATATCACACCGCTGGCGAGTCGCGCTCGATAGGCGACGTGCGGTCTCAGCAGAGCCTCGGTGGTCAAGCTATGGCGAAGGATGTCTACAAGGCAGGCTGCGTGCTGTTGGCGTGAGACAAAGGCCTCCCTCAGGCTGTAACCGTCGAGGCAGCGCCAAGAATGTCGTCAACGGCCGACCAGCTTCCCTTGTGATTGACAGTCGCATGAACGGCGCTTGGCCCTAACTGATCATCACAACACCATGGCACGCGATGTTGGAGCATGATGATAGCTTCACAGCGACATTTGTATACAGTACTTAGGATCGTCGTATCATTCGTGAATGTTATGTACAGTTATCACGATCTCAGCAATCGAACCAGCCGACTGTGCCCTTTGGCCTTCGCCATTTCAGCTGGCGTTCCCTCCACTCCATCCCAGCTGGCACTTCCTGGCCTCCGCTCAGCGCCTCTGCTCAAAAGCATCTTCGCAGCTGCAACATGTCCTCGATTCGCCGCCAGATGTAACGGCGTTGCTCCCTCATTTGCTTTCGAGTCGATGTTTGCGCCGTGATCCAGCAACACACCGAGGACATCCGCGTGACCTTTATGCGCAGCCCAGTGCACAGCAGTGAGCCCATAGCTCTGGACACTTTCGATATCTGCCCCAGCCCGAAGCAGCACTTTCACACTCGCAACTGATCCCGCAGCGGCAGCATAGTGTAAAGGCGTATTTTCAGAGTCATCCAAACAGTCCACTTGGGCTCCTCGGTCCAGCAGGAGCTCGCACATGGCGTTTTGCCCCGTCACTGCAGCCTGATGAAGTGGCAGCAATCCTCCACCTGAGGCAGACCGCAAGCTTACACGCGCACCATGCTTCAGGAGCAGTCTGGCAGCATCGATTTGGCTTGCGCTGATCGCACACCAAAGCGCACTGTACCCATCGCGGCCGGACAGGAAGTCGACTTCGTCGCTATGAGTGAGGAGCAAAGAAAGGGCCTCGACATTGCCCGCCCACGCTGCCAGATGCAATGCCGTGTCGCCTTTGGCATCCTCGGTGCTCAGCTCGGCCCCATTCTTGAGCAGAACTGCTAAGCTTTGAACATGGTTCAGATGCGCTGCGATGTGTAGTGGTGTTCTTCGTAGGTCTCCGAAAGTGGCTGAAGGATCTGCGCCTAAGGAGAGCAGCTCAAATAATGTTTCGAAGTCGTTCGTATTGACAGCATTGAATAAGGCGTCTGCGTTGAAAGGTTCGGCAGTATGAGCTGGAGATTGACTCTCTTCCTTGATATCGGCCTTCTGATCTGCGACGATCGAGCTAGTTCCACGTGGTGGACTATACTGTGGCGGAGGGTCAACGAAGCAATTGTAGTCCACGGCGGGAGTAATGCCAGTGTGCTCGTCAAAAGCAGGCGAGGGCAATAGGCTGGGTGTACTGCAGCCAGATTGGAGATGCTCCTCTAGATTATTCTCTGGCGGTGGTGTGGGTGGTACTGTCTCTGATTGCTTCACCAAGAACTCCAATACACCTCGCTGCGCCTTCAGCTGCTGCGATGTCTGCTGTGCATCTGAGTCGGAACATGTACCCTCTCGCATGGCAGTGCTAGCAGAGACTAGGCTGGTCTCAATGGAGCTTGTCGCAGCGTCAAAGCAAGCTGCCAGTCCAGCGGTATCCGTGATTCTATCCAGTCTTGCCAAAACGTCTTGTTGCAATCGACACAACACGCTTATGAGGAGCGATAACTCGCCCAAAAGCTCAGCAGCACCCAATGCCGCAGCCTCTTGACTCACACTCCCAGTCAGCGACACAAGAGCCGCAAGTCTCCCGTACCTATCCCCATCGCCAGCCGTTGACCGCTCATTCACAACATACAAACTATCCACAGCTCTTCTCCTCCGGCTCTTCGGCCTTTGCGGCGTCGCGTCTTTCACGTTCTCATTCCGACCCTCCGCAGACGTCCTATTCTGCCGTATGACTGTCGAGATCGCCACAATAGAAAATACAGTACACGCGATCGTGAAGCATAGCGTCGTCGGAGTGAAGAATGTCGTCGATCCCGATGGACTGGCGGCGGCCATTGCTGATGAGGACTGGAACTAGTGCTGGAACGTGCTGACCACGCGTCTCCACGTGTGGAAATGGCCAGCAACGCCGTCTGTAATGCGTCGTTGGGCGGAAGCCTGGTTCATCGTTCGCGGAGGAAAGGCGCGTTGGAGACGTGATTGCAGGAAGGAAGGCAGGCTGTTTGTATACAGATCGTTGACCGGGCCACGGGCCGTCTCAAATCGGCAAACGAGCTGAATCGCGGTCTCAGACATTTACCGAAGTGAGTGAGAAACGGTAGAAGAGTAGAAAGTAGCTTTGCTAGTTGTCCATACACTAATTTGAAGCTGGTACATAAAGAAAATGTTGGTGGTGCTCATCCAGTGGCAGGTACAAGTGGGTGGTATCGTCGCGTCAAAACAAGAATCAATCGCTCGCTCGTTCAAAACAAAATCATAATCGTTAATCAACCATGGCCCATTCCATTCAGAAAGCGGAACGCCCCTCCAACTGAATCCTTCGTTCCGTTGGTCATAATAGATGGCGCTGGCTTTTTGGAGGAGATGGAGGCGCCCGACGATCCAGGCCTAGTGAATGAGAAAGCTGGACGCATCAAAGACGACTTCCTCTTGGGGATCAAATTCGAAGGCGAAAAGAATTTTCCTTTTGGAAGTGATTTAATGCTTCCTTCTCGCGATAGAGACATGCTCGAGAGGCTCTCCGCGATTCCAGGTGTCANAGCTGTTACCGCTCGTAGAGTCGTGCATTGGCGGGTGCAGGCTTTTCGATGGTTGCTCGTGTGCAGGAGTGCTATCCACCTCTCTGGACAAAGGCGAACGGCTTGACGCTCGGGACCGAGGTGCCGATGTTGGGACGCATCCATGTGCTAGATAAGAGCCGACGCCACTGCGATATCGGTATGGCGACGGCGAGGAGGAGCGTGTCGACATGTTATCCCAAGGCAACAGATCTGCAGACTGAATGCTGGCTGGTCTAGAGTATAGCGAGCTGGCCGCTGAGCCGGCCGCAAACTGCTGAGGCTTTGAAGGAATACTGAGCGGCTGAAGCCTGGGACCAGCGCGGAGGAAATTGGCGAGATCGGCCACATCCTCATGCTCAGCTTCGGCACTGCGGGGATCCATCTGGTTTTGGCGAGGTAGATCGGAAATGTACTCGGCGAGCTCCTGGATAGAGTCGCCTTGCACGCGAGCTTCTCGCGGAGACAATGCCCTCCTGTTTCGTTTCGGCGGGATACCTGTCGGCTTGGAGGGGCTCGGGGGTCTTCGTTGTGTTGACAATCTGCGTGTCAAGCCGCCGATCATTTGGACAGTGCTCGGTTTTTTGAAGGGCAATGGCGGCGCATCGTCTTCAACGGCGATCATGGAACCGTCCTCCTGGATGTGCCAGGTAAGACCATCAGGACCATATTCCATGGTCTTCTCCACACCAGACAGAGGGGTTTGAGGCGGTGTTACGGTGCCTTCTGATAAAGCTGGCATGTGAGCGCTGTCGGCCGAGCTGCTTCGTTTAGATGCAGGAGTGAGAGGATCAGCAGCTCGTGCTGGTGCTCGGAAAATGCACTCGGCCGGCAGAGATGTTAATGCGCTTGGGTCGCCAGCCATGGCATGGCCGCATGCCCAGAGGTTATCTTGGATTTGTGAGACTGTCAAGGTGAAATCGAGTCCGAAGCGATGGTAGTCCTCGACCGGATTTCTCATGGCAGAGAGTGCGACCGTGAAGCAATCCTGTGACTTCTGCAGCTCATCCAGTTGGTATTCAATGTGTCCCGTTACGAAGAGTGTCAAAGCCAGCAGCTCGTCCACAGGCATCGCATCTTCAAGCACGTGCGAGGCTGTGGAATAGTCTCCCAGCTTGGCGAAGATGATCGCAGCATTGATAAGGCATGATGTACTGTAGAATTCATGCTCGATCGTGCGAGACAGATGGAGGAAGTTTTCTGCCTGTCAAATAGTCAGTATTCAACTTTATGGTGCCATGAACGAGGTCGTCGGCGGAAGGTAGTAGTGTTTCAGACAGTTCTCTGCGGCACGTTCTGGCACAAGGCCAAGTCAGGCAGCCGAGAGCTTTTGTTATGTATGGAGAGAAAGAGACCTTTCCGCACTTACAGCGTCTTGCCATTCGCTGCCTTGGAATAGCGTCACTGCATGCTCCCAAACATCGATCAGGTCGTCCGAGAGCGCTTCCGTTGGTGGTGTGTTGCGCGCTCTGAGGTCGGTCTTTAGGTGAGACAAGCGTCGGTTGTTTCGGGTTGGTACCACTGGCACAGTGATGTCGGCCATGGTAGCGGGCCAAACTGTCGCGCAAAACTCCAGAAGTTGTTGTAAGTGGCTCCTCGATTGTTTAAAAGAGTCCAGAAGTTCGCGAGGGATTGCCTCGTGGCAGGTCGGTACGACCGAAGTGGCTTCGCTTCATTCACAGTCTAGAGCGGCTCTTTCCAGCCACGGCTTGAGCAAGTCACGCCTCGCCAGCACGCACCACCTTTCAGCGCTCACCACTTTTTACTTGAGTCGCAACGATGAGTTTTTCGAAGTCAGGAAGCCCAGAATTTTGCACTACGTCGACTCGGTCGAAGAAGATCATAAGTATCGCCTTCGCAGGCAGATGATCGTCGTAGTGGGTGAGGACGATCGCTGTATGCAGGGTGCCACTGACGAATGCTTGTAGGTACTTCTGGAGTAACAGGGTCTCTTGTCGCGGATAGCAGAATATCAGGACCTCTGCGAGCAGCGCATCGGAATGAAGGTCTGTTGTAGAGCGAACTCGCAGCATGCGCTCCTCGGACAAATATTTGTTCACGCACGACGGGACTTCTATTCCGTATATATTGACCTGCTGCCCGCTTCTCTCGAGGATCAGTCTCTCCAGAAGGCCGGTGCCGGCTCCGCACTGCGAAGGTGATCAGTAACTCCATTCGGCTAGCCGGTGGCTTCTGTATACAAAAAATTGAGGGGAAGATGGCCGAGGTCGACGGCACGAAGCTTGTGACTAGGAACAACCCGAAGCGACCATTCAGCTGTCGATCTGTGCAGCCATGAACGAACGTCTACGTCGACAAGCCGAGTTACAATTCGATCACTCGTGCAAGAGACACGCATGTTCGGCTGTCAGCGTTGCTGCGGATGTCCGTGATCACGCCATGCAAATGGAGGCGAGCTCGTTTGTGTGTAGCGAACGAGCTCGCCGGCTGTTTGGCTCGGACCCCAGAAAGGCTCTTGCGGTCTGGCCGCCAGCTACGCCAGCAAAGGTAAAAGGACACTCACGTGAGACTCACAGAGAGCACTTGGGCTGGACTCTTTGGCAGATGCCTGATCAGGGTGTCCAGCACGTTGATTGATATCGAACAACAGCAGTCTGGATGTTGCGAAGGACGCTCAGTGAGCTTGTCCATGATGGCCTGAAACTCCATGCTGCCGTTGAGCGCAGTGTGAGTCACAGAGAACTCATGCAGTGGTGGATTGATTTAATGCACGCTTGAAACACCTTTCGAGCTCACAAAGCAGGCCGTTCTCCCACCTGCCTCAAGTGTCAGAGATGCATGCAAACGAGTGAGAAGTCGCAGGTTGGTTCTTCCGCGCGCCGCGTTGCATGTGTTACGCATGAGGTACATGGACGCGTTTCGAATGGTGAGCTGTGTTGAATGGTTGTTGGAGGTGGAGGAGAGTGTGTTGTGAACTTGGGAGGAAATCGCTGCATCTGCTCACCGGGATTCTGCGGCTGGATGTTTTCCGTCCAGACTGCACGCGAAAGTGCCTCGTGCTCGTGACTTGCGAAGCGAAAGCGCTCTGCAGTTTCTGGTTGTTGCAACGAGAGCGAACAGGAGCCGCTGTGCTGCTGGTCACGACTCAGAATCGGTTGGCTTGGCAGTCACGGCTGTTCGCGATTTCTTCCCGCTGCACTTTCCAGCTCTCGTCGCGCTGCACGTTGCTGGCTGGCTCCCAGCATCGTCATGTTCCACCACGAACCGCCCCACGCACACTGGCTTTCGGATGATTTACTCCTGTGCTCCAGCCTTCTTGCACAGCTTGGACAAGCAGACTGCCTGCCGGTACGCGCCTGCTTCAAGCGCGTGACGCGGCACACAGACGCGAACGCGCCCGAACTCCCTCGTCACTCCGATTTCACGGTCACCTGCTCAGGGCAGCTTGACGGCTAAGAACGGCATGGAGCAGAACGTTTCGAGCGAGCGTGGTCCACCTAGTCACGCGACGCCCGACGTGCTGCGCATTCTATTTTTTCCAGTGCGTCGGCAGTGTGCATGCCGTGAGATGCATGACGTTCAGGGAAAGTCCTTCCAGCGGTGAGAGACTGCCCAGGATGCACATCACGGGCTGACCGACGCCTCACACGACTTGCCCAACACCGCCACAGATCGTGGCGAGCTAGAACCATGGCTGCAGATGCATCATGCACCTTTAAGCTTGGATGCAGAAACCGGATTGCGTGGAAAAGGCTCTGTCGCGCATGTTGGTAATTATCGCAATTTCATGCTATAGACGCTGACGAGGCAGGCAGATTGCCAGACTCGCGGATCGTAGGAATAGGCGCTCGTGCTACTCTACACATCGTACTGTGGTCCCCTGCTCCCGATCATCTACGTTGGAGGCTGCAAAGCTTGTGTGATGGAAAAGGCGACTCCCGCTGCTGATTGGCCCGGCCGATGCCTGCCTATTTTGTAGCTCGGACTTGCCGATTGTTCACATCCAATACCTTCGCTCTGACATCGACTCACATGCACGTTGCCTCCAGGTCCAACAGCATGCCATCCGTACGGCATGGAAGAGCATCCGCCTTAGCTTCTCCGTGCTCCTGAAACACCTGGGCGGCCATCGGTGGAAGCCACACTTCCTGGCAGCCTTCGAGAACGACAGCGCGTGGGCGTCGCGACAGCTTGACTGGCCACCACGCCCTGGCCATGACCACTCCCCAGACCGCGACGTGATGACAGCTGCGATCGCAATATTGATGCTCACTTCCACGGACCTTGTAGCGTCTCATACCGTGCATGCGACTGCAGCGGCATCGGAGCGCAGGCCTTCAACACCAAGCCGACAGCCTGATACTGGAGGAGGTATGAGCAGAACTCAAACTATGCCGGGGCTATTACTCAAAATGTATAGTCCCGAGTGAAGCGCCTTTGCAACGTTACAGACAGCATAGGGTCGGAAGGTGATCCCAATAGCGACAAGCAACACAAGGTACAGTGTCGCAATCTCTGATGCGTGTGCAGCCTCAGCCATGCGCGCTCTACCGTGGTCTCGCAGGAACGCGACGAGGAAAAGCAATCGAAAGTACAAGTGCGGGCTAAGCATGCAGGTCGCGAGCTACTATATGCACGTTGCTGGATGGTGTCTGCAGCTGGCCACGAAAAAGAGGCTGTGAAGCTAGTGCCGTTCAGGTCTGACTACTAAATCCAGAGCACCCCGCGCATCTCTGCCCTTCTCACCACCTCGCTCTCCGCCCGCCCATTGGCTCATAGCCTTCCTCCCTTCTACATTCATTCTTCTAACCCAGGGCGAGCAGCCTAATTCTTCCATCGTTGCAACCCCCAGGCATATTACGTCGTTCCACTTTATACCAATCATCTTGCTGTCGCCCGCCCCATACATATATCGCTCATCGCATCCCCATACTGTCTGGAACAGGAAAGGAATTCAATCACACATCAGTCAACAACATCAATCATGCCTGTGCAATTACTGCCCGCGTCAGCGGCAGCCTTCGCGCCCCGATCTGGACCCGAAATCGTGCTGAACACAAAGGTGGAGCCTTGGTTAACACAAACGTTGAAGCGCATCAACCGAATCAAGCGACCACTCAACAGTGTCCCACAACACTTTCGATGTCTGACAGAAACACTCGGTGGATCTTCTGCTATCTGGACCCTGGCCTCACTCATGCTGCCAAAGGCGCCCGATACTGAATTGCGCAAAGACGACAACCCACTTGTGGAAGCACTCTTCAATTTCCAGCTTGTACACATCGAGGCCTATGTGGTGCACGTCGACATGGTCTCCCAACACGAAGTCGCTTTCAAGCTGACACCCGAGACGATCGAGTCATTGGTGGAGTATCACAAGGACATCTACTCGGTCGACTCATCAGCGAGCACGTGGAGCTGGCCCGAGAAGGAAGCGCAGATCAAGAAGATGCAAGAAGAGTTCGTGCAAGCCGCGAATAAGTTCGTCTTCCGCACTGGGGCCCGCGCGTTGGAAGGCATGGAGGAGGATGGCGCCGGCGAGCTGCTCGATGGCCGCTCCGCCGAAGTGAAGAACCAGATCATGAACATGTTCGCTCCACTTCTGCCTCCTCCACCACGGATAGTCGATGTCATCCACCCGGCACCAGTCATGCCAAGTGCACCTGTCGCTGGTGGCTGGTGGGCACCTCAGCAATTGCAGCTCCAAACACATCCTACGCCTGTGGATTCGTGGAAGGTGCTGCCGTCGACCCCATCGCCTACTGCCACAACATGCAGCGACAACCAGTCGAACGTGTTCTGGCAGGACATGTCTATGAGCAACGTCCAGCTGCCATCGCCGACGCCATCATTCAGCCAGCCGTACACATCTGCGCCATCGCAGTACTACAGCTCACCGCAGCCAATCGCACCAATTCCAGTGTCGAGCTCATTTCCTCTACACTGTGGATCGGACATTGGCTACGGCTATGGCGACTTCGGCATGAGCCACGGGGGCTTCATGCACACTCAGTATGCTACCGCCGTGTGAGCTGCTCAAAGACGACCCCTTTGCGCGATCCGCTTCCGCGGCTGTCGTTGAACGACTGAAAACCGTCGGTGTCCTGGCCAGGCCCGACGACCTTTTTCCACATCCTGGATCCTGTCACTACTCCAGAAGCCTGATGCGCACAGCGCTTCTCGATACGCGACCCACGATTATTAGTATTGACGCGATGCAAACGATACCCGATGTTGACCATCACAAAAACACATCAACATCACTCAACTCCACATTTTCTGGACGGCGTACTAGCAAGCGACTTGGTTTATTGATTTGGATCTTGACACCTTAGCAAGCGAGCGACTCTGTTTTTCTCTCTTTTTCCATTTTGCGATGACGAGCGATGGGAATACTCGATGCATATTTTCTCGGGAGGCCATGCACTTGCGAACAACAAAGACAGGATTTCACAGACCTCGCGGTCGATACAGAGAGAAGCAAAAGAGAAAGACGTTTTATGGGTGGAATGATTGCATGTTTTAGGGATGGATTGTGCATTTTTTTTTATGGGACCTATGGGATTGGGAGGACCACCGTCACTATATTTTTTCTACTTCTGCGACGCCCGTACATGCCTGACGACATCTGGAATGCCGAACTATGGACCTTCGATTCTTTCTAATGCCTTTTGCGGATACTGGATTGCGGCCTGGAAACCCATCGTACACTCCGGTCTTGAACACTATGTCAGACAGCGGATGCGGTGTGGTGTTGAGGGTTGCTTTTCGTTGTCCGCACAACGAGGAGACTTCGTTCCAATACTGGTTATGGAACTATCTGGCCTTCAGACGTTGCAACAGGCTCTTTTCCTTTCATGAGTGTCCGAGCATTCGATATGTCTCGGCCTCGACTAATATGACTTCCGGATTTCACAACAACATACGAAAGACTTCTTCGAATTACCTGCGAAACATCGACGACCCGAGATCCCTGGAGTGCGATTGAATTCGTTTACTCGACCAGCGTTATTGCCGCAGAGCTGCGCTGAGACTCCGAAGCTTGTTTCCGAAAGCTAGCCTTGAGGAGGTAGACCTGCTTCGAGTGGTTGTCTTTTTGGTGTTCTCTTGGGCGAAGAATTGTTCTTTCTATGTTGGAGATGGGTCGCCTTGATTGGTTATGACCTGGATTGTGGGATCTTTTATGGAATTGTCAGAACCATAGCGATCATCCTACTATGTCTCGCTGCACCCTGGGTATACTGGCTATACTTCTGGGGTTTCGCAGCGTAGAAGTCTTTGCTTTTGCAGAGATGAGTGGATGCTGGACCAATTTTTGGAAGACAGTGGAGAATTCTGCGGCTTGATGTCGTGAGGACAGTCTCCTGATACTACTTTTCGTAGCACATTTTTTCTATATTCACGTTTCTGTGAAGTGAATCTTCTTGTGCCAATTTCTTCTCTTTGGTCTTTTGCTTAGCACTTTGCATGGTGTGCTGGACTGACGCCATTCGACTGGATCGTAAAATCGTAATTGTGGATTAGGTAATCGTAGTACTTGCTGTGTACACGAACCTCTTCCGTCTGCTTATGGGTCTGCTTCCTCCCTCTCACTGTCACTCTCTCTCATATCTGCAAAAGCGCACGTTCTGCCGCACGCGGTCGGTCATCAAACTGCACTTCGACAGTCTGCTGTACCATAATCTTATCGGTCGCATTCGTCACGCAGTTCTGCAAACCCTCGACATCCTGATGCGTCACCCACGCCGTCGTCCCGCCATCCGCACGGAAGAGCAAGTCTGCATCCGTCATGCTGTCGCGCATTTGCATCGTGCTTCGAGCGCTACTGGCACTGCTCTTCGTTGTTGAGGATTTGCTCATGAGACTGCTGATAAGGAACGCGCTGGGTCGGTGTGACCTTGCGTTTGGACCGGCTTGAGCAGCGGTGTCGCGGAGCCAGTCTTTGGTGAAGGCTTTGAGGAAGAGATGCATACATGGTATTGTGGCGGCCATGAGAGAGTAGTACATTTCCACGGTACTGTAGAGTGTGGGTTCGACGTAGTCCCAGGTGAAATCTAGTGCGTCCATTGTTTGGTCGTGTGGATCGCCTGAGAGCATTTTGACGACTACGAGGACGCGGAAGATGGTTAAGATGCTTGCGCTGTAATTCGAAGATCAGTAAGTTGCGGTTATTTGCTGACTGGCTCGAAGGAAGTACTCACGGGATGCGAAATGCGAAGCCTCCGACGATTGTGAGCTTCGCAGCAAGCCGCAGTTTGAGAGGCCAGACCAAGAATATTGGTAGAGCGAAGAGTACGAATTCGAGGATTATGCTGTATGCGCCGACGAAGATCCATCCCGCTCTCCTCAATCCTAGATTCTCAGGCGAGACCGCTGTGCTGGTGATGGCGATGAGTCCCCATATCACAATGAACACCGTGGTGATCCAGGCTGCATGAATATGGCGTTTGAATGTCGACAATCGCAGAATGAGTAATGACACCGCGAGTTTTGAGCAACAGAGTGCCGTCACTGAAAGAATGTCGCTGGCTTTAATTGTCTACACTGATATCAGCGCATAGCAACACCACCTCTCTTCGCGCAAGACTTACTGCTCGCAGTGGCCCAATCATCTCCCATTCCAAGTGGTACATATGCATTCCAAGGCCGCACTGCACTGCTCGAAATATTGTACCACTTTCCGCAGTCGCTATCAACTATTGCGAAGGTCAGTATGGAGCCTACTTCATCGAGAGTAGTACTTGAGCATTACAGTTCCCAGCATAACAGCAATATCATCCCACCCCATCCGACTCCCCCAAGGCCATCGAATCTTCAATCGTAACCCCAGAAAGATCCATGCGGCAACCATCATGAGCGCCGCTGTGATATTGATTTGATGCCCTCGGTTGCCATGAGGGAGATCGGCCATGTCGCCGTCTGTTGCGTCCGACATGGTGATAGGAACACGCGACGCTTCCGTTGCACAAGATCGCTTTCTCTTATCTCAACTGGTCCAGACCCGACAGAAGACCACTCCAGATGTATGACGAAGATGAAGGACTGGCCTCTCGGACTCCTTTCCCAAAACGGCTTCTTTCTCAATTGCAAACGAGAGTCGATGTCGATGGCGCAAACATCCTTTCGAAAAAGGAGAGAGGGAACCCGGCAAAAGAGAGGGTGAGAGTAGTAGCCAGAAATAATAGTCGTCGTCGTAAGTGATGATAATAGTCGCAAACCAACCACGCCAACCAAACCCAAGCCCTAGACCCCAGCGAAAGGGGAGACAAGAAACCACCCTTTCTCTCCGTGTGGCCCTCAAAAAGAGAGTCCAAAAGACCGAAAAGAAAAGCACACGCCCACAAGAGCGGCTGATACGGGCATTTTGTGGCACAGGGACGGAGGCTTACTATCGAGTTTGAAATCCCCAGACGAATCTCACGCGGAAAGTGGATCAGAATCTCGAACATTACCTATGATGGTGACCGGAAACGAAGAGCGCAACGTGGATTAAGTCTGGACATTGCGCCATATTTTAACCGGTCTCGGTGGTTCGGCGGATGACAACGTGGTCCTCGCGCGAGGCCTGGACGGACTGGCAGGGTGGGCATGAACTGATGATCTTCAGGACTGTGCGCTTGATGTCTGTCTCTGAGATATATTTGAAGGATGCGATCGGTTTTGTACGTGGTTAGGGCTCCTCTGTCTTTTGCTTGCTTCTGAATTGGGGCGATGTGTTGTTGTGGCGGCTGGCTTTTGGGGTTTGTGATGGAAGCATTAGTTAGCAGTGGCTTAAGCGACGGCAGATTGCTGGCTAGGGTCATGTCGGTTTACTCGGAGTCCGGCGCTTTCGACCGGTACTTCAATACTCTGCCAGCGATGAGATTATGCGACAACACTCCTGTGTCCCTCATCCAGAGTATGGAGAAAGGTGATGCTGGTATAAGGTGGAGAGCGCGATCGCGTTCATTTAGAGTAATCTATTCAGAAGATGGCGATCTAAATTGCATTGCGGGCAGGATTGGCCGCATCCGTAGCGGTATTGTGGACATCGGCGTCGGTCATTTGGTCTTTCGGACTGGGCATCGCCACTGCACTTGGCCCGCGGTGTCAGAGAGAATGGTTGTGGGGGTATAGTACTTGGCCCGTCTTCGTGGCGTGCGCCGTGCGAATGGCCACAGGAGGCTGTCGTCATGCACGCCAGCAAGTGCATTTGGTGACTCCATCGCAAACATATGGGGAATCCAATGGGCCCGTAGCAGAACTTTGCCCAAAAGGGTAGATGCATGCTGCGAGGGCCGCTAACGTGGTTGCGTTGGACACTAAAGCTTAGCAGCAAATGTTTCAGCTTCGTCTTCGAGCACCTCGATGAGTCCTCCAACCAGATGGAGACTTCCCGTAGCTAGGACATCAGTCTTGTCACTGTTCGCGAGTTCACGTGCTTTATGTACAGCTTCTTCAATGGTGCTGACAACATGCACTTGGGCGTGTGGATCAATCCTGTCCCAGCTCTTTGCCAATTCATTCTGAACGCGCAGACTGCTCACGTCGTCCTTGTTTGTGTTAATCGATACCAGATCAGCCTTGTAACCAGCATTCCTGTACGTTGTGTTCGGACAGAAGATAGCGTGCTTGAATGGGTGATTGTCCTTGACTGCTGTAGCCAGTGTTTCATGCAGGTGTTGGGCGAGAGAGGATGCATCACGCGTCTGCTGATTGAACAGAAGTATGCGATGGGCATCAGTTGCAGATGTATTGGCAGTCTTGGACGCGAACCAGCGACCAGCAACATCAATGCTCTCTAGGGTGTGGCCTCCGTCGATGTACCACGTTACGTTTGGCTTAGTGGTATCGGGACGCAAGTCGCAACGACCACCAAGGCTTGTCTCTTCCAGGCCTTTGATAAATTCCGCTGGCAGTTGAGCGTTCGAGTCGTAAAAATTTGGAAGGCCACTGAACCCGAGCCGTGCAAGATGCAGTGCTGAAACAGCAATGGCGAGGGAAGCATTCAGCTTTTGGAAGTGGCCTTGCAGACCAAGTTCGATTGAGTCGATCGCAGCGTGCACCGGCACAACATATAGCTCTGTCTTGCGCTCTTTCGCGCGTTCGTGCAGGACTTTTAGGGCACTCGCTGGCTGTTCAACGGTAAAGGCCGGCACATCCTCTTTGAAAATCCCCGCCTTGTGCCATGCAATATCCTCGATCGTGTTGCCGAGCAACGCTTCGTGGTCGATACCCAGACTCGTGATCCCAGTAACTGCGGGCTCGACAAACAGATTTGTCGTGTCGTATTCGCCGCCGATACCGCACTCAATGACGGCTGTGCCTACCTGTTGCTGCATGTAGCAATGAAACGCCATGAGCGTCAAGTAGTGAAAGTATACAGGTTTACCGTCCATGCTCCTTGCATCCTGATCTGTTGCGTCTGATTTTGTAGCTTCAAGCCTGTCCCACAACTCCCAGAAACATTCTGCGAACAGCTCTTCCGAGATTGGTTGATTGTTGATCTTGATGCGCTCCCGCACAAATCGTAAGTGCGGAGAGGTATACAGTCCTACCGTCGAAGGCACACGCTCAGCATATATGCTCTTCTTGGACGGCAGATACTGGGCCAAGATGGACGATATGAAGGACGAGGTGGAGCCTTTGCCTTTGGTACCAGCGATGTGGACGGGATTGAGAGTGTCAAGGTCGGTGGGCTAGGTCGATGGTCAGAGGGACGATCACACAGCCTACCTTCAGCTACGTTCAGCGCACCTCATATCCGATGCGCCGCAGCCACGAGAGCATGTCTGGAATGGCCCGCTTGTTCCCTCCAGGTCCGGCCTTCCTGATGGCCTCGACAATGGCAAAGTTGCTCTGCAGGCCATTGAGTGCGGCCACTGCCGACTTGTAGTCGCGACTCGTACTGTGCTGTCTCTTCTGCATCGACAGCACACGCCGCACGCATGGCCGACATACCGACATGATGATGTCGTGGTGTGTGGGAACATCGGGTGTTCCAACCGTCAGTGCGGTGGAAAGCTTCCCCTTCTCGCCCCGGTCGTGACTGCCAAGAAACGCGGGCGGCCACTTTAGCTACGCGCATCGACGCGTCAACTCAACTCCAACTCATCGCCTCCCACCCATTGAACATCATACACCTGTTTGACGCGCTATTACACGCGAACTAGTGCACAGTCGCAATCGAGAATGGCGCGTCAAAGCGACATGTCGACGCCACGAGCTCCTCCCTCTCTGAAGAAGAGCACTAGCACTGCTTCCAGTACGGGGAAGGGCAAGCAGCAGAGCATCGCCGGCTTCTTTCAGAAACGCCCTGCACCAACTCCGTCAGCTAGCACTCCAGCAAAGCGCCCAGCAGAAACTCCGGTACCCAAATCTGTAGTGGCATCAAGCACAATTGGTCCAGGATCCTCGCCTCGAACAGCTCCCGGAGCATCCCAAAGCTCAGCTATCGATGGACGCGACAAGGAGAATGGTGTGTCTCGCTTCAAATTCTGTGTGGAATATTGACTGACGGACTGATAGAAACACCAGGCACCAGTTTCTCCAGCCCTTCGCGCAAGGCGAAGAAGCAAGTGAATTACGCCGAATCTGATGATGAGGACGATGAGCCGTTCAGACCACTGTCTGGCAATGGACGTGCTGCGAAACGTCGAAGAATCAGCGTCAAGGACGACGAATCTGATGATGAGTTTGGTCTCGATAACGCGACGCAAGCTGCAATGGTCGAGAGCGACGATGGTATGTCCATTTCTTATTCGTTGTGAGACTCACTTACCAGACGCGTGTAGCCTTCTCATTCTCTCAGCAAATGCCATCTGCGCGCACGGTTCCAAGAAATCAAGCTAATACCTCAGCAACAGACATGGATGATTTTGTGGTCGACGATGACCTCGAGGATGACGCGAAACCAACGAAGGCGAAGAAGAAGGCGCCTGTTAAGTCGTCGGTGAAGTCCACATCAGGGGATTCGTCAAGGAAACCGTCACCACCGCCTTTAACCCTTGAAGAGAGTGAGGAAATCCCAACCACATCGACTGCGACTCAATGGGCGTACGACCCAGACGCTCCACCCTCAACGGAGCCTCGCAAGCTGCCACCCAAGAAGAAATCCACATCAGACGCTACCAAGAAGCAGAAGGCACATGTCACAGATCCATCGGAACGCTATACGTGGCTCGCGGAAATTCATGATGCGGATAGGAACCCACCTGATCATCCGGACTACGACCCTCGCACTATATACATTCCACCGATGGCCTGGAGCAAGTTCTCTGCATTCGAAAAACAGTACTGGGAGATCAAGCAGAAATTCTGGGACACCATTGTGTTTTTCAAGAAGGGCAAGTTCTACGAGCTCTATGAGAACGACGCCACAGTTGGACATCAGCTGTTCGATCTCAAGCTCACCGATAGAGTGAATATGCGAATGGTCGGCGTTCCGGAAGCCAGCTTGGATCACTGGGCCAACCAATTCGTTGCCAAAGGCTTCAAGATCGCCCGAGTTGACCAAATGGAGAGCAAGCTTGGCAAGGATATGCGTGAGCGGGATGAGAAGAAAGGCAACAAGAAAGAAGACAAGATTATTCGCAGAGAGCTTGCCTCTGTGCTTACGGCCGGCACATTGGTCGAGGGTAGTATGTTGACTGATGATCTTGCCACCTACTGTGCTGCCATCAAGGAGTCGGAAGTGGATGGCAAGCCAAGCTTTGGCATCGCCTTTGTCGACACTGCTACGGCACAGTTCCAGCTCGCCGAATGGGTCGATGATCTCGACATGACCAAATTCGAAACATTCGTGGCTCAGATACGGCCCGGCGAGCTTTTACTGGAGAAGGGCTGTATTTCCGCAAAAGCACTCAGGATCTTGAAGAACAACACTTCACCGACCACCATCTGGAACTATTTGAAGCCAGATAAGGAGTTTCTGACAGCCGACAAGACGCGCATGAAGATCAATGGCGAAGCATACTTCGAAAAGCCTGACGATGACGAAGGTGTCAACGATTGGCCAAAAGTGCTTACCGAAGCGAAGGATAAAGATCTCGTGTTCTCTGCACTCGGTGCATTGACATGGTATCTCAGTCTGCTTAAGATCGAGCGTGACCTTCTCACATGCGGCAACTTCTCTTGGTACGATCCAATCAGAAAGGCGTCGAGCTTGGTTCTCGATGGCCAGAGTTTGATCAACTTGGAGATCTTTGCCAATACTTTCGATGGCAGCACTGATGGCACATTGTTCACCATGCTGAATCGATGCATTACGCCTTTTGGCAAGCGAATGCTGCGTCAATGGGTTTGCCATCCTCTGGCGGATGCAAGAAAGATCAATCAGCGTCTCGACGCTGTCGATGCTCTGAATGCTGATGGTACAGTCATGGACCAGTTCACATCTTCGCTATCCAAGCTTCCTGACCTCGAGCGGCTCATCTCTCGTGTACACGCCGGACGGTGCAGACCTCAAGATTTCGTCAAGGTTCTCGAAGGATACGAGCAGATCGAGTACACCATGTCGCTGCTCAAGAGATTCGGCGAGGGCGAAGGACTACTGGGCCAGCTCATTTCCGCAATGCCGGACCTCGCTGGAGCTCTCAAGCACTGGGCCGATGCCTTTGATCGCAAGAAGGCTCGAGATGACAGCGTCTTCATTCCGCAACCAGGTGTGGAAGAAGACTACGATGAAAGCCAAGAACGCATTGACAACGTCATTGCCCAGTTGAATCAGCTCCTCAAGAAGGCACGAAAAGATCTCGACTCGCAGGCTATCAAGTTTACCGACAACGGGAAAGAAATCTATCAGCTGGAGGTTCCAATCAAGGTCAAGGGCGCGATTCCAAAGAACTGGAAGCAAATGTCTGCCACCAAGCAATGCAAGAGATGGTACTCACCTGAGCTCGAGAGCCTCGTCCAGGATCTGAAGGAGGCACAAGAGATGCACGGCCAAGTCGAGAGGTCTCTGGCTTCACGATATTTTGCTCGCTTCGATGAAGATTATGCCATCTGGCTGGCAGCCACAAAGATCATCGCTCAGCTCGACTGCCTGATCTCACTCGCCAAGGCTTCGGGTTCTTTGGGCTCGCCGTCTTGTAGGCCAGAGTTTGTGGAAGACGACAATGCTCGCAGTGTGCTCGAGTTCCAGACTCTACGCCACCCATGCATCGAGACAACTACAAACTTCATTCCCAACGACATCGCTCTTGGCGGCGCCCAGGCCTCAATCACACTCTTGACCGGAGCCAACGCAGCAGGAAAATCCACTGTTCTCCGCATGACCTGCGTGGCAGTCATTCTCGCTCAGATCGGCTGCTACGTGCCTTGCGAGTCTGCACGTCTCACACCAGTCGACCGCATTATGTCTCGTCTTGGAGCCCATGACAACATCTTCGCCGGCCAGAGCACGTTCATGGTCGAACTCAGCGAAACCAAGAAGATCCTTTCTGAGGCCACGCCTCGCTCTCTCGTCATTCTCGACGAACTCGGTCGTGGCACAAGCAGCTACGACGGTGTCGCCGTTGCTCAAGCCGTCCTCCATCACGTCGCCACCCACGTTGGGTCCCTGGGTTACTTCGCTACGCACTACCATTCTCTTGCCGCAGAGTTCCGCCAGCATCCTGAGGTCGAAGCCAAACGCATGGCAGTCAAGGTCGATGATGACATCCGGGATGTGACGTTCCTGTACCAACTCGAGAATGGCGTGGCTGAGGGAAGTTACGGAATGCATTGTGCTGCCATGTGCGGAATTCCAACGAAGGTCATCGATCGTGCGGAAGAGGCGGCACAAAATTGGGAGCATACTGGGCGGATCAAGGAGAGCTTGGAGAAGGCCCAGGGCAGCGACTGGATGCCTTTGGGTCTACTGAGTGATGTCAGCTGGATGCTGAGGGATCGGGATGAAGAACACGAGGGCATCACGGAGAGGAGTCTGGAGGTGCTGAGGAAGGCTATCGCGGCGCTGTGAAAAGAGATGGGTGTGTAATGGAACTGCCATGCAGCGATCCTCAGGGAAATTGCTTGTGGAAACGACGCATGTGGCCATGGTGGTTGGCGTCGGTCTGTTGTCGCTTTTTCTGAAAATGTGTGAAGGAGGCTCGCTTCGAGATGTACGGTACAGCTAGGTAGTACATTTATCAGACAAATTCATGTCTGCTATATCGACTCCGATCTGCCTTCGCGATGCTGCGCTTTTTCGCCTATCATGTCCTACTTCCTTAAAATGTTGTACTCTTGTCTATCTCTCACCATTCAACCTTCTCTCTTGCACCTCAGTCAAAGCCTTGGACCCACTGACATATGCCACGACACCCAATACCGCTGCGGCGCTCAACGTTGGCCCCAATTTCCACGCACTGTAGTATAAGAAGAAAACTCCCTCCAATCCAAATACACTCCCCAAAAACAGCCCGTGTGCGATTGGTGCAGTGCCGAACGCTTTTCCCGCGTGACTGATGTTTCCGCCCAACGCGACCCACACTCCGAGAAGGACTGGCAGTGTTCCAACGATGGCGAGGGTGAAGAAGAGGGAGATCACAGTTGGAGGTGATTTGGGATCGGATTTGAAGATGTGGTGGATTTCGGGTTTGGCGGAGTAGCGTTCAGGTTCTGGGCCAGTGGAAGAGGCCGTGGCGTCGGGTTGGATTGTGAGGTGGAAGGCTGAGCTTCGGAGGGGCGTTGAGGAGCCGAATGAGGCGAGGGTTATGGTTGCGAGGAGGGGCTCGGAGGAGTGGACGAGTTGGTGGGGGATGTCTTTTTGGGACTGGAGGATTTCACGTCAGCGGAGTTGAGTGTACAATGTAAATGGTATGAAGAGCTCACGATGTCCACTTTAGCTTTGCCGTTGTCTTTGACGGAGAAGGCGAAGGATTCTTCTAGGCCGGTGCTCTCCTGGTGGAGAGTGAGGAAGGCTTGGTGTGGTCGTTTCCCGCTCTTGCCTTCTTGTGCCGTGAGAATGAGTTTGAGAGATGCCGCTGCTGGTAAGACAATAGGAGCTGCGATCGGTGCACTTGGTGAGAGTCTGGACAATGCGTGGTCAGAGGTAAAATGCGTTGACCTGTTCTCTCAGTATGGACATACTTGTGCTTCACAGCTTCGGAGCCCTTGGCCGCAACGGACAACGTCGCATCATCGAACGTCCACGAAGTCGCTGCTGATGCAATGGATGAAAGCGCGCAGGCGGCCACGCCGATCGTGTTAAGGAACCTCATAACGCTTGAACGAGTGTTGGACAAGGTCAATGGAACTATTCACAGCCATTGCGACAGCTGCCAGCTTTCCCTCTGAGATCAGCATGGTCTTGGCATTTGGCTAACCACTTACAGAAAAAGGGCCCACTTTTCAACTTTTCGAAGGCAGGAGCAGGAGCAGAGTGGTCGCGACTCGAGGCAGCCTGCGATGTGTAGCTCGACTGTAATATCATAAAACATTCAGATAGCTGAGTAGCATCGCATCGATGTGCATGGTGTTGAGCATTTGCACTGGTTCACCCAGGTGTGCATGTGAAGCCTAGGATATCCCGATGGTACCATGGCCATGTTTGTTCTCAACTTTTGGCCTCACAATGAAAATCACTTAAATACCACAAGTATCGCCGACTGCCCCTCGCATTTGTCTGCATAGGAAATCATCTCAAATACTGCTTCTACAAGCCCGTACGCAAACTTGCAGGGAGCATGTGAGAGGTGAACACATGCACACAGGCAACATCACGTGGGCGCTAGCAGACTAGCGTTTCGACACCTCCAATTCCGTTATTTGCCTCTGAGCTTTGCGAGGTGCTTGCCTTGACGACACTGCACTTGTCCACTTCCATCCACTCTGACCAATCCATCACCATCTGCGGTCAAGAAACATCAGGCACGGAAAGATATCAAGAAGAAGCAGTCACGAGTCGACGCCCGTCGCTCACCATGGCGGACCGCGCCCCCAAAGGAAAAGCGCGACGTACAGATTCCAGCGGCCTTGAGTCACGAGATCCACTTTCAAGCCCTGCCATCAGCGATTCCAATCTCCAAGAAGATGGTCCTCCGAAGAAGAAGACGAAATTGACGATGAAAGGACCCAAGCCACCAACACCAGCACCAGTCAAGAAAATGCCAAAGAGAGAACGGAACCCTCCTAGTAAATATCAACAAGATGCCATGCCGCCACCACCAAAGTCCAAGAAACGTCGTTCATCCCCCGCGCCATCGTCTGGTCTCTCTTCCCTATCCTCGGCCCCTGCATCATCTGCTGGAGATGAGGACGAATCCCGCGAGGAGTCTCCATTCGAAGATGTACCAGAGACGTCGATCGCTGAATCCTACGGCGATTTTGCGTCTTTCTACATCACAGGCGGTGACGAGCCAGATGAGACACCAAAGACCAGCAAGCCAGCGAAGACGTCGAAAGCAGCGCCCAATGGCGAGAAGCGCAAACGTGCTTCGACTTCTAGCAAGGAGCCACCTCAAACTGATGCACCGAAGCAGGTAGGAAGACCCAAGAAAGGCACGAAGCCGCCGTCATTGCGACGATCGAGTTCAAGTGGGAAGGTTATCGCACCCGCGACCGCTCCTTCCCAAGAGTTGCCAAATGTCCAGCAGCCAATGCCAATGCCAGGGCCACAGCCTCCGCAATTGCCTAGCCAAGGCCCAACTCCACCACAACACCAGCTACCTCAGTCCAGGCCGCCGCCTGTGCCTCCTCATGGCCCGGGGCCGTATCCACCTCCAGGGCATCCGCTCCCTGGTCACATGCACCAGCCACCGCCGGGGCCGCATCACCCACCGCCGCCAGCTCCAGCTCCGGTCATACGTTTCATTGAAGTGCCCTTTGACCCGAAGCCTGCAGAGCCTGACACTGTTGCAGTCATGATAGACAAACTACAGTCACTGTCCGCAACACTCACACAGTTCGGTGGTGTTCCTGCTGTTTCCGTGACTCCGCCACGCGACCTAAAATCTGCTATCAATGGACCACCGCCGAAGACGAAGAAAGAGCCCAAGACTAAGCCTGAGGCAGGCGACAAGGATGACCAAGTTGACACTTTCCTGGGTCTCTTTGATGGAGATGACGATGATGATGAGTCTGGAGAGTCGGAGGACTCTCCCATCCCAATTGACGTCGATGAGATTGAAGCCAAAGACTTTAACTATGTGCTGCCCGAACCAGGCACACAAGACTCTCCTTTGGCCTTTGGCATTCAATTCATTCAGAATGCTCTCAAATCGTGGGCACAACAGCGCATGACGCACCAGATCATGGCACAGTGGAACGATGAGCAGTCTCGCGGCTGTTTCCTCCCTCAGCATAACAGAGGTCGGGGTCGTCCAAAGAAGTACGATGCGCCGCCGGGTGGTCCGCCGCCTGTGATCGAGATGAATCTGGTTGACACACCAGAGGGTCTGGCTATAAGAAAGTTCCAGCTCGTCCTCGACTCGGGCTGTCTGCAGGTCAACACGCTTTTGCCTGTCGAGCTTGCTCGCGCTTTGCGCCTTCTGTACATGCAGATCGACAATCTCATCAACCAGGGTCGCACGGACGAGAAGGCCACTTGGTACTGTATGTCCTACGGTGCACAATTTGCTGCCCACCAAACACGTCTCAACCACTTCAAGGAGACGGAAGCTCGGCTACAGCAAGAGGCTGCGCTGATGCATCAGCAACATCACCAGCAAGTCATGGCGCAGATGGGTCTCAACCCACAAACAACGCCGATGACCGCGGACGAAGTTCAACATCATCATGCGATGGAGTTGGAGCGTCGTCGGAATGCCCAACATGCACAGCAGCAGCCCTACATGGCTTCTCAACACTTGAACCCGTTACAGCTTCGGTCACATCCCTCAACCCCGCAGCTGAATGGCCCATCGCCTTCGCCCGCCCCTGGCCAGCAGGGCTCACCCGTCAACGTCAAGCCAGAGGATGGCGCCTCTCCCGACGCAAACGGTGCTCCACAGAAGAATCACCTCGAGAAGGTCAAAATGTACATGCCTGGCTTTCTTCCTCGCTCAGGACAGTCTATGAATTTCTCCTTTCCACCAGAAGCAACAGAGGCACTCAAAGCTTTCGGTCCCAATGCTTTCCCTCAGCCAGGTCCACCACCCCAGCAGATTCCTAATCGCGGTCCCATGATGGACGTGCCTCGTCCTCACAGCAGCACACCCATGTTCCAGAATCCTCTCAGCGAGAGAGTGAAGTCCAACACCGTGCGTAGCCCAAGTGTTAGTGACACCAAGGAAGACGCCATCGATCTTACGTCTTCAGACGGTCCTCAGCCTGAGCAGGCCAGTGCTCGTCCTGCTACGAGCAATGGGCACGTTAGCGGTTTCGTTCCGATCAACAAGCCGCTTCCTCCGCCTGCTAGCCCTAGTGAGCGCCGCCTCTCGGTGCCTACGGAGAAAGTGCGAGACACTATCAAAGTCGCTGCTGCTGGCGGTCCTTCCTCTCGCAAGAGCAGCGCTTCTGCTGTCGGCAAAATCACTCTGAAGCGGAAGAATCGCGGATCAGCTGGGAGTTTCCCGCATCCGGGCGCTGTTGTGGTTGATGAGTAGTGGTGATTGGTCGCTCGCGTGGCGACAATGCTTCCAGCAAAAGAGGCGTATTGCTTGTTGCGAGTATGCTTCGAGCAACATGGGAGACTAACTTGTTGCGTTATCATATGTTTTTTCTTTTCCTTCTGTTTCGAGAGAATAGAGAAGAGCCGAGCCGGAGATTGAGGGAAAGGCTCGCAGGACCTAAGGGACAGTTCAATGGAAGGAGGAAAAATACTGTTAAGAAAAAGGCACTGTGAAGGGAAGAAAAGGCATGTCGAGAAAGTGCTTCTGATGCCTATGTAGTTCTCTTGGTGTTCGGTATATGTGTTCGAATCAAATTTTCGATGAAAACCTGTACATGTCTCCTCGTACACCTCGTTCTCGCAAGCCTTTTGCGATCTAGTGTCTGAATAGTCGAAACCACATTCGCATATCCGACCATTCTGCCTCCAGCCAGAAAGCTCGTTCTACACTCTGTGCATATTTTGCATCATCAGTGTCCATCCGTACTCATACATAGAAGCACACACATCTTGGGCTAAGCTCTGCTCAGTTCACCATGGCTTCCACACTCCCAATTGGCCGACTCGCAAAGGCCACACAACCCTCTGCGACGCCCTTCCTCGTCTGCTCACTGCTCACTTTCTCCCCACCAAGATAACCCAACCAAATCAGCTTTCCAATCCTCTCGTCATCCACTTTTCCTAAATGTTGCACTTCCTTTTCCTTCCCTTGCGCACCAGGCTTCTCTTGGAACCAGACATCCAACGCGCCATTGTTGTTCCGCGATAGGATCATGACGCTGCCTTTGGGAGCTTTGCCGCCAGTGAAGATGTTCTTGAAATCGCTGACTGATTTCCCAAAGTCTTCGTGGTCGTACTCTGTTTCGGCGCCGCGGGCAATGGCCTTGAACTCACGAGTGCGGTTGGAGATTCCTGTTATCCAGCCGTCGCGGAGATGGCCGAAATCTGTGTTGCGGGTGGGAGCTATCCTCCAGGCGGTCTTGATGCCGGGGACTTGGAGGAGGTCAATCCAGATTTCGCGGCTTGCGGAGGGGTCTACAAGACGTTGGCGGAGTTGATCTTTCTCGGAGGGAATGAGAGTTGAAGCTGTTTCGTTAACATCCTTGATGAGGCGTTGTTGGAGGGTTGCGATGTCTTGGGTCCGGATGTAGAGTCCTGCCACGTAGACTTGAATTGAAAGAAAGGAGACCGTGCGAATACCGAGTCCTACGAGGGTATATTGTTCTTGGTTGGAGATGTTGCCTAGATTGGCGCCCGCATTGGGCTGCGTGATGTCAATGTTACCGAGAGGATCAGATTTGGGCTTGGACTCTTGATTTGTAGGAAGGTAAATTGTTCGAGGGAAGTGAGGAACACTTGATGTGCCAGTTTCGACAAGCTCAATCTCTTCTCCTTGTCCTTGGGCTACTATCCTCTTGCCCTCACCTGCTCCAATAATGGTCACGCTCTTGCCCTGGAATGTCTTGTCGTCCTTGTCGCCCGCATCTAGCTGTTGTCCCCGCCTATTTTTCTCTGATGATTCCATCTGCTCAAGATCCAGATTGGACAGGGTAATGGTCAATCCCGCCAATGTCAAAAGTAGGCCCATGCCGGCGAATCGCATGCGGCGCAAGTGATACTGTTTCCTCTCCTCCTCCGCCAGATACTGATCGCGCATGCTCAGCTGAGGTCGCAACCCGGCGTCCAGCTCCACGGCCGGTACCTGCTGTTCCACCTCGCCCGCAAACGAAGGTGCTTGCGCGGGAGCAGCTGTGAAGGCTCTCTTGCCCGGATTGCTGTAGCGCGACGAGGCATGGCGGATCTGCGAGCATCTCGCCGGTCGCTGCAGGCACTGGATCCTCGGCGACAGTAAGCGCATCGCTGCGCGTGTGTTGGCGGCCATGATCAAGCTGTATTGGGACAGTATACAATGGCACGCAAGGAGCAGCAGCAGATGCAGCTGTCATGGTGGAGCGCGGCGGCGATCATTGCCGAAGTTCGCGCGGCTTGGCAGGTGTGCACACTTCGCCCAAATCGTTCCGCGCCTGAAGATTTGGGCTGTTCCTCAGCGCACGCGATTGTTCAACTTCACCCAGCATCGCCCAACCCGCGCCCTTCGAGGAAATCCAGACAACTTCCAACACAGCGACAACTCAGCTACCAAGATGGTGAGTCCCCGACCAGCCGCGCCCATCGCCGCGCACGCAATGCCCACGAACACACTGCCATCGAATGGCCCGCACACGACACCCCCGTGCTGCATTCCCGCCTGCACATGACCTCCATCGCCGCGAAACAAACATACAACAACTAACACAATGGCTTGCAGTCGGACGGAGAAGAGCAACCCCAGGATGTCGCCGCGGCCGAGGAGGTCGAGGTGGCAGCAGACTCCGCCAAGTCTGGCTCCATGTCCGTTCTCGACGCCCTGAAGGGTGTCCTCAAGATCGCCCTCATCCACGACGGTCTCGCCCGTGGTCTCCGTGAGGCCAGCAAGGCCCTCGACCGCCGTCAAGCACACATGTGCGTGCTCAACGAGTCCTGCGAGGAGGAGGCCTACAAGAAGCTCGTCGTCGCTCTCTGCGGCGAGCACAAGATTCCTCTCATCAAGGTTCCAGACGGAAAGCAGCTTGGCGAGTGGGCCGGTCTCTGTATGTCCAATGTCTCTGTCAGATGTGGGTCACTGCATCAAGCTAACAGCACTGCGCAGGCCAAATTGACCGCGAGGGTAACGCACGCAAGGTCGTCAACTGCTCTTGCGTCGTCGTCAAGGACTGGGGTGAGGAGTCTCAGGAGCGCAGCATCCTCCTCAACTACTTCCAGACCGAGCAGTAGACGAAGCCAGATGGAAAAAGGACAAAAAATGTGCCGACTAGATACCCCGATTGCTAGCATCGCCATTCGAGGACTCCGTCTATAGACTTCACGGAAGAGATTCGGCAGAACGGATACAATTTCTTCAAAAATGCATCAACTTCGCGGGACAGCTCTGCGGTCATACCAACGGCTCTTCTCTCTCGGACCATCTTTCAGACGGAACGAAGTGTGCTGTTTCGGGAGCTAGACGTGCTCTCAGCTGTGATTCAGCTGTACTGTGCTGTAAAGCTTCTGCTCGCACGGACAATACTCGAGCTGTCGAAGAATCCATCACGTCTCTTCTAATTGTCATTTGACAATGCGTGATTCTGTTACTGACACGAACAGATGTCTGCGCCTTTTCGTCACAAGTCTTGTGCCCTCTCAGAAACGACTGGCACGGGTTATCCGCTCACCTGTTCCGCTCAGCCACCGCATTGACGCTCGTGCTCCCCTGTGTCGCTATGGAACGTCGCATCCGGTGAAATATTGAATTGAAAGCATGCTTTCCATTCTCATCGCAAGTATTTGGGGAACTTCAGATCGCGACTTCGCCATGATATCAACTGGGAGCCGACATGCGCACATCCACTTCCTTCCTCGTGGTTTCTCTCAGGTTGAAAATGCCAACAACATAAAGATGCCGTCAGACGAGAATGCACCTGGCTTTGGGAACCCAGATCATTGACTATCATCTCCCTCTCCTCCCGGAGCTGTAGTCGTTTCAACAGTAAAATCCGACCCCTCATACGTTTGACTCCCACTATTTTCCTGTTCTCGCACATCCTCATAGTCCGTCTCCGTTGTCGTATTTTCACTCCGATACCCAGGCAGCGGCTCTGCCACCCAATCGCAAAGCAATTGTGAAATTTTCCTCAAATCAACCCTTGCCCTAATCATCGTATCCCAAGGTAGATTTCGACAACGCTCATCACTCGGCTTCGTCCCGCTCCGATTGAGATTCTCCAAATCTTCGTAAAGACCTTTGAGATCAAGTATCGCTTGATTGAGATACCATGAAGACCAAGCTGCGGCGATTTGGAAGAGTCCTGTTCCGCGCGCTCCAGCGCAGACGAGGAATTGTGCGTGGTCGGGATCGAAGAGGATGTTGCAGGGGATGGTGAATTGTTGGGTCGAGCAGGCGTTGAAGGCGGAGAGGGAGGAGATGTTCATTTGTGTGACGGCCCACAGAGAGGCGTTGACTTGGGCGATGTGGGATTCTAGAGGGCAGAGAGGTGGGCAGGTGATATTGGTTGTGGTTGATTGCGACGAAAGCGCTAGGTTTACGTCTGTTGTTGAGTTGGTCAGGGTTGTGTTGAGGAGAAGGCCTGTCGTGTTTAGTTCTAGTTTCTTGAAGCCGGAGTGTTGTTGAGGCTGTGGTGAGCTGATGACAGATACCGCCAGACAGGCTGCTAGCAGTAGCTTGAGTGCCATTTTTGTGGATATGAGGTTTCCAGGAGGTGGTCGATGAGGTTCATGAGAGCTTTCCATAGTTTTCCTATATCGCGGCCATATTGCTTGTTCTTGCCATGCAAGGTACCATTAGACGAGATTGAGTGAATACTCCCAACCGTGTTGCATTCCAATGAACGCATGACATTGATTCTTGGGCCAGCCCTAGTTGCGGACAGCAAGCCGGGAACTGGGAAATACGCTCGCTTTGCAATCTCTCTCGCGACTCGGGTCTCGCAGCTGCCTCGTTTGTCGTTATAGATCGCCTTAGCTGCGCTGCATAAGGCGGAGATACGAGGATCGAATAACACTCGATTTTCGCTAGCAGAAGAGCATGGAGTCTCAATCCTAATTTCTGTTTTGCTTTCCGGCAGTAGCAGCCGTGCCAGCATCAAAGCGATATTTTGGGCCTAATTTTGACTGTACTTGACTTCTTCCAGATTCGTTTATTCATGCAAACATGAGCAAAACCTGTTCCATAAGTGATCTAGAAGTTACGGTCGCAGTGCCAGATGGCACATAGCCCCAACTATTGGAGATGTCCCCACCGCTGAACACAAGATAGGTCTAGTGAAGCACTGGACTGGGACTGCTGACGAGATCAGCCCAGGTCAACGGTGCGTGCATACCATGTCGTGATCTCCAAGCCAAGGGCTGGTCGCAGGGCTGTAGTCTCTGTTGCGAGAAGGCGAAAGAGTCGGACGCAACGAGGAAGTGGGTCGCAATGCCCTCCACAGGCGGCGTCACAGCTACATCAATGTGCGGCATGGCCTCGCAATACTTGTCCTCACCGACAGTGCTCCGAGCTGCGCGTCAGACCTGGGAATGTTCTTGAAAGCACGATGTTTGCGTTCGTAGGGCAGGTCCCAGCGGTACGGTCAATGGGCTGGCGGATGCACGATCCTAGTGGCACATCTGTGCATCCTGACAGATGCCAATGCTTGAATGACTAAGTAGCTGCAGTGCCCCCAATGGCCAGGAAATGCGTCGTCAGCAGAGTAGTAGAAGTCACATGTCGCTTGATCAGCAACAGCTCCAAACATGATGCCCTGCCGATCACAGCAGCCCATGTCGTCATTTCCGACTGCCTTAGAAATCAACAAATAGAAAACCATTGGAGTTGCTGCAAGTGCACCTGCTACGAAGCGCTTTAGCAGTTATAAAACTTCTCTTCTCTTTTCTCTTCCTCACCACCAGTCCTTGCCAAATCTCACTCCAGGAATCCGAAGTCAAACCCAGCCACAATGTCGACTTCACACCACAACATCAACGAGAAGCCAGCTCAGACGCCCGACCACAACATCAATTACCGAGCTCCTGGCATTTCCTACTTCACACCTCTACAGGATCCTCCGGCTGGTACAGCACTGCTCGTGGAGGACCAGAAAGATGTGCCGAAGCTTTTCAAGCCGTTGAAGCTGCGTGGCATGGTGAGTTTGCAGGCCGGCTGAACTTTTTGCCGCAGCGAGAACTAATGGCTGTAGACATTGCAAAACCGCATTATGCTCAGTCCACTTTGCCAGTACAGTGCCGAAGATGGACACTACACTATGGTAAGTATCATGGTACTCATTGTGGAAATGCGCACAAATTGACATTTTCCGCAGTGGCACAAGACACATATCGGCGGTATCGTTCAGCGTGGTCCAGGTCTGACATGTATCGAAGCAACCGGCGTACAAGCACGAGGCAGAATCACGCCAGAAGATGTTGGACTCTGGAAAGACAGCCAAATCGCTCCAATGCAAGATGTGGTCGAGTTCGCTCATAGCCAGAATCAGCACATCATGATCCAGCTTGCCCACGCTGGACGAAAGGCAAGCACAGTCGCTCCATGGCTCAGTTCCGGAGACATTGCCGGGAAGGACGTGAATGGCTGGCCAGACGATGTGATTGCTCCATCTGCAATCCCGTGGAACGAGAAGCATGCCCAACCAAAAGAAATGACTTTGCAGGACATCGCAGACTTGAAGAAGGATTTCAACGATGCTGTTAAGCGTGCCTTGAAAGCTGGTTTCGATGCTATTGAGATTCACAACGCTCACGGATATCTACTCCACTCTTTCCTCAGCCCTGTCAGCAACCAGAGAACAGACCAATACGGCGGCAGCTTCGAGAACAGAATCCGTCTAACACTGGAGATTGTCGAAGAGACTCGTGCCACGATTCCAAAGGATATGCCTCTCTTCCTCCGCATTTCGGCGACAGATTGGCTCGAGGAGCAAAAGGACGAATTTCCCGAATCTTGGACCGGAGACGATACTGTCAAGCTGGCTCCTCTGCTCGCCGAACGTGGCGTTGATCTCCTGGACTGCTCTACGGGTGGCAACCATCCAAAGCAACACCCTCATGTCAAGCCGGCGTACCAGGCTCCGTTCGCAATCAAGGTGAAGCAAGCTGTGGGAGACAAGATGGCCGTCGGCTCAGTCGGCGCGATTGAATCTGCCGAGCTTGCGAACTCTTTGCTTAAGAAGGACAATCTGGACCTCGTAATCGTGGGACGAGGATTCCAGAAGAATCCTGGCTTGGTGTTCAAGTGGGGAGACGATCTTGGCCTACATGTCAATATGCCGAACCAGATTCGCTGGGGATTTGGTGGACGCGGGAAACGCGCAGGCAAACCGGTGACAGAGGTGAAGGAGCTGTATGATGTGTTCCCAGGCACGAAGTAGACGGTTCTTGGTTCATGATATGCATGATTGACTTCATGAGATGATGAAGATATGATAGAAAAAGACACATATACAATCGACTACCAGAGTAGACCACTTTGTATCCTGTTTTCTGATCCTTTCAGCATTCTAATGCAACAAGACCAAAAGTGAGGCAAAATGATTGTCTTGCGAGGATCAGAGAAAATTGATTGTTTTCCTCTCTGACCCTTGCGGCGACATGTAGGCACCAAGGTCGCAGGTGGGAAAGAACGAGTATCCCTGAACAATCAGGGAAGAGCGGGTCGTGTCCTGTGTCTCCAGGCCTCTTGACAACGTGCAGGCAACGGGGGTGGAAATCAGGCAAAAAAGCGTTGCGCGACGATCAGAGGAGATCGATTCATATTCTGTATCTCTGATTCTTCGGGCTTCAAAGCGCCCACGAGGGCCGAAACTCGATCAAATAGCCACGAGTATATGGTAGAAGCATCTGCAAATCATGGTAGCAGAAGAGTTGTTCATTCTGACCAGCGACCAAAGTGCCAGTGATCGATCTGTATATGAGGTATCCGATGTGCTTCCTAGGACAGAGTGAGTGAAAACTTGGTTTTCTCGTTCCGTATTAGATGTGTGAACCTTTATCAGAGCCACGACACTGTAGGTGCTGAGGTGTGTACTGATGGTGAAGCGATGATAGAAAAACGAAGAAGCGTGCATGGAAGGGCAAGCGTGAACAGGTGAATTCTTCATGCCCTTCGTAAACAAAATAGTGTGGCTTGCTCTTCGATGCCTATCTCGATACTCGTACATCTACCAAGCATGTCGTGTCGCGTGTCCTTCTGTGCTTATGTGCAAACGTCCGTATCATTAACCGGCTCTCTCTGCATGTAAGATCTCGACACCAGCCTTCGCACTAGATATACTCTTGCTCTTTTCCGCAATCTCTGCCTCATCGCCCACAAGCGCATCAGGCCCATCGAACACGACGGCCATGTTCTCCAGACTGTGGCCGCGAGTCTCAGGGTAGAAGAAGAATGCTGTGACACCGTATGCAACGATGATCACGACGAAAACGAGGTAGTACTTCCATCCAATGGCATCGAGTGCGATCGGGTTGACGAAGGTGTTGAAGACGATGGAGACAACGACTGTCAGGCCCATCACGGAAAGACCGCGACCACGGAGGTTGTAGGGCCAGATTTCTGCTGGGTAGGAGACGACGAGTGGTGTTCTGGACAGGATGATTAGCTTATGCTGGATGAGTCGAGAAAGATAGAACTCACAATGCAATATCGTAACCTGCAAAGAAGATGAACAGGAAAGGAATCACGGCTGTACCAACGGAAGAGCTTCGACTCTCCGCAAATGTTGCTGACAGTGCTGTGGTGATGACATAACCGACCAACATGATTGCTGCCGATGCGAGGAACAGGAAACGTCGTCCGAGTTTGTCGACTGAGAAGGCGGCGGTCACGGACCAGATGAGATTCCAGATCTGGAGACAAGCAGAGATGAGGGTTACATCGCGCGTGCTTGTGATCCCGATGCTGTTGAGGATGATGGGGAGATAGTAGCTCACGACTCCGTTTCCGGCCCATTGAGAGAAGAACGCGAGCGAGATGGTGATGAAGAGTCGATGTCTGTTGCCTTTGGTCCGCGTCATCTCCATGTAGCTTGCTGATCGGGCAGCTTCTCGCTCGAGTCGTAGTGCGGTCGAGATCTCCACGATCTCGTGATCGATCAGCGCCGGGCTTTCGTGGCCTCCATGTGCGCGATAGAGGACTTCTCGGGCCGCTTCCACGCGGTCGACCGATATCAGCCATCGAGGGCTTTCTGGGCAAAAGAACAGCCCTGGAAGAGCGATGATAGGGATCAGAACTTGGAGAATGGTGGGGATTTTCCACGACCAGTTTCCGACCATGTTCCTAGTGCCGAAGGTGACAAACGCGCCGATTGTACCTCCCACGTACCATCCACAGTTGTAGAGCGCACTTGCGATGCCTCGATGAGGAGGATAAGCGATCTCGGTGATCAACATGGCGACAATTCCCGAGAACCAGGCACTGGCGCATCCAACGAAAAATCGTTGAAGAACAAAAAGGTAGTCGTGATTGCCTGCGGTCAAGCTGACACCGAGGCCCATGAAGACGTATCCGACGTAGATGCCGTTCTTTCTTCCGTATTTGTTCGCAAACCACACCGAAATAGGGTAGTTGATGCCGTTACCGATCCAGTAGATGGCGGACATGAATCCTAGCCAGGCGCCTGTGGGCTCGTCCATGAAGTCTTGCCATTGGTATAGTGCCTGCAGCCCGTTCATGAGACTTCCATCGTATCTGTACATAAGTTCAGCATGCTGCCTCTCCTCGAGATGCGCTTAAGGAAATACGAACCCGTTTGCGGAGGCTGAGATGTGCGTTAATGATCATGCAGCCAAATCAGATCCCAGTGCCTACCACTTACCGAACAAGACCAAGCTGACAATGCTGTAGTTGAGTTTAATCAGATAGGGCTTCGTAAACCACGGTTTGTTGTCACTTGGAAGCAAAGCAAGAAGCGCGTCGCCATTGGCGTTCGCAGGTGCCTCGTTGCCCATGACTGCAGGGTCGGCGCAACTCCAGGAGTCGTCGAGACGTGCTCGTGCAGCGCAAAGTGTATGATGTTCTTCGAGTGTCTTGCCTCACAAATAGTGCCTGGACATAGCTGCGATGAAGAAGGGCAATGAAGGGGGAGATATAGACCGGTAATACGGGCCGCGCACCCAGGTACTTCTGCTTGCTGGCACGTCTCTATCCCTCTCGTGGCGAGGCTATTGACTGCCAAGGCGCCTGCCCAGAATCTCCAGATGTTCACTGGTGAAGATGGAGAGCGCCAGACCTCGAATAGGAAAGCCGTCCACGACACCTCTTCGGCCGAATTTCGAGGTAACAAGCCACGGCGCAGAGATCTATGTACCTTGATATGTTCAGTAATCCAGCAATAGGTGCACTCGACGTTAGCAAAGCTGCTTTGATGTTAATTCTCTCCCTACGGTGACATGAGCAGAGATCTTCTGCCAGTCGAGGCCTCCAGCATGATGCCTCGTGGCAAAGGAGCCTACGAGGCCATCCCTTGTTTCCACGCTATTGCCATGTTCCGAAGCGCTGGATTTATGCAGAATCGTGGGGCGGATAAAGGCTGGCGTAACGTCGGGCAGTCCAATGCAGCATGGCATGATCGTACAGATCGCTTACGCCCAGTTTCCGGAACGAGTCAGGAACGCGTGACAGAATGTCGAACCAAGCGAGGCTGAGCTGCTGCCCGAGACGGCAGTTGTGCCCACTTTGGTTGTGTTGTAGCAGCAGCGGCAGCACAGATGAAGTGGTAAGATCGGGGATTGACTTGCCGTCAGTGGCCGAATGGCTCGGCAGACCTGCTGTGGAAGGTCGTCCGAGTCGCGCCGGGGCATCTCGGTAGAACACTATTCCTTCCCCCAGACAACCACACTTCACCTACCGAGCAAACCAAGTGTATCGCGTCTTGCCATCTCACACTGCAGGCCCAGCAATTCCTTTGCATTCGTACAGAGTCAGAAAGCGCGTATTGCACGTCGCCTGGAGGCAAGATATGAAGCCACGAAGCCTACCACTGCTCTGATGTCTGAAATTGCCTGCACTCTAATCGGCATGTCAATGGGCATATACACCGTACCGATGTGCCTACGGTTGCGGCGCTGATATCGAAAAGATCAAACATGAACGGCGTGAAGATGATGGCTTCCTGACGCAATCGTGTCTCAGGAACAGACTTACTCATTGTAGTTGCTAGCCCGCCACGGTCTATGTCTTCCCTTGTGCCTTAGTGCGCTACCATGGACCTTGGCATCGCCGGAGCAACGGTCATTCATGGAATCGTGACTGCCAGAGACTGCGAGATTGATCTGTCCAGCCAAGAGCATACGACCGACCATGGGCTCATCATGCATCATCTTCTTGCGTGATCTCCCACGAACTCGAAAGCCCTCTGCATACATTCAAGACTCGAATTGGGACATCGCGGACAGCAAACTGGAAACTGCGAAAATACACAATCTGCAATTTCTCTCGCGTGCTTAATCCCACAACTACATCGCTTGTCGAGACGGAGCGCCTTAGCTACGCTGCATACTGCAGAGATACGAGGATCGGAAGGGCACTCGAGTCCCCCAGGTGGACGAGTACGCAATGTTCATCCTACTTTCTGTTTTGCTCTCCAATGGCAGGGCGGTCACACCCATCCCATACGAAGGAGTCCACAACTGAGTGCGATCCTATTCTCCGGAGCACAAGATTTATCTCAATAAAAATACTTCACCACGCCACTGGGCATTCTTTGGCCCTTCCCGCCCTCCTTCTCGAACCACTCCATTGCCTTCTCCGCCTCCTGATCCACATCATACCTATACCAAAACTCCTGGTGCTCCCTTCCCCAAGCCCTCACATTCATCGGCATGAGCGGTCCGTCATAGTATTCCCTAATTCTCCTCTCGTATTTCTCCCCATCCAGAACACCATCTTTCATATGATAGAACATGACGTTCGAATACAAATGCGTGACATTTCCGCGCGGAAGTCGAAGATCATTGTACGACTGGCAACGCAGCGGAATATCCGTGGAGGCTGAAGAGGTGTCGCGGAAGAGTGTCGCGAGTGATTGCGCGTCTTCAATCCCGAGACAACCACCTTGAGCGTGGGTGGGCTGGAACGGATGTGCGGCGTCGCCGATGAGGATGGCGCGTCCGTTGTTGTAGCGAGAGATTGGTTCTCTGAGACTGATGGGGAAGCATTTGAAGTCCTCGTCGCTTGGAGCGGCGTTGACCACCGCGCGCCAGAAGGGATGAAGGTCTTGAGAGTCTAATACGGAAAGGACTTCAGCCTTGGTCCCTGGAGATGACCAGCCTTCGTCGTTTTCGTGGCCAGGGCGGGTATTGTGGAACACGGCAACGTTCATGATCTCGTCGAAAGAGCAAGGATAGGTCACGAAGAAGAGACCTTCGTGCGTCGTGCTGTAGAAGCCGCTGGGCTCGTTCTGGAATTGACTCCAGATGAGAGGGTCATCTCGGAGGCTTTGCATGGGGATCAGACCGCGAAAGACGGATTTGCCTATTTTCTGAGGGACGACATCGAGACCGCTGACTGTTTTGACTAGTTCACTTCGAATTCCATCAGCGACGACAACGAGATCGTGCTTGGCGGAGGCGCCGTCTTTGAAGTTGAGGAGGCCATTTCCACAGTCCAGATCTATCACTTCTTTTCCAAGCAAGATCTCCACTCCTAACTCTTCTGCCATGGTCCTCAGCCCACGATGCAAATCCACGCGATGGAAAGCATTGAAATTGTGACCGAACCTCTCTGGAACATCTTGGAACCCGAATTGATATTCCACATCCAGGGTCGTGGCATTCACCATTCGAACTAGCAGCTTGTCTGTTTCGCCATACACTTTGGCATCGAATCCCCAACGGTCGAGGATTCGATTGGCGTTTGGCGTGAGAGTGATTGCTGCGCCGATTTCGTTCTTGAATGTGGACTTTTCATAAATCTTGACGATACTGGATGAGCTGGAACGTTTGAGGGCGATTCCTGCCGAGAGTCCTGCTATTCCGGCGCCGATGATGGCCACGTTGAGTGGTGGAGGCGTTTCAGCAGCCATTATCGCATCGGCGTGGTCATGCGCTTGCTCGGCTGCTCAATCGGAAGTTCTACGTGCGCGAGACCAAGAATGAAGAAGATATGTGCACATACAATGCCCAGTAGAGAACGGTTGCATACAAAAATCATGGTCTCACTTCCCCACTCGCAACAGACGTCCAAGGTGTTTAGAAGATTGCGGAGCTTTGCAAGCGAAGGATCTTTCGTCACACCGAAATGGGGACCCGAATCCTGATGGAAGCTTACTAGCATAAGTCATCCTGCGGACTGCATTCAGATCTTGTGTTTGTTTGATCTTGTCTGATTAGCTGCTCGCTCTACCGCTGCAAAGCAAAATGAAAACCGTAATTAACTTTGCGCAATGCGCACGCGCAGTCGAGTACTTCCCGCTCCTGTTGTCTCTGCTTTGTGCAGCGCTCTAACGGCACTCTGTCTTGCGAAACGAAATGGTTGCAGACCCAAGTCCGTGGCGAAAGAGTAACAATGGTCATTGTTCCGAGCCTCCATTCTCTTGGCCACGACTAGTCGCCCTGCTCAAATTTGTGATCCAAGCCAGCGCCCGGCACCCAAGACATCTCAGCAACCTCCTGTTCCTGCTTGCACACCACATCCTCTTTGCTCAATCTCGGGACTTCAGTTCCCAGTCCTTCCGCCTCGCGCTCGCCTTTCACAAAAACGTCCAAACTCACCCAGTCCTTGATTCCGCGACTCTGCTTGTCATAATGATCTCCCACGTGCTGAATTCTCAACTCCGTTACCAGTCTCGCCATAGTCTTGTCCGTTCTTCGACGTGCCAGAAAGTTCTCCGAATCCGATCCCAGCCGAGCTTGCACCTGCGTAACGTCCTCGTCGCAGTGAATCATCGCAACACAAAATCCGCACCAAAAAGACGTGGTCATCTCGGCTTCACCGATCGTCTGGCTGAGTGCTCCATGACCCAAATTTGAATTCTGCCCTTGCTTTCGCACCTGTCGATGTCTTGGGCTTTGATGCTGAGTCGACTCGTGTCGCTTCCAATCGTTTCTTGAGCCAAAATCTTTGTTGCAGCGGGGAAATGTGCAGCCATAAGGTCTTGTGTGACGTTTAAGGTGTTTTCTGCCGGACGAGGAACATCGTCTTGTTAGTGATGGCGCTCGGTGGTGCATAGAGGGAGTGCTGAATATGGAGAGTGAGAGGTGGGGGCAGTACAGTACTTTAAATCGCATTCGCGCTTGTAGAGTTTGAAGCAGTTCGGACATGGGTGGTTGCCAGGCTCGGTTTTGATCTGGCGCGGAGATCGTTCTTCCGAACATGCTGGAATGGGCCGTGGAGAGCTCAGACTGGTTTGGCTCGCAATCTGGGTTGGCGACCATGGTCGATTGTCGGTGACGGCCGCATTGTCCACGTGCGGAAGTTCGCTGGCCTGCTGAGCGGGAATCATGTAGTATTGTGATGTTGGAAAAGAGCTCGACATGGGTTGCTCGTGGACTTCTTCCATGATACTACCGATCGGTATCGGCATTGGCCAATAGGTGTGCTCGTTGTGCTGCATATCAATCTGACTCCCCATCGCGGCTAGCGGGTCTTCCGAAATACCACTTGCTGGAAACAGCGGCGAGAATTCGTCGTGGAATGGGTTCTGATGCTGTGCGGCGTCGTCCTGTTGAGCAGAACGCCAAGCTGCTTCTCTCGGATCACTTGGGCTGAGGTCCTGGGGCAATTCTGCAAAGCTCACCACGGACTGCTCCTCGATGTCGGCCGTGGTAGCATCATCCGGTCGCTGGGTCTTCGATCTGCATTGCGTCAGCAACAAGGTGTTCCAATGAGGTCGTATACATACATGTCAAGAAGGTGTGCCTCATCGCATCTCGGATGTCTGCGCCGTATGTGGGCTTTGAAATTGTCTCGTCGTGGCCAGAATTTTCGATCCCTGCCTTCTGACTTCTGTACGCATTCCTGACATATGTAGCCAAAGACACTCCCTACCGAAGGTCGGAGGCTATGGACACTCTTGCGGTGTCGTTCCAGGTCGTTGAGAGTTGCAAAGCCATCCTTTCTAGTGCAGCCAGCTGCCTCGCACTTCCAGCGTCTCAGGTGGGTTTCTGCGTGCTTCCTGTGCCTACGTTAATTTCTCCACACCGCACTGTGATCATGTGCATACATACTTAGCATCTGAATGATTCTTTGGCAATCGTTGGCAGTGTTGGCACGGTGTAAGGCTTGGTTTTCGAGACTCTCGGCGAATTCTTGGGTGCGCTGCGGTGTCGGACACTATCGTCTGCGGGGGCGGCGGCCATGTCGAGGCATTATCAGGAACATGCTCCCAATGGACTGTATCACTAAGACCATTGGATTGGCACGCGAACGTGTCAACATCAAGATATTCTGCACCAAAGGACATCGGCTGTGAGATATAGCCCGAATCTGCATCGGACGGATTCTGAGATGGATTACGTCGCATGTGAATGCCTGCGCTTCTCGTCTGGAGAGGCTCTGTTCTGGCATAGGGCCTCGAGAACGTATCATGCTGCCACGCACTAGCTGATAGCTGCTGGTAGAGCATTTCGTTCTGCCGCTGGCCGTTCCATGGCTGAACTTGCTCTGACTTGGTCAGTTGCTCAACGGGAATATGGCTGGCGTCGTGAGCTAATGGGTGCAACATTGACAGATCGAAGCCTTCTTGGTCAGGCATGTGATGGTGTTGACCGTGGCCTTGCCGACGTTGAGTAGAAGACATGATGCCTTTACACACTAGATGTGTGCCTTGTATAGTGCGAGTATTCGATCCTGAGAGGCGCGTCGGTCGAACTTATTCTGATCAGTCATTAGCAAGACCGAGCCTCTTCGTGCTTTGGAATCGGATGATAGCACATGGCTCGACCCCTCCGTCGTGTACGACACAAAAGAAGGCAACCAGTTCGCTCCCGCGCTAAGCATGCATAAGGGCGTTGGAGGGTCGCGTTCCTATTGGTCAGTTCATGCATAAATTCAGAGGCCGCACTGAGAAGTTGTCAGTGACGCTTCACAGTGCGCACGAAGGAATCTTGGAGGTGCCGCCAACGCCCATGATCGTGTAACTTTGCACCATTGACGGGTTGACCGGTTGATCGTGGCGCATGGGTTGCCAAGCTGTTCAACAATCGAGACCGTGGCAGGACAGGGCCGGCAAGTGCAGCCGTGCGGTTGCATGCATAATCAGTTGACAGCGCTCCCGAAGCAGACTTGCCGTTAAAAGTAGGCGTCGCATATGTCGTGCGCTCTGAGCGGGCAATGGTCAGCAGAAGCAAGCATGTTTGAATGAAGGGAGTGTCTGTGTCGTCTCTGACAGGTTTCAAATGCAGTTTGCTTGACAGCGCTGTCGCGCAAAGACAGCAGGCGACGTGGTGAGCATATTGCACAAGTGCTTTACAAGTTGATCAGCAGAGTGGGGACTTGCTGCCAATGTACAGCAGTACCTAAAACAGTGAACCAGGTACACAACCACTCGAGGCTGCCGTCAGAAGACCGGAGCGACTGCCGACGTTCGTGTGATGTATTCAACATCATCAAGCACTCTTAGGTTTGTCGAAATTCCAGCCGTTCAGGTAACCGCAGCCATGACACAGATAGTTGGCAAACGCCAACCAGCCCAGGTACGGGGCAAGCAGCCAGCCAGCGGTCTCGTCCACTTGGCCCCAGATGTAAGCAAGGTAGCCAACCGTGCCAGTTAAAGCGATGATATCAGCACTCGCCGCTACAGGCTTCTTGAAGCCGAAGAAAAGTGGCGTCCAAGCCAAGTTGAGGACGAGTTGGATGGTGTAGAGAGTTGCTCCATGCTGTGCAATGTAAGCAGGTTTGTTTTGCTCGATCAGCATTGTAGATACCTTTGCGAGATTAACTACGCGAGGATCGATGCTGGCGGTGCCGATGGTCCACGCGCGGTAGGCAGCATATCCCATAGCACTGTACAATGCAGTCCAAACGGGACCGAAGATCCACGGCGGCGGCCTCAGAGGGGGCTGGCGCAACGCTGCATACGACGCTTTCGTCTCAGATGGAGATATGGCGAAGCCCTGCGTGAAAATCGAGACTGGTTAGATGACCGGTAGACGAAGCTGGGAGGTGCTGATTCTCACAATGGCGGTGCCGGCGGCGACAGGCAGGAGGATGGCGGCAGCAGGCTGCTCGAAGAGGAACGCTGGCAGCGTCAGAGACGGGATGTACGTTGTCATCTTGATTGATGATGTGGTGTTCGTTTGAGAAGAACGCGGAAATCGATATGCGACTTTCCTCGGGTCGGCGACGCGTTCGTTTCGGGTCTGTGCTGTGCTTGCTCTCCCCAGACGGGCAGGTCCGAGACAGCTGAGGCGTCTCCCCATCTCACCACCGACGCTCCCTCGCTCGTCCTCCTCCGCCGCCTACCTCTCCTCCGGCCACAGCACCACCGCTCATCGGTTGCTGCCGCCGCTCCATTCTTGCCAATCATTGTTCGTACGGCCCCCTTCCATTGTCGTCTTCATCTTCATCGCCCAGCACACTTCATTCATTCCGCCCGTCACATTGGGCGCTTGTCTCTACTGCTTGCTGCACTCCATTGTCGTCTCTCCTCCTGCATCGCTTGTTCTAACTTGGCCGCAATGGCAGTCCAGTCCCGCCCCCGACCGCTCCCGCGACTCTCCTCGATTCCAACAAGACCCACGATTGCAGTACATCGACTTACGCGGCCCGTGGATCGCGTCGCGTGCGCTCCCAAGGGATAGAATTGGTATCTGATGGCGGAAGCTTAAAATCAACATGGAAGACGAGTATTATGGCAATGGCAGGACGCCTGTCCGAGAATCACCACCCCCAGCCTCCAGAGAGTATCGCTCAGCCAACGAGCCCTACCGAGAGAGGCGCCGCTCCCCAGGTCAGCCATCCAGTTTTCCGGTCCGCGCATTGGATCAACGACCTGCTAACATCATGGTGTACTACAGACCGTCGGCGTGATCGACGTCGCTCGCGCTCGCCTGCAGCGATAGACCGCTATCAACCGGATCGCCAACGCGATGACTACTCCTACAGCTCTCGTGGCCGAGATGAGCCACATCATCAACGACGTCGTTCATCTCCTCAGGCCATCGATCGATACGTACCAGGCGAACGACCAGAGCACGCGCCCGTCCTCGTCAACCCATTGCCCGACCCGATGAAGCTGGATTTCCAGGTCGGCTTTACGTGGTTCGCGGAATGGTGGCGTACCGAACAGCGCATCAAGGAGGAGAAGGAGCGGGCGAAGACAGGGCGTCCTCCGCCACGGTTACGCGGCGAGCGCGAGACGAGGGAGGATCGCGACGCCGAGCGGCCCAAGATACAAGCTGCGTATGACCAGTACAAGGAGAACCTGCAGCGCGCACAAGCTCAGGCCTTCGTGCGCCTTCACAAAGCGGAAGATTGGTTTCGAGAGCGCTACGTTCCTGAAGTCCGCGATCCATTCCGGCAGAAGCTTATGGATTACCGCAAAGGGCTGTTCGCGCAGTGGGAGCACGACCTGACCACTGGCGTGTTTGACGAGTTCACATTGGAGGGCATCTACAAGTCGGAATCCAACGGTCTGGGTGGCATCATGGAGCGTGAAGAGGGAGAGACTAGTGCGGCGGCCGAAGTGCTGGGTGTTGGTGACTTGCTTCCATCGAAGGGAGGTGACTTGCGTGATCCCGCATCAATGCAGCCGACCCTGCTCATCAAGACAATTGCTCCGACTGTCACGCGTGACAAGTTTGAGACCTTTGCCAAAGAACATCTCGGGGAAGGAGCATGTGGCTTCAAGCATCTATCCCTCTCCGATCCGAACCCACTCAAGAAGTGCCACAGGATGGGTTGGATCATGTTGAACCCGGCTCCAGAGGAAGATGAGAATGGAACTGAGGCAGAAGCGCCGCAAGCGGAAGCCGCACCTACCGAGGGCGAGGAGGGTGAAGCTGCGAGCACTGAGGCTACAAATGCTCCGAAGACGCCCAGCGAGAAAGCTCTGGAAAAGATCAATGGCAAAACCATAGAGGACCCGGAGCGTGGCAACTTCACCGTACACTGTGGTGTCCACCGTCCACCGGATGCTCCGCGGAAGAAGGCACTGTGGGACTTGTTCTCCGCATCCGAGCGCATTGCACGAGATCTCGAGCTAGCCACACGTCTCGTTCGCAAGCTTGACAATGAGCTTGGTGATGAGATCTTTGGCGTTGCTAAGATTGAGGAGCGAGTTCATGAACTGTCAGAGCGTGGTGTGCTGAAGCCTGAAGTGCAATCCAAACCTCCAAAAGATTCCGACGCCATGGACGCGGAGATGGAGGAGGGCGAAGAAGATGACGAGGGTGTGATCGATGAAGACGAATCAGACGACGAGGAGCTGCTTGTAAAGAAGAAGAAATTGGATCTTCTGGTCGAGTACCTACGCCGGGTCTACAACTTCTGCTTCTTCTGCGTATTCGAGTCCGACTCAGTGCACGAGCTGCAGCGCAAATGTCCTGGTGGTCATTTACGAAGACCAAGGGCAAGCTTGACCTCGGCCGCGAAAGAGACTGCGCGTGCCAGTGCATCTGGCGAAGCCTTTCCACTTCGTAAGAAGGCCGGTGGCAAAGGAGAAGGAGACGATGAGCAAGACATGGATATAAAGGAAGAAAGCCCCGTGGAGGAGAGGAAGGGGGTCATGAAGCCGAACATGAAGACGACGCAGCAACTACAACGCGCCTACAACTGGGTGAAGACTTTCGAGGAGAAGATCCTGCAGATTCTTGAGCCCGACAACGTCAACATACGCAAGCTTGGAGGCACACCTGTGGAAGAGGGCGTCGAAAAGGAGCTGGCCAAGGTAAGCAGGGAAGCTACCCAGTGCCTACCCGTAATACTAACACTCGTCACAGTTCGTCCTTCAAGAAGATGTGAACAAGTTCCGCTGCAAGGTACCGGAATGTACCAAACTGTTCAAAGGCGTAGAGTTCTGGCGCAAGCACGTTGAAAAACGTCACGCTGATTTCCATGAACGCGTTCGCAACGAAGTCGAACTCGTCAACACATACGTGGTCGATCCGGCACACATCGCGCCTAGTAGAAGCGATGCAAACTCCAACGGGCACTTCCCACTCAACAACAATGCTCCAACCGGCACGCCGCGAGGTTTCCAGCTGAATCAGCAATACCCAATGGGATTCCCAATGGCCGCTGGTGCCGCCGGCATGCCGGCCATGTTTGGACAAGCGATGGGTGTGCCAGGTGTCTGGGCACCCGGGGCTGCAGGCGTTGGGCCGATGCGCACCAACAATCGCGCTTTCATGCAAAACGGCGGATATCGCATGCCCGGACCATATGCTCGCAATGGCAGAGGCCGTGGTCCGTCCATGAGCAATGGTCGTCCGATGGGCATGATGGAAGGCGGTGCCGCTACCATGGGCCCGAATGAAGCTGTCGTTGGCCGCAGTCTTCGCAGCTACGAAGACTTGGATGCAGACAAGGGTGAAGGCACGGGTGAACTCAATTATTAAGGACACTATACGCATGATCTGGGTGGAATACATGGCGCAAAGGAGGCGGGAAAGTAGAAAGCAGACATCAGATCAGTCCCCAGTGTAGGTAGTACTAGAGGAACAAAAGAGCGCTCAAACAACCTTGGAAGACAAGACGACGCGCACGTGACTGCTTAGTCAGATCATTCCGGGGTGAGACTGGAAGCCAGCACCTTTTGACACCATTTCAATCATCTCTGCCAACATGGCCTCCACCGGTCCACCGCGTCGCCCCTGCTTGAGACCAGAGTCGATGAGGTCTCGCAACGAGGATAGTACCGGGGAGCTTCCGCCATCGTCTCCGGCTGATGTTGTCGCGCGGGCGGCAAATCAATCTCGACGGGCGCTTACGCTCGTCGCACAACTGCGGCTTGATTGGCAGGACGTCGCTGCAGCACCTGGACTTTCAGACTCGCTATGACTTTTCTACTATTTTCGCAACTCTCAACACAAGCCGGATCTCTGACACGGCAGGTTTACAAGGTTCCACAATGGAGACACAATTTGCGCGGTGGGCGGTTGTTGCTTGAGACGAGAGGCGAGACTCTGGTTCGCACTGGTTCCACGCATTGGTCTCGAGTATTGTGGGCGCACCACTGCGCGTGGTTGCTAAATGAGATGGCAGAATGGTAGGACGAGGCATTGGTGTTGCAGCCTGGCTTTTCTTTCTTGTTCCGTCCTTTTTGTTCTTTCTCATCTACATCACGTTCAGATTGCGCGTTTCTTCTCTCTTTTGTCTGTTCTGCGATTTCCTTGGGTGCGGGCTGGCTTCGCTTCTCTTTGTCTTTACTTGCGTTTTCCTATTCTCATTGGAAGCCAGTGGCACTATCCCAGATCGGACGGCAACAAGCACAGCAGAAGGCGCCGGCGCCGTTGTTTGGTCATTCGTTTTGATTTCGAGGAACACAGTACAAGATGTTCGGCCAGCGATCACGGGCATCGCATAATAAGAAGAAGAAGGCTACGCGCGGCAAACTCAGCATCGATACGACATGCGCTGTACAGAAGACGGTCTTTCCTTACGAATCACGAATCCCGGAGTTGAAGTTTGTGAGCTTTGAAGAGTCGCATGCGAGGACTGAGGCGGTAGAGGTTGGTCAGCTGGGTGGCAAGACGCCTGTGTATGCTGGTGCCGAGAAGGTGGTTGCAACTGGTTTGCAAGGGCATCAACCTTCCGTGCGGAGCCTGCGTGGCGATGTAGCAGTTGCTACGCCAGCAGTGCAAGATGGACAGGGTATCGGTGGATTGTATTCGAAGAGAGGCCCGGCCTCGAGAAAACCGGAACCTTTGAAGATTGATCGTGCTGCAGCGGATGAGCAAGAAGCGGCCTATGGACTGGAAGTCGCCACGCCCAGGATCGTCATTACACCAGCTCGAGATGAGTTTCGCAGCTCGCAGGCCCAGCAAGTCAAAGGACGACGCCCGGCTTCGAGCGTGTACTCTCGCTACACTAATTGCATGTCTACGTCGACAGCGCCACCAGTTCCACCTCTTCCCTTCACAGGCACTGGATCAGCGGGTCTCAAGTCACGGTTCTCAGCGGTGACTGCGACAACTACATTCGAGGATGTCTCACCTTTGGAGGCTACTGAGAAGCCATGTCCTCTTCCGACTCCTGGTCTCCCTACACCTCGTCGCAGCAAAGGCTGGTGGACAATCCTCTCGCCTTTCTCTGCGAAATCTACAATTCAGTCATTTTGGCGTTCTCCGCCACCCATTGCGGAGCGCACGCCGGTTTTGCATGACGCTGCAGCTATGGGAGAAGCGGATCCAGAAGTCATGGAAAGTGAAGCTAGTCGTGCGAGGGGAGACGCTCGATATTCGGCGCCATGCGAAGGTCGGACTGTGTCGATGAGTGAAAAGGTGCCGCAGCGATCTTTGACTTCTCCAGCAGCGTTGCATGGAACTCCGAAGTCGTTTGACATGTATTTCATTCCGAGCACTGGGCTTGCTGCAGCTTACTTTGACATTGCGCGTCGCTTTCCGAGCTGGTATCCTCAGGAGGATCAGGACAGGAGCATGGTCTCGCCTGGATGGTCTCCTTCGCAGAGCGTGTATACGTCGCCACACGGAAAAGATGGCCACTCATCTGACGCAATAGATGCGGACGATGTCAAGAATACCGCACAAGGGACACAGGATAAGACTCCGCCAGAAGGAACCCTTTCGCCGCCAGCAATGAGCGGCGCCAAAGGGGCAATTTTCACAACACCATCTGCTGACGAGCTCCGGACTCCTCCAGTGGTCAGATCGACTCCTGCTCGCGGCATGACACAGACGACGGACACTTCTTTCATGTCACCACTCTCAGCAACACCAGAAATCCAACAAGCCCACCTCGGTATGCCTATTGGACCAACCTCATCCTTTGGGGAACAGAAACAGATCGCAGTATCACGCGCGCCAACTCCAAGTGCTCTGGATGAAACTGTTCTGCTTCACAAGGAGGAAGAATACATACCTGCTCGCAGCCCTCCAGAGCCCAAGAGTGTCACGAGAATGCGAGTCACCCACACCAGACAGGATTCTTACGGGCTTGGCATTAGCGATGGTGGGAAGAACGAGCTGTTCCCGCCACCTGTGTATGTGGAAGAGCGACCACAGTTGGTGACAGACAGATTTGGCCAGCTCACTGTTCGCAGCCTAGGAGACGACAAACCGAGACCACCTTGGTACAGGCGGCATATCTGGCTGCTTTCGCTCTTCGCGGGTGTTCTTCTACTGGTGCTCATCATTCTCCTGGTCATCTTCGTCCCTCAAAAGCACAGCGATGTGGCTGTTGAGGCTTCATGGCTGAACTTGACGGGATTCCCTGCCATACCTATTGGCGTCAGCACGATAATCCAGCCAAAGATGAAGAAGTCCAGAGACACCTGTGTAAAAGGTCCGATTTGGTCTTGCTCAGCACCATCTTCAGCGGCTACTGGTGATCTGCCGAACTTTCGACTTGAAATTCGCTCCAAAAATATGACGACTAGCAAGCTTGCGAAGAGGAGTAGCTGGAAGGATTATGTCTTCGCCTCGTTGCCGGCGCCACCCGGTGACGACGATCGGAAGTACCTTGGACGTACGACCGACAATGTTAGCGAGCCGTATGACGGAGAGGAGACGCCTTTCTACATCTCCTTGCTCGATGCTGTAGCGCTTCAGCCGAGCTCGAAGTTGCTCAAGCGTAGCTCTAACTTCAGCTACCCTTATCCCACTACATCTGCAAGTAATGATGATGATCACGACGACCCCGATGATGACAAAAAGATCAAGATCGACACTTCCGCTGCGTCGAACATACCCAAAGCCGCTGTCAAACTCGATGGCAAACCCGGAGACTCCACTCTCTACCCTTTTGTCACTGCTCAACCGCTCCGACTTTACAATCGAGGGCTCGACACTGAGCACTACAGTTTCTATACCTACTTCGATCGCTCCATCTACATCGACAACTCGGAGTCTTCCGGCTCTTCTCAATCTCGGAACACCTCGAACAATAATAATATCACAACCAACGTCCCGCTCTCCTCCGCATCCGCAGTCTGCACCTTCTCTCAAACCCGACTCTCGATCAAAATCTGGACGAGAAGAGGACTTCTCAACAATGCGACAATCTCCTCCTCCACCAACGGCTCTACTGTAGCCGGGTCATCGACTGCGAACTCTATGAGCTTCCCCGGAAGTTTCCCATACCATGTTACTGTCACGATTGACAGACATGGTGGTTTATCTGCGAAGGACAAAGCGGTGTATTGTTATGGCATTGAAGAGGAAACAGAGATCGTGGATTCGAGTGTGAAAAGTTGGATTTGGGAGGATCGTGGTGTGGGAGGGAAATTGGTCGATGGAGGTGAGGTGCCGGGCGAGAAAGAGGAAGGATTGGAGAGACGGGACGATGATGCAGAGGAAGAAGAAAATAGAAGCAAGGAAAGTAAGAATGAGGGGAGTGGGATAGATGGCGGGACTGGAGGCTGCTTCTGCCAGTGGGACAGTGGCGATTGAGCAAGTATAGCTTGGGCTATGATATAACTAGAGGATCGAGGGGTTCCTCACATGCTCCTTCGAGACAATCATGTCTGATCCAGAATTCTGGCCAACTAATCGTAGTGAACCCAGGTTCCCAAGTTAGTTTCCGTGCAGCAACCAGAAGCAGGGCATGTCTGGCACATCTGACCATGTGCACACTACTGTTAGCTTTTCTGTCTCATCTACAAAAAGGGACCGCTGGTAGGGGCAGCAATTGATACGTACATTCTGGTTGATGCCGCCCTGGCTGTCATCGTTGAGCTCTCCACTGCGCGACGCGCATTGCGACGCGCCGTCGCAGACCACGTGGTATCTGTCGCCGTCATATCCATCGTAAATGTAATCGGCAACCTGTTCGTAAAACGTAGCGTCGTTAGTGAAAACTGATCCTCTAGATGCTTGCTTCGCACGAGCGGATAGACTGACGTATCGGCATGAGGCACCGATGCCTTTGCCTGAGCATGCTCGCACTTGGTCGTCCTGGTGCTTCTCGTACCAGCCATCTTGAGCATGGACAATACCGGCAGCGGCGGCCACGAGGGCGAGGATTGATGATAGTTGCATAGTGTAAGGCAGCGATTGGTTAAGATAGCAGAGGAGGAATTGTTGGGCGTGGTTGTGAAATGGCAGATTTGCGGTGTTCGTGCCGGAGGGAGAGGCAAGTCCGAGCAACGAGAATATGTACTCTCTGTGAGCCGATACTACCGTGATGTGGCTGTTCCATGCATTGAAGCCGCGAGAATACCAAGGTCGCGTTCTTGTAGTCGGGGCTTACTACGCCTATACGAGACTAGATCTCCCTCCTTGTTTCATGCAGGCAAAGCATTGCCCGTTTTTCCGGTAGAGTGTTGATTGCTTGAAGTACTGTAGAATGGCTTGGGCAAGTTCCATACCGGATGTAGGTAGTCTAGCAAGGATTGACTTTACTTGGCCTTCGCTAGTAGGGTGGTAGGTAGAGTCTGGAATTTATGGGTGCTAGCATTCGACAGTCTATGCTTCGAGATCCGAGATATGGCCAGGTTGTACAGCACCAATACGGTCTAGATCGTGCCAAGCATTTGTCAGGTGGTTACCCATAGCCTGCACATAGAGAAACACCTTCGAGGGCTAGTGCGAACTGAGAGGCTGAGGGGCTGTACGAGGCGCAGTGACTAGGTAGTCTGTTGCAAATTGAAATCAGGGCTTCGGTCGACGTCGGAACGCATCTAGTGCGCGAGCACCTAGTCGAGGAGAACTTGTGCAACGTGTTCTTGGAAGTTGCTCATGATGAAGTTCAAGATCACGCAGACCACGCCGTTTGAGGTCAAGACTCGTATGCCTCCTATTTATGCGTGTCGCGATGAAGGTGTCGCGTGTTCGTCTGCTTCGCGCGGTCGATACTTCTTCTGCTCTTCGAATTGGGGGTGTGGTAGGTGCCAACATGTTTCGGAAATTCTCGGGCTAGCACGATGAACGTGTATCGAGTTTTCCAGAGGAAGGTCGAATTGTAGAACAGACATGAAGAGTTGGGAAGCACTTCAGAGTCGCATCAATCTGAAGGTTGCATGCTACTGGAGGTTCGTGGCCAATCAGAACTTCGTAAGATTCGCGTCACATGATGCCGGAGCAATTTCCGTCTGATTGCTGCTCGCTGCCAACCTGGCTATTTCTATCATTTACACAACACGACTAGAACTCGCATTTCGCATCAACTGCATCGCCGTCTATCTTCAGTGCTCCAAGATGCAGATGGATCTCTCGACTCAGGCCTCCGTTCGAGCTCCTTCCCGCGTTCGACGCTAGCCATTAATTTCTGGTTCACTGAAATGCCCAAGACACGGTCCGACCATAAATGACTTGATGTAGGAAGCGATGTGGCAAAATCTCTGAGCGACGTATCCCTCGGTTGAGTTCGCGCCGGAGATGTTTGCTGGCGTCAGCGTGATCAGCACCAATGGGTCCGTTAAACTCACGAAAAACGAGCTTCCCATTGCCCTTCTCGCAATCCTTGTGGTCCCAGGCCGGATCTCGCGGTTGTTGGCAACGTTGAGTGTCGGTCGGCAGGAAGTATTTCACACCAGCAGCAGCATCCGGCGGCTCTTTGAAGGTGTGGCACTCGAGCTTGTTTAACCGCACGTCTCCGCCAATTTTATCACCTTTGCAGGCGAAGTGGACTAAACAATGTGAGCTGATATCCACTGATGAAAAGCATTGCGCAGATGCCTACCTTCCAGCGCCTCTCGATTGTAGTCTTCCACATGCGGCCCTCTCGATAGGAGTAAAACCTACTGTCGCTCGTAGGACTGTCCACAGCGAAGCACAACTTATGCACATCCAGTCTGGGTATTATTTACAGATATCGTCAAGAAGGACCTTGTTCGACCCGACAAATCCTTCGCGAAAAGAACACGGAATGCGCTGTGCTGTTCGACAGGATTGAATCTCGGCTTCGCCGGAGGCTGTACTGGTATAGAGCAGATGGTAGCACTCGGTTCTGCGACTCCTCCTCGCCCAATCTAGCTGCCCACTCCGTCGAGAGCCGTGAAGCGGAGTATTACTTGCTACCGACTGCTGCCGGTCGCACCATCAACTCAAGATGCACCTCATGCGAGGAAAGGAACAGTGGTCGATGTCCTGTTTTAGGGCGATGAGGAATGTACCCAAACGATGGCATACTGCGCATCCCAGGGCAGTGTTCAGTGAGCGCTCGGAACAGCCTATGCTCTTTCTCATATTGGCAAACAAGCTCCCTGCAGGAAGAATGGAAAATTTTGGACGGGTGCTACATTGCTGGATTGCCACATAATGCAGATTCACAATCTCGAAACGAAGGGTACACTTCGGAACTCAGTATGCCGGTCTCTTATTACTGCTAGAAATTCGCGGGAGGAATGATGACGGGTGGGTATGCCTTGAGAGACGACCGCCGTTCACCGCTAAAGTTGTTGGTGACCATACCGATTGCCAGAAAGCACACCTTTCTCTAGCAGAACCCAGTGAACCCAGCCTGCGAGGCTGGCCACGGCCAAAAACTCGTTTTAGCTATCGCCCTGAGACAAGGCCGCACATACAGCTTTCTCTGAATAGAGCGAGAGATCCCTGCCTCTTCGCCTGGCCTTGCAACGAAAGTGTGCTGCCGGGTCTCCAAGGAGCGATTACTGTCTTGCGCCGACAGCTTTGGTAGTGCCCCAAATAATCACCAGAAAGAGCACTCTTCTCCGGCAGAACAGAGCCTGCCAAGCTTACGAGGCTGACCACGGCCAGAAATTCGTCTCAGATATCGCTCTGAGACATGGCCGCAAGTACAGCTTTCTCTAAGCAGAGCGGGAGACCTCTGCTCCTTCGTCTAGCCTTGGAACGAAAATGTGTCGCCAGCTTTGCTCGAGATACCACGCGTTGCGTAGCTGCACTGCTCGTCTGAGCGCTCTCTCTGGCGGAAGGGATAACTCTGCGCATCGAGGCACGGAGATGCAAAGAAATGTTGCGGAGATCTGTCTCAGAGACAAGCCCATGCGATCTGGATTCGTCGAAGTCACTGTACCAGAGTGCTCCTGACCGAGGATAGATGGGTCATGTAATGCCCTGCCCCCATCTTTGCCTTTGCCTCTGTCCAGCACACCCCAGTCCACAGCAAGTCACTTTGGTTGTGAGAGAGAAGTCCTTGGCGACCCGTACAAACAGTCGAGGTCGTCACCGTGTGTCGTGTCAATGTCTGTTGTCCGGCGACAACTTCACAGTACGAACAGCCGAGGGCGTCAATATGCATTGTGTCCACGCCTGTTACCCGGCGACACATTCACGGTACAAACAATCGAGGGCGTCAAAGTGCGTTCTGTCAACCTCTGTTGTCCGGCGATGCATCCACAGTGCAAAGAGCGGGGGACGACAACGTGCGTTGTCCGGCAAGACATTCACAGTACCAACAGCAGAAGGCGTCATCGTATTGCAGATTGAGACACATGCTGACTTTGATCGATTTTTCTAGTGGCTGCCAAAGAAGGTCAGAGCTCCTCGTTATTGTACCGACGGCGATCCAACAGGACATCAGCGCGCTTGGAACGAGAAATGTATTAAACAGCCAGGTTCCAAGGAAAAATGGAGCAAGAAATGTAAGAAGCAGTACATCGATCCGCCGAAGGAGGAGTGAGCATCGACATGTTCAATTGGGACACATGCAGGAAGAAAGGCTACAATAATGATTGCTTCTTGGTGTGTGCTACTGGCAAGGCAGATAATAATGTATAGCGCAGCATGAGTCGTAATAGTAATGTGTAGTGACGCGAATTTTCGCACATGATCCTGAAATCATGACCTTCATGTGCCTTCGCTCCTCTGTTCTTGCCTCTGATGAAATTGTGTCGTAGGCACTTTCACGACCAGAAAACGGGAAGTACGTTCCTCTGGATTAGAAGGGAGGACCTGCCGAATGTGGAGCAGGTGGGGACCTGCTCAACGACATTTTTATTTTGACTTCAGCTTTCGGAAGAACAGAACCCGCAGAATCACCTTACACGACGGAACAGCCACAGCAATGGAGTCCTCCAGGCGCGAAATCGCATGAACCTCCGACTTGCTCTAATTCCAGACAGGAGCGCTTTTAGCAGACCAGCTTGAGGGGGAGCTCGATCAACGAGGCTGATTCGTATGGATGGGATGCCTCATAAGAATTGCATCGACTTCTCTCGAAGACAACTGTCATTGTTGCGAAGAGTCGCACGTAGTGTGATGTCTGTCTTGTGACGAGCGGATGTGGACCAGGTGAGCATCGACTCCATGACGTTAGCTGTAACAGCGTTTGACAGTAAGAGCTACCTGTGTGCATCTATGGCCTCTGCACTTCGTCGAACTTGCTAATCGCACGCTGCAGTCCACGATCGCCCTCTATAGTCGAAGTCCAGTGCAAGATGCTGACTTGGCCCTATCGGAAAGTCCTATTGAAGAAGGGCTTCTCGATATCTGCAGCCCTCGAGTTCGATCCGACATCACATGTCATTGCTGATGATGCCCAGGATATATTCACCTTATTCGCGACATCCGTGGACTTCCGCTCACTAGCTTCGGACCTTTACCTTCTCTCGATCAGATGGTGGAGTCGAAGAACTGTTTTGCTCAGATGAGCCACGAACATGCGATACTCCTCGTGTGTAGAATGCATCGAAAGGACTCCTGCAAAAAGTGTTGTGCGGACAAAGACAGTATATGATCCCTGTCCCTGTAAACCCCAGAGATGCGAGGATTTTGGTATCGCGAAGGCCACGCCAACGGCTATCACACGCAATGCAACAATCCTCTTCCTTATATGCCCAAGAACTTTCAACAATGATGCCATCTCCACAAGTGAACTAAGAGACGGGAAGAAGATCCGGCAGAGGAAACCAGAGCGGTTTTGATCACGAGGCCAGGATAGCCCCTTGTCAGCAACGGGGACGTGCCGCAGCGCGCTGATTACACATCGTGGTGTGAGAAAGATAACATAAGGTGAGAGAAGGAAACCTTATACCATGCTGCAGCGCTGTTCAGAGAGTTTCGAGGCTATGCTGGAGTAAAAAATAGCTTCCCGATAAAGCCCCAATTGCTCTTCGAGTGCCCAACAAGAAGTATCCAACAACTTGGCCAGAGAACCCTAGTCAGAACTCAAAAGAATCATACTTCCTCGGCATTTGGGCATGAATAATCCACAGTATGCAGGACATGATGTCCCAGAAGAAGAGGACGAATTCGTTGACGCTGATCTGGTCATCGCGCCGCCGAATTTCATCGTCGCGGCCGGGACTGATGACAGCAGTGATGGCGACTCGGCATTAGGCGAAGACGAGGGATCTCTCACGCAATCACTACGAGCCAGCTTACTCGAAAGCGTGATAGAAAATGGACGAGGCTATCATCGCTACACTGGCCTCAGCGGCAGTCAATATATGCTACCCGAAGATGAACGAGAACAGGATCGATCGGATTTACAGCATGAGACTTTTTTGTATACGTTTCGGAATAAGCTGTATCAGTCACCCATTGGCAAAGATATCCGACGAGCTCTGGATTTGGGGACTGGGACGGGTATTTGGGTAAGCCACGATTGTGAGGTGGTGATGGCTATGCTGACGAAGTCTGTATAGGCTATCGATTTTGCAGATGAGCATCCGGACTGCCAAGTGTTAGGGACTGATTTGAGTCCTATCCAACCTGTTTTCGTGCCGCCGAATTGCAGGTTCGAGATTGATGATATGGATGAAGACGTAAGTCTAGTCTTGCAGCTGCACAATCTCGTGCCTTCTTTCCTCGCCTCCCAGAAGCCTATCGTACATGAGAGACGTGCTTACATCATCTCACCTGTAGTGGAGTTTCGTCGAAAAGTTCGACTTCATCCACGGCCGAGCCCTGCTCGGCTGCAGCAAGAATTTTCCCGCAGTCATCAGACAAGCCTACGAGAATCTCAACCCAGGCGGCTGGCTCGAAATGACAGACGTCCAAATGCCCTTCCTCGCAGACGACGGAACAATGGACGGAACCGCTCTCCAAGAATGGAACGACAGACAACTCGAAGCTTGCTCGCACGTAAACCTCGATACCACAGCACCGAGCAAATATAAACAATGGATGATCAATCAAGGATTCGAAGATGTCACCGAATTGCAATTTAAATGGCCTGTGGGCACTTGGCCAAAGGATAAATGGTATAAAAAACTTGGGTCGATGACGAAGGTGAATTTCCTTGCGGGGTTGGAGGGGTTTACGTTGAGGTTGTGGACTAATATTTTGGGGTGGTCGAGAGAGGAGACGTTGATTTTTCTTTCGACTGTGAGGAAGGATATTGCGAATCCGAAGATACATTCTTATTGGCCGATGTTAGTATGAGAGATTTGAGTTTCATGGGGACGAGTTCTGACTGTTTGGCAGGTATTGTGTTTATGGCAGGAAGCCACTGGATAGCTAACGGCATCGGAGTGGAGTCACGGGAAGGAGAGGCGAAGATATATCTTTGGTATGTCCGCAGCCTTGAAGGCTTCTTCTGGTCCACAGACCTTCGTGGAGGAGTATGTGTTCTACTGGCTTTGTCAACGTCGGTGAGCATCGATATACCTGCGATACAGGCAGCCGACAAAGCAATCCTGCACCGAAGTTTTCGAGCTGTCAGCATGGATACGACCTTTCCCGGGCAACGCATTTTCACGACGTCGGCTTAGCAGAAGGACATAAGCCATCACGCCTAGATCTGTGTCGCTTATATTCGGTTCACATCGCTTCGGCATAGAAGAGACTACCCATACCTCGTTGGCATATCTTGGCGTTGGGTAACAACATCGGCGCCCACGCGCTTCGAGTTTCTTCTGGGAGGACTTTATCAATTGTAATTAATGAACAGTGGCAGCATGTTGTCTGTCATCTATCATCACCTAGATCAGGAGCTCTTGGAATAGTAATTGTCTCACAGCTGCCCGTGTTGAAGGGCGTCAAAGTCAAGGCGGCATATTGTCGGTTGAAGTCTGATCTGTGTGCAGAAGTCCTTTCGGATCCGAAGTGAACGACGTTCTGACCAGTGGACGCACCAAAGCGGCAAGTCATAGAGACACAACTGACAAATAGAACGATGTCTCAAAAGTCGCAAGATCAATAGCCCGAACTTCACAAGGATATCATTCGCCCTCGCCAAGCCCTCGCAACTTCGGCCTCCGCAACCCATCCGGATCCTTCTCGTGTCTGCGATCGCTTATTAACCAGTGAGGCGACATCTTCCATCTCTTGACGTGAAGCAGCATTGTCATCGAGGACAGGGAAGTCCATGGGGAAGTGGAATTTAGTGAGCAGATGTTACTTGAGAAAAAATGCAAGAGAGGGTTCTAGTCCGGCTGGCGTGGCCGAAAGCGGTAGGCCGGGTGGGCCGAAGGACCCGGAATGCCGCGTGGGCCGCGCGCGCGCATTGCATGCAACGAGCACGAACACTTTTCTGCTTCTGCAGACCATGGGACCACGCACCATGCATCGACCTGCGCAGACATGGATCTGGAGATGGAAAGCTGGAGTGGCGATTCGGGGTTGGACGGCCAGATTCGCGGTGAGTGATGGTATTTCGTGATTCGATATTCTCACCATTCGCAGACGTCGCACCTATCGTGGTGTTCTCTCGCAGCATGTCTGGTCTTGGTATACCAAGCTTAGCGGCTGTCAGCACTCAAGAGTGCTTGGTACTGACCACAGCGGCTTGGAAGTGCTCTTCTGCCCATTCCTGGCCTCACCCAAGCCGCCCAGCTGACTGCTTCTGGTCGCCTCGACGGGCTTGAACGGCTTATTTATGACGTACGGTCCAGTAATTTGAACGTAAAATTTCTTCCAGTGCAACTCCACCCTGTCCTCCGTCACCAACGGCCACACGAAAGCCGCTGAGCAGCAGCGGTAAAGTTCACTCTGACCACCACTTCCCAGGTCGAAGAAAGGTGCTTATCTTTACTCCAATAAGTCACCCAGCAAAACTATGACACGCATGACGATGATTCGTGACCCGTATCTTTCGCGGTGGTACTCGTCCCATTCGTATGGGTCGCGTTTTTGCGCACTGAGCATCGGCAGGTTTCATACTCTTGCTAACCCGAATTCTAATGACACACCCAAATTCTTAGGTCCAGCGGCGTGTCGGACGGAGGCCCACTTGTTGCTCTAAAAGCTCGCCCCATCTCGCCCTGCGTTGCCTTTGATCATTGCTGCGTCGTCTGAACTCTTGTCTCCAGCCGCCACTTCCTTGCCTTCATCTCCAACTAATCGCATACGACCACTGATACATCGGGAATCATTCTCACTGCAGCTGCCAAATCGAGCACCACAAGCATCGCCATGTCCACGGGCATGACGGACTATGGCGTTGTCCGCGATGGCGGCTACGAGGAGAAGGCACAGACCGACATGGCTGGAAGTGGCAGCGCATCACCGCGAGACAGCAGCCAAAAGGATATCGAAAAGTACGACGCCGAAAACCAACTGGGCCAGCAAGTCACAATACATGAAGGCCAGGCCAAATTCCAGAGACTCAGCTGGCAGCGATTAACAATCTGTCTGATCGTCGAGGCTATTGCGCTAGGATCACTCTCGGTTCCCTCAGCTTTTGCGACGCTCGGCATGATTCCTGGGGTCATCATGACTGTCGGTCTGGGCCTGGTCGCGATCTACACATCGTATGTTGTTGGACAGGTGAAGCTGAAGCATCCTCACGTGGCGCATTATGCCGATGCTGTGAAGCTCATCTGGGGGAGGTTTGGGTATGAGTTGACCTCGGTCATGTTCGTGCTCTTCTTGGTATTGCTTGTGGGATCTCACGCTTTGACCGGAACGATCGCATTCATTCGCATCATCAACGAGCCAGGGATTTGCGCTTTGGTCTTCTCCGTTGTCTCGGCAATCATCCTGTTCATCGTGGCACTTCCGCCAACCTTTCACGATGTCGCGATTCTGGGCTACATCGATTTCGTGTCAATCATTGCTGCCATTCTCATCACCATCATCGCCACTGGAGTCAACGCCCACAGCCAACCAGGCGGTCTCAGCGCCGTAGACTGGCAACTCTGGCCAGCCGAAGGCACCACCTTCTACCAAGCCTTCCTATCAACCACCAACATCATCTTCGCCTACTCCTTCGCAGTCTGCCAATTCAGCTTCATGTCCGAAATGCACACCCCGACCGACTTCGTCAAATCAATCTGGGCTCTCGGCTTGACCGAAATCTTCATCTACACCCTCACCGGAGCCCTCATCTACGCCTTCGTCGGCCAATCCGTCAGCTCCCCAGCCCTCCTCTCCGCCGGCTTCACCGTCTCCCGCGTAGCATTCGGCGTCGCCCTCCCCGTCATCTTCATCTCCGGCAGTATCAACGGCACAGTCGTCGGCCGCTACATCATCGAACGCGCCTTCCCCAACTCCGAAATCCGATACATCCACAACAAGAAAGGTTGGCTCGTCTGGACCATCCTGATCGCAATCATCACCATCATCGGCTGGATCATCGCTGAAGCAATCCCCTTCTTCAACGCCCTCCTCGGTCTGATCTCCGCCCTCTTCATCTCGGGCTTCACATTCTACTTCCCAGCGCTGTTCTGGTTCCAACTCATCAAGGAAGGAAAGTGGTACCAAGGATGGAAAAACATCGCACTTTCCGTGACGAATGTTATTGTTCTGATCATCGGAATGGTTGTTCTCGGTGCGGGAACTTATGCTAGTGTGGAGGATATTAGACATCAGTATTCTTCTGGTGAGGTGCGGAGCAGTTTTACTTGCGACTCTTCGTCCTACTCATAGACCTCTGAGGTTCGGCTCGCGGCAGATTTGAGAAAGCATAGCGTTGGCGCTTTGTGTTTGTGATAATCAATTCTGGTTGCGGAAAGAGGGAAGGGGAGAATCACGGAAAGATTTAGATGTAAATTTTGGGCATGACATGAAGTGGATGTATGTATGCTATGATTATGAAAATGAAATTCAATGATATGAATGAATGACTGGTGCCATTCAGCAAAGACTTTCACAACGACTAGTTTGTTCCATGCATCTCACTTCTCAAACGTCCACCACGAAAACTGCATACCATTCGACCGTCAGCGACGCTTTGTTTCTACGCGATTCACTTCCTATAAAATCATTCCCGAATCAGTATGGCGTTCCGCCGCCCGCGGTACGAAAGCAAATACACCAGCCTCGATGCAGCGATCGGCATCCACCATTTCGACTTCCCCCAGGTCTCGCACAACGTACGATCCGAGCTCAAGCTCGGGAAAAGATCTAAACGTGCCGATTCCGTACTCTAGTCGAACGTGTTCTGCATTAGACAACAAAGCAGTCAGAAAGCAAGTGTTCATTCGAGATAGATTCGACTTGACTACGATTTTGGTCCTGTATCTCCCAAAACAATATTTGTCCTCGGCCTTGTTCTTCGCCGACCTCCTCTGGAAACGCAATCTGACAAAGCTCCAACGCGCAAGTGTCCAGAAAGCCCGACGAAAGATAGTCAACCACAAAAACTCTGTTAGCGAAGCAGTCTTCTCCCGCCAGAAACCATTCAGAATTTGGATATTCTTCCTGCTTTCTACACTTCTGTCTACTGTCCGCACACATTCGAAGAGGCTTTCCAGAAAAGATCGTAGAAAGTAGCTCCATTGCTTCATGAACACTCTTCAAAGTGCCATGTAACTTCACATCCGGGTGACGTCTTGAATGATGCCGGAAGGTCCGTCAGTTGCCCTTCCTGTCTACCGGACGGAGGAGAGAAGTGACCCGCGGTCAAGCAAAGCATATCTTCAGCGCATCCCTGGTCCTTCCCTTGCCAACCAATGTCTGGAATGTTAACACCGGAGCTTTCATCGTCTTTAGACCATACGTGAACTCATAGTATTGATCTCCATACATCGGCACGCTACTTGTACTACGTCTGGCTGGTCACAGTTGACTGAGTAGTTGTCTCCTTTCTGTTGGAAGGCTCCCACACCGGCGCAAACTCCCCAAAGTCTCCCCACGAAACACGCTGCCCGAAAATGCAATACTCATGATCCGTATGCGCCGCATTTTGCTTCCTAACTTTAGGCGGCAGCGGCAAGATATCCCACACGCCATCGCCTTGCCAAAGCAGACAAGCACGCTGAGCTTGAAAGCAACTCCTGCAAGCGAACAGACGCGGATGATCTGTAGTCCACAAACAATGGCTGGATGAGTGAGTCCATGACCAGCAGCACCCCTGGGTGCTCTTGAAGCGCGGCGACTTGGGCCGCTTGCCCTGCTGGACTTTTTGCTGTAACATGCTCATTGTCTCGGAGATTGAATCCAGAACTATTATGTTCAATTCCTGGAGCTGGCCATAACCTTTGATTGCAATGTTGTGTCGGATAGCTGGTCGTATCGTGAAAGCCATAGGACCCAAATAGTTATTTTGGAGCTTTCTCAAGCTCTCCGAAAGTCCAGTTGCGTCGTGTGGATCTTGCGGCGCTGCTTCAAGCAGCCGGAGCTGAGGCAGTGGAGCCAGAAGCGCCGGATTTCCGACCAGCTCTGCAGCACCTTGCTGCTCTGTAGTTGGCGGATCGGAGATCAGATCACAAGTCTGACCCAGACTCGGCCGTACGCAGGGAGATTGCACATGTCGTGGAGATGTGTCACCTTTCTCGTGGTTCTCGTGAACCATATCGGGCGCACAAAACCTTGTCCTCTTTGTTGGCGGCTCACCAGCAGTATCACAATCGTTGACTGCGGTGTCTGAGTGTCTTCCTCCGAACAGCTCTTCCATCTGCTTTCGTGACTCAGTCATAGCCTGCTCTGGCTGTGTGATACCTTCGAGCCAGGAAGAAGTTCGCGCTTGTTTCCTGGCCTTCGGTACTGGCTCTGCTTCCAAACCCGACTCAAACTTGATTTCGCCCTTGCTCTGCAGATCGTCCTCAGGTCCTACGCCGTTTTCGTCTTTCTCCATGAATTCATCTAGCTCCCTTGCAAGACGTCTGTTCTGTTTCTTGAGGACGCCAAGCTCCCGCTCGAGTGAAGTATGGCCTTCTTTCAGTTTCGCGATCTCTTCGTCGCGAGACTTGACATCGTTGTAGTAATCTTGCCAAAGTCTAGTCTTCGAGCTCAACAACTCATCGGTTGCCTTCACTGCTCGTTCCCTGTCTTCCACCAGCAGACGCTTCTCGTCGAGCAGTGCATTCTTCTCGGAAACGAGTCGTTCCTTATCATTGACTAGACGATCCCTGTCATCCCGCAAATGATTGACCAGGTCCTGTTGAAGATTGATGGCATGCTGAGGAGCTGTGCTCTCATGCTGTGACGCGGGTGGAGAGGGGAAGGCAGGGGCGAACCCATTAGTGCTGTATGGATGGCCCTGGTTGGCACATAACGAAGTCGTCTGGGCCATCCCAAGAGTCTGGTTGTTTGGGGCTTCACTGGGGAATTGTCGTCGCCCTGCAGCCAAGTACTGCGTAGCCGATTCATGTTGAGGTGTCCATGCTGCGGCCTGGCCTCTGAGGTCCATGGTTGTTGGTGTGCTCGAGTACATTGTGTCGCGCTGGTATTTGCGTCATCTGTAACGTCGCGTCTCGTCGCAAGCATCTGGAAGACGGTCGTGAGAGCGGCACGGACACAACACCTAATTCCCGACTGAAGTGAAGCCAGACGTGGCACGTTTAGTTGAGTCTCGACCGTTCCTGCTCTCAGCCACTGTCCATCTATGCCAGACTCTCTCACTCGCAAATTGAGAGCCAAGATAGCTTGCGTGCGTCTAACAAGAAGGCGCCCTTTGTAGTTCCACCGTCAACGCAGCCAGTTGAGAGCAGCGCATTTGTAAAGATACCGAACCCGTTACTTTCCACCACTGGCATCTTGGGAGGCACTGCCACCTTGCACTGTTTCCTCTCCGAGAACTTTGCTGGCAGCCATGAACCTACAACAAAATGGGTCAGCTGATCCATACAAGGCCCTCTGTGCACTTCCTGATAACAGCATAATACTCACATTCCTCCAGCATATCCGCCCAGTACTCTCATACCCTCCGCCTGTACAGCCGTCATTCGCAGCAAATTCTCCAGATCCGACATATTCGCCGTCAACTGCGCCAGCTGGGAATGCAAATGCGAAAGCTGACGAGACTTGGAAGCGGAAGTGGGAACAGTCGAAAGCCGAGCGCTCGACTGTGAACGCGTATGTCCTGGTGTCCTCGTCGGATGGGATGAAGACATTTTGAAAGTCGCAGACTTGGTGTATTGTTCTTGTTGATGTTTATGCGAAGACGTGATGTCCGTTGCGCCAGACGCGACTTCTGCGCGCGAGAACAAACACGGGCAAGTCAGCCGAGCAGCGACGACCAGAGATGCCAAGCCATACACATCTCATTCCCGTTCATCACCAGAACTCGTTCCGTATACCAATTCCTCTTCGCAGCAAAGATGGTAGCAAATAAAGCCCGCATCTACGCCCTCACAGGCTCTGTAGCAGCCATAACAGCCACGGGAGCCTGGTACGGCGCAGGCCTGAACATGCGGCAAGAATACAAACAAGTACAAACCTTCACAATAGTATACATCCTCGTACTCTCTTCTAACAACTTCCCAGGAAAGACAAAAAGCCTACGAAGCAACTACAACTGAAAAGCTGGCCCAGCTCGAAACAATGCGCGCTCAACTCCAGCGCACCAAAGATGACCTGCAAGCCAAGATAGACAAGTTGAATGGAAAAGAAATAGATCCCAAATCCTCTGCTGCAAAAACTGCGACAGGGATGCAAGGTACTCTGGAAGGAAGGACGAGGACGAGTTGAACAAGACCTCGTCACGCTTGGAACCTCAGAGGGCTGGAAAGAGAATGTCTAGGAAGGGGATCCTACTTTTCACACGCGATTCAGGAATCCTCCAGCTCCAGAGTGCACAAGAACACTCTCTCCTCCATCCAGCCAGGGCTCGAAGGATGGGAGCCTCTGTGCGTTTGGCATAATATTTGACGAACGCTTCAGTCCCTCGACCTCGCCACCTCTTTCGACGCATCATTGCCTCCGCCAGCCGGCTCAACGCTTCCGCCACCTCCTACCTCCAGGAAGAAGAGAATATCCGGTCGCCACATAAACGAAAGCAAAGATCCCAAGTGACGTAAACCCGAGACGATCCGATGTGTTCCGCCCAGCTGTAGTGCAACAACCGGACTCCTCGCCGGGCGGCAAAGAAGAACAAAAGTATCAGCCACGAGTCGCACAGCATCGCGGGTGATACATTACCGCAGTGCCACAGAGAGATCCGACTGCCACAGGCGATCGCCACATGTGGATTGCGAGAGGTGTACAATATGATCTATTCTCCGACGTGTGGGACTGGGGCCGGCAGCATTTCGCTCCGAGGTATCAAGCATTGCTGAAAGACAGTGCGGAGAGCGTGAAACAGATCTTGTACGCGAGAACACGGCGTGGCAGCAGTCATTGAACCAGCCAGGAAAGAGTGGAGAATACAATGAATTGGAAAGAGATAGAGATATACTTCAATCACAGTTTGCATTTCATGTACTCTACATATTCCCTCAGCAACGACTCAGCCTGCTCTCATCATTCTCACATATCATCCCATTTCGCTTTGCTCTCAGCCTCGCTGAGATCATCATTGACTGGTTGCAAAAGCTTCTGTCTCGTCGATGGTCTGGTGCTGGAGGAGAGAGATGAGAAGAGTCGAGAGAAAAGGCATAATCGTCCGATCCGTACAATTCAGTCCGCCATTAGGGACGCTTTATGCATTTCTTTCCCCCCGTTGTTCTTTTTTGAGAAAATAACAACAAGTGAAAAACCAGACAAACAGCAACACACACACCATACACACACATCCGCATCTGAATGAAGAAAGTCATATCTGCCGCCCGTACCGGTATTCATGCCCGTAATGTCTTGTGTCCCATGCCCCACGCCGTGATACCAAGATGATGGAAAGGTATCTTCTCGGTGTCGTCCTATCGTGTTGTTTTCCCGTCTTTGCTCTGCCGAATTGTATGCTCAACTTGGGTGTTGTTGCAGACCCGACCATTCATTCGGGAATGGATTGGTCTGCTGCGTCGTGCCGGAGGCAGCAGAAGCAGCGTGTTGCTCCTGCGGCTTTTGCACTTGCCGCCCAAGGTAGTCCTGGTATTCCTGGTTGCTTTGTGACAAATCTGGAGCCTCCTAACCCCGAGACTGCATATGTTGCTGAGGCGGCATGGGATATCCGCTCTGCTGCGCCTGTTGCTGTTGCAGATATGCTTGATACTGCAACGCCTGTTGTTGATCGGCGGTCATGTAGGGCGCTTGAGGCTGTCGTTGCTGCATGCCTTGGGGTGGCATCGACTGAGGCATTGGCGGAGGTGCGGATTGCTGCTCTTCGGGTGAGTCGACGGCGGACTCTCCATCGACTCCATTAGAGTCGGCAGGTTCTGGAGCGTTGAGGCATGCCTATTGCAGTTAGCACGCGTGAGACGGGAGGACAACATGGTGGATGCATACCTGGATCAGGTTCTTGCCTTCGGGCTTCGTGACCAGCGGCTGGAGCTTGGGCGTGGTGAAGGTGTAGACCAGACCGGTCTCGGACACGACAAGCAGTAGTACTTGGGTGCCTGTGAGCACCGACAACTCGTATGCCTGGGATGCAATGTCAGTGCGATGAAACTCGATGGACGCGACGCGTCGCTCGATGGTTTGGATGATGGACGAGGCGCACCTTCTTCATGATACCGGCTTTGCGCTTCGAGAAGGTGATGTGCCGACGCGACTTGTCCTGAATGAACTTGATCTCGATCTTGCGGCGCTCGCGACCAGGCTTGTCATCGTCATCGTCGTCGTCGTCGGCGGCGGCAGAGGTGCGCTGTCGCTTCACGCCGCGGCTCTCAGACGCGCCGTTCTCGAGCTCCTCCTGCTCGTGCTCGTCATTGTTGTTGGTGTTGAGGTCTTGCACGCCTTCGGCCGACATGGTGAAGTCGGTGGTTGTCGTTTTTGGAAGTACAAGCTACGCCCGTTCGAGCGAGTTGGACCGCAGACGAGGCGGGAAGGCCGAGTTGTGTTGGAAGGGTTGATGGGCAGGCAGTGCCAAGCAATTTGAGGCCGCGTCTCGATCGCCGCTTCTACTGGCTGCAGGGCGACGGTTACCTCAGCGCGTGCCGACGGGCCCAGCGATACAGAGCAGATGAACGTCGAGAGTGTGTCGGCGACGCAAACGGAAAGTCCGGTGTCGCAGCGGCGTGCAGTTCGTGAGTTGCAGAGAGTCGCAGGGTGGCTGGTCGGCGGAATGTGCAGTTGTGGCTCCGAGCGGCCGCTTCCCTCGTCGCAAGAGAAAACCCACCCACACGCGCAGCTGGCAAAAGAGCGCGCCGAAACAGAGCAGCAGCAGCAAGCAAAAAGCTTCGCCCGGCGGATTCGTGCAGCGCGGATCTGGAGGCAGCAAGCTGGCAGCCCTGCGCAGGTAAAGGGTGGATGGAAGAGGCAGTGAGCTAACTTCAGACTGCTTATTTGTTTCGACTTCGATACCAGATGGAGTTAGGGAAGACTGAAAAGGGAATTCACGCTCCAGGCGGGCTCTCTTCAGGTTAAGAACAGCAAGCACGGGAGCTCTGGGCTGTGGGGATGGGCGGGAACGCAGCAGCTCGCATCCCAGACCATTGGCCACTCACGCTCACAGAACCGGGGAGACACTTCTGCCCCACTGCACCTGGACCATCAACGCACGCCATCGTCGAACACATCGCATTTGCCTCCTCTGCGACGCGCTGCCATCTACTTGTCACTGTACGACTGGACTGCGATACTACTCCCGGTGGCTCTGCCCTCGGCCATGGTCGGCGGGATCTCTGCCTGTGCAACGACACGCGCCCGCCGACGTGTCACGACTTTAGGACCTTCACAGCTGAAGGAGTTAGTTAAAAGCCAAATCTGCCACCATGTGCGCCGTGCGTCTCAGCTTGATGAATCTTTCAATCTGAACAAAACCGCTCGTAGCGTCGCCGTTAGTTGTGATCGTCGAAATGAGAACCAGCGGACGCGTGGCGAGGCGTGAGGAGTTTGACTCTCTCTGCTGACCTCGTGCTCTCGGAGGGTCCAGATAACCGAGGGCCAGGATTACGAAAGTCCAAGGGAGCCCGAGCTCAACGAGGAAGGCCGTTGGAGGTCTCGATGTGGCTTGCGCATGTTAATCACCGGCCATCGTAGTACGAGCAGCTAAACAAAGTATATAGCCGATGGACTTGATGGAATATGAACAGAATGGAGCGATGACCACGTGCTCCGTCCTTGCAGCGACTTTTATCTGGGTACCAAGCGAGATTGCTATCGCAATTGTGAATGTCCACGAGAAGGAGTATTCGAGGAATTGCCAGTCGCACTGACAGTTACGATCTGTGAGATTTGTGATTGACTATTTATATGTACCTCAAAGGCAACTACTGACCTGGATGGGTTGCAAGCCATCAGATGGCATGGCTAGCTGTCCAGGCGCGAATGTGCCGATGTCCACTTTGCTATAAGATCGCTCCAAATGGAATCGCCACCTCGTCCGCTCTTCCCAATGGCTGCATGCGGTGAACATATGTTTGAGGCTCAACTTATAGTTTGAGTTTCTCTCTTACGGTTCTCATCATGCTTAAATGTCATGCAGGAAGACTGGCTCTCTGTCCGTATGAAGCAGAGGTTCCGCTCCCAGCCGTTACCACGAAGGCGATACGCATCTCTGCTGTGAGCCGACCAATGGCAGTCGCTGTTTGGGAGGAATATCTTATGAAGGCCTGCCACTGGTGCTGTTGGCGACTATTGACTCTGCACTGGTTAGATGGCTTCCGCCGGCAGCAAAATCGTGACCATAATCAACACGTACTTCCTCGCCCTCCGTATCTCTGCGTTCACGAGACGTATTCACGGCACTCTGTCTCGCGAAGCGAGATAGTCGCATGATCGCGTTGCGGCGAGAGAGCAACGACCTTCGTTGCTTGCGATGTTCCACTTCGCTGTCTGCAACTAGGTTGAAAGAGCGGCCAGATTCACGTCCAGGTGTCCAGTGGCAGAGCTTGCCTCCCAAAGGATCTTCGACCATATGTTCCTTCCCCAGCTGATCGTGACTCAGCGAAAAGCAGGACCAGAACCGGCGCTAGTGCCGTCCACTTTCATCGTTGGCCTCTTCTCATGTCGAAGACTCGATGATGAAAGCCGGCATCGTGCTGCGATATCGCGCGGGGTGCAAGCTAAACGGCATTGGCATGCTACCACAACTTCTCACTGTCCTCTTCATCCCGCAGCTTCTCCCAATGTTTCCTCCTGCCTACTCGGCCACATCCACTTCTTGAACTCCGAATAGCTCCACCCGCCCACAGCCTCTTTCACCTTCTCCTCGACTCTCTCCAACTCCGACCTCGGCGAGAACTTCGCCGTAGCCTTCACGCAAGGCTTCCCGTCCATGGTCTGCAACACCGCAAACCACTCATGCTCTTGTATAGGCAATCTCACATCGTCCGGACTCGCCCATGCCGGCTGCGCGCGGATCACATAGAAATTGTTCGCATACGTCGGCTTGACATAATCAATGCTCATCTGTGCTGGCTCATCAGGCATAGCGGTCGGTGCCTGCAATGTAGCATGATTGCCAGTCCCAGGCAGTCTCTGCGGCTTCACAGCAGAGTTCACATTTCGGTCACCTCCATCTGCTAAACTGCCTGCCAATGCCAACTTCTCTTGCATCGCAATGGCCAATAGCCCACCATGCGTAACACCAGGCCAACCAGACAAAGCTCCTCCAAACCACACAATCGCAACCAATCTCTTCTCATCCCGATCCCAGAATACTCTCTCCACACCCAACCCTTTCGCACCTTGTAACGCATCAACCAACCGATCATGAAACGGCAACAATCCCACTCCCTCCGCCTTTCCATCGATTCCAGGCGCCGTAATCGGCGGCACAATTTCCACCCATCCACCTTCTTGTCCTTTCAATTGTTTGGAGACTCCCAAACATTTCCCTCGTAGAACTTTGACTTTGAATTCTTCGTCGATGCGCTTGTTGAGGTCTGCGATGAGGACGTTGTCTTCGTGCGTGCCTTGTTGGGGCATCGGAGGGGGCGCGATGAAGTTTGTGGCTACGCCGCCGAGGATGAGGCCTAGGCCGATGCCGATGCTGGACCAGGTGAGTGGGGAGCGGTAGCGTTGGTAGAAGGATTGTTGCTTTTGGGCGATCGGGGTTGTGGAGGCATGGCGGCGGGTGAGGTGTCGATAGCGAGGAGAGAGGTAAGGCCGCGTTGCGCGTGAGACGAGAAGGCGAGGAGGAGACATGGTTGGTATAAGGTATGCGAGAGAATCGTACAGGTGAAGCTTTGTGAAAGCTCGAAGTCGAGGCTTCGGCATCCGGCCGGCAGATTTGGGTCCAAGCTTGTGATGCTTTTCGTCACACTCATCCGCTTCTACTTGTCCTTCTTCTGCAACATCGACACTTCCTACTTTCTGTGACAGATCGAGGAGATTCAATTCTCGCACTCATCTTTAAGTTGACCTCATCGTTCTTGCGGAGCTGGCGATTAGCCGCAGTCGAGCTCTACTCCAGCTCAGTGCATATCTTCCGCCACAAGTATAATTTGTCTTTCATCCTTAATGCAAAGGGTGGGCTCGATCACGACAGTGTAGACAAATCGATGCTCAAACGCAGTGGCGCTAAGAATGACTTGGAGTCTTGACCACAATAATTATCTGCCTTCGTTGGTTGCATGCTGCCATTTGACTTCAATGTTTACACAGCTCGGCAGCACTTGCCCCTCTCAGGCAGAGCACCTCACCTCACCTCTCGCAATCCAGCCCATCGTCAACGGCTGACTTCGTCACTAACACTACTTGCAGTCTACTCAGTGAAACTTTATATGACTTAAGGACGAAGAATTTTGGAAGTGCAACAGAGCCTCGAATCTGGTCCAACAATATCCTATCACCATGGAACTCTCACCCCTCTACCGCCTTTCGCCCGAGCTCAGAAATCAAATCTACGAACATGTCTTCGCCTCGAGATACGCTGTGATGCTACAGCACAACAGCTGTCAACATGCATTGACCAAGACTTGCCGCCAGATCCGTCTTGAAACACTGGCGATGTTCCACTCCCTCACCAGCTTCAACGCGCACCTCGATGATGGACCTGCAACGCCTCTAACGAAATGGATGAGGGTCTTGGGTCCGGAAACTGTGTGCGGAATCGAGAGAATCAATGTTTGGGGAAGTGCAGCATTGCTAGAAGTCCCAAGAATACCTACTAATATATGAAATAGGACCTCCACATGCTCCAATTCACCATCCACGGCCTCAGCGCGACACGAAGAATCTTTTCTACTGGCGATATCGATCACAAATGGTACCGCAATCATGACACGTCCTCCGGCGAAGACGAACTGGGCGATCTTGGCCCTCGCAATGACCAAGAACCATCGAATCGGACGACTTATGTTCTCCGCCCCATCCACATACGCTTCGCATCTCGCGAACTTAAAGACATATTCCTCGTATTACATTCCATGGGTCTCGGACTTGCCCAATTTCACATCGTCAAGCCAAACAACTCTTCCTCCATTGACACCGAGACCGAACCCCCAAAAGTCATCGAACGACTCACAAGCGAATACGCCATCGTGCCCCTCATACCTTTCACAATACCCTCAACGACGGACTCGACAATCCCCATCACCGAAAATCCCTGGTCTTCTTCACCACCTCATCGTGATATTGAAGATCCACCACTCTCAACATCACCACAAGCTCCTCAAGTAGAAGAAGACATCTACTCCCGCACTAACACCATCCCCAACCAACTCCTCCTCGCCGCAGATGCGAAGATCCATCTCCAAATTCAGCTCTCCATAGGCGATACAACAATCACGCTTCGCGAACAACGTCGCGTGATAATACTTGAATTCGAATTCGTGGAGGATTTCGCCGTGACGAATCACCATACGTCAGAACAACATGCGAATTCAAGAAATCTCTCAACCAGGAGAGCAATACTGAAAGATTTCCGCCAAGCGACGCTCAGTGGAGCGAGTCATGATATGTTGCATAGTGTCGTGGGTGCGATGCGGAATTGGAGGGCGATGCCGTGAGCGATATCTCATGCAACAATACAGGTCTCGTATATGTGCGGAGCCAACATCTCCTGCTCGGACAGCTCATATCAAATTAGAGCGATATAAATCGCGAGGATTGAAAGAGATCTAGACACGCCCAAGAACATATTGAGAGCTTGAGTAGAGGAAGGGAGTACAGCTAAGATATCCAAATAATTTGATTGCTCAGGTCTGTTTCTACCTTCTCTGCCACAATGGCCTTTTCCTCGTCATTCCTCTCATCCCTGATGTCTTCTGAGTCGACTTTGTCCTTCGTCATACTCATCGCATCTATACCGTGGTAGTGGCGCGGACCAGGACAAGTTCCCTTCTTCAAAACCCCTCAGCCTGCGCCATCCCCTTTTGTCAACCTCATATTCTCATTAAAACTACGAAATAAAGGAACAGAGCACTCGATGTGCTGTGTTGTTGCGCGCTCCAGAGAAAGGTGCTGCGCCATGCTGTGAGGAAGACTTCTGGTTCCTCGATCTGTCGAAATATATTCAGAGAGTGGGACAAGGCGACGTCGCCGCCGCCGCCGCCTCAGATGTGAAATGCAGAAAACCCGGGGTGCGAGATCTCTCCTCCTCGCACCCATATACGCCAATCGCCATGTCGAAAAAGATGCTGGAGGTGGAAAGTCTGTTGGATCCTCGCCCCAATTGTGTCCAAGAACGTGATTCGCTTCAAATCCAATCAAGAGCCGTACTGGGACGACTGTAGTCACTATTAAGACTCGTAGTCGGATACCCCTCAAAGGAGGCCTCCCATACGGTCGAGCCACAACGCTATTGTGGGGCTGATTTCTTCGTATTCGCATTCGAATTTGTCTTCGTAAGCTTCAAATCCCACTCCTCATGCTCCTGGGCGGGTGTAAGAGGAACCGGGGTACTTCTCGCTAGCGCGAGATTCTGCTGATAGTTGGTGCTCATTTTCGAGCTCGACTCGCCAGCGTCGGCGTTGAGCGACATGTACGAATTTCGCTGCGATGAGTACTGCGATGGTATCGGCGGCACTTCGATTTCGAGATGATCAGTGCCGTGGAAGCCTCCTGACAGGCGTCGAGAACTTCGCACTGAGCCCATTGTGCCAGCACGAGGGCGAACAGTAGGTGCTGGGACGACGCCAATGGCATCGGTGCTGCTGACCTCGGCGCCGACACGTAACGAGCTGCTGCTAGTCATCGGACGCAACGAAGGCTGCTTCGTCGAGAACGCTCCGCTGTGCCGCTTGTTCGGTGTTACAGGTGCGATCGCATCGTCACCGCCTGCAGTCTGGCTCTCATCAAGATCGTGCTCCCAACCTGCGCGCGAGAAGTCTCGTGTGCTCCAGCTTGGCCGGTGTGATCTTGCGCCATACGGCAGATTTGTCGAGCTAAAGCTCTTGATGCTTGCGGCTCTGCTGTTGGCACGACTGCGGTTGAGCGGCGTCATTGCGCGTTTGCCGTATGCGGTTGACGAAAGATCCTCTGTGCTCATGTAGGCTGAATTCGGGTCTGCTGCCATGTCGCCTTGGAATTCTGGATCCTCGTCTTCGATCTTGGCCACCCGCTTGACGTTCTTCATCTCGAAGCCGGCCTTGACCTCTTCAGGCTCGACATTCTTGGGCTTCTTCACCTTGGGAGGTCGGGGAAGGTCATTAACCGTCCGGTCCAGGTGATCGAAGTACTTCTCGCGCATCCCATACCAGCGACGAGGTCGGAAGTCTTCGGTGTTTCGCTTGATCGACATCCACGAGCTGATCGCTCCGACCACAATCGCAATCATCGTGATGATCGTGAGTATGCCCTGAATTACGATGATGACGACGCCAATGACTGTGGTAGGAATGCGAGGCAGATTGTACTTGACATCGAAAGCCGCTGAAAGCGCCACCGTGGCCACTTTGCTGAAGCCCAGGCAGTACACCACCAACACATTCAAGCGCTGTCCTTCGTATGGCTTCATCCAGATGATCAGTCCAAAGGCGATGACTTCCACAATGAGCAGACCGAAAACTTGTGCTTGTGAATATCCTGATGCGCCTCCATAGAAGACAGCACGGATAAACTCGTAGAACAGCCACGCGGTAAAAAACCACCAGCGTGTACGCCGGAGCCGAGCAGCCAGCCAACCAAATTTCTTGATGTAGTCGTCATCATCGTGAATGCTGCGGGATTTTCCATTCGTGTCGTTCGCCTCACGTGTCTTCTCGGTCGAAGCTATGCGCTTCCAGATCGGCACCGTACTAGATTTGCTTTCGGAATGCGCATGGCCAGGCTCGCTGGTTTGGAGCTCGACAGCAGTCTGCTCTGGCCCCTTCTTGCCAAGGTCGACTGGGAACGGAACCTTGCCCATGAGTATCTTATGCTCGTACACCTTTCCGGATGTAGACCCCAGCATAGCCTTCTTGTACCACACCGCATACCCAGCGGCGAGCGGCATGCCGATGAAGAACACAATGAACACGATCGCGGCGATACCCTGCGCGCCACTGCCAGCGAGGTAGGTGAATTGGAAGATGGACAAGAACATCATGGCGAAGAAGCCAATGTAGCAGATGCGCAGTGCAACAACAGCGCTGTAGCCAATCCAACGATCGCGGAAGAACTTGAGTCGATCTGTTTTGATCCACTTGATGCGGATCAGCCCTTCGAGAGTCCACTTGAAGGCTATGACTGAGGCAACGAGTATGACGAGAATGATGAGGAACCAGAGGAAGCCAGTCAAGAACGCAGTGCTGGCAGAGATGCCTTCGTACCCAAGCGTGCCAGCGAAGCCAGAGTAATTGCCCGGCAGTGGCAGACCGTTTGGCACCGGATCGCCATACCACTGATAGCCGTCTCGTCTATCGGAAAAGCTGGTCGTGGAAGATGTTTCGCCTGTCTCTGTTTGACGACCATATATCTTTGCAGGGAGGTCGTGGGGTAGATCTGCCGCTCGCTTGATACCAGCGTACAGAGCTCTGCGGTAAATGGCGCTGATGTCGAATCCGCCGCCAACGCTAGGAGTCGCGGATCCGGATTGTGCTGCGCCGACCTGGGACGTATTGCCCAGGTCATTGCCAATGAAGCTGTTGAGGTTGCTCTGCATGCTCTCGGTATAGATCATGCCGCCAGCCCATGCAAAATTGCTCCACCAAGCAGGAAGCACCGATGCCCAGTTGACGGACAGAGCTCCAGAGAAGAAGATATGCTGCCAGACTGCGAAAACCACGCCCACTGAAAGCGAGTGCGCGTAGTGTAGTCTCATGGTCGGCACAGCTTCTCCATAGATGGCAGTCGCAAAAGAGGCGATCACAGCTACGAGTGTGAACAAGCCCAAGACCGTGCCCACAGCTGCAGGATGGCTGAAGGAAGCTCCATTTGTCACCACGGCCGAGTAGCACGCAATCTCTTGTCTCGTGGTGTTCGAAAAGATGCGCAAAATGGCCTCTCCTTCGAAGTCCGGAATCGTCAAAGCAAGTGGGATGATGGCAGCCACATCGGAGGCACTGACTGGAATGATGGTGGTGGCCTCGATCGGCAGACTGGCATTGAGGGGACATAAGCTGTCGATATTGGCATCGCAAGGATTGAAGATGAGCTCGTATCGATTCTCTCCGTATGCGTAAACTCCAATGCTCATCATGATGCTGTCGTTGGTCACACCCGTCTCGCCAGCCATGTGCCAGAGGATTGTCATGTTGTCCTTGTAGTATGCGACATCGAAGCGGGTGACATTGATTGTGCTGCTGCCAAGGCAATCTCCAAAATTCCTAGTATAGAGTGCTGGCTGGCGGTTGTCGTTGAGGACTATTGTTTCTCCCGTGCCCGTCTGGTAATTGAACCAGTAGTCGGCGGCACCCACATTTTGGACACACAGAAGGAGGAAGGCCAGCAGGCCAGGCCATATTCGAGGGATCATTGTGGAGGATGAGCGCGGCGATGCGCAGGGTTAGACGGGATGTTGTTTTAGGGCGTACACCACGCCGTTGCGGGTGAGGTTGTGGGCAGGTCGGCGATAGGAATATTCGATCGTGGTTGAGTTGGTGTGGTGTCTCTTGGAGCTCTGGATCTGCTATTGTCGCGAGGCTATTGTCGTGCGGTACAGCGGTCGGCGCGAGGGAGTCGTTGGGCGGAGAGGCAGTGGAGTTCGCAAAGCTGATTGTTCCTGGACTGTATTCACGAATGATGCGCGGCAGTCATGGTGTCGTGAAGTTGAAGGCGAAGCGAGTGTGGAATTGGTCCGGTCCAAGTCGCATTCCAGTGCTCACGAGAAGAGCAACGGCGCCACGTTAGGTGCTGCGTTTCTCGCATCAATCGCGAAGGAGGACGGAGCGTGTACAGAAGCGAGTGGTGCAGGACATGGCTCGTGTAATGCTGCATTTAGCGTCGTGGAGCTCTGTCCGTGCGGCTTCCGACCCTGGTGGGTTCCTCTCTGCCGCCAGGAACGTCTGACAACCGGCACCACCAAGAAAGAGCAACGCGACACGACAGTCTTTCGTATCTGACAGGTCGCACCTGGCCGCTGTCACCATTCCGGCGTCTACATTGTGCTGTGGCAGCGAAATATTGCAATATCGCGTTCAAGTCTCCTTCATGGCCAACTTTTTGGGCTTTCAGTAGTGCGCAATGCATGCATACCCGGAAGTCTATTGCGGTAGAGCTTCAAGATCCTCCACGTCACTCAAGCTCGAACCATTGATCTGTTCCCTGCCACGTTGGGTACCGGATTCACGAAACGCGCTGAGAATGGACGTACGTTGTTGCAATCTTCGCATCTACTTCGCAGTCCATCCGTTATGTTCTGCTAATGAGCTGCCGAACGATGTGTTGCTTGCCCAGCCCTGCCGGCTTCAAATCTCCACAATAGCCGAAATCGTTCCAAGCGCGCTCTCGGCGCCAGCTGACAGCCTGACGCCGAGCTTCGAGAAGACAACCTGGGCCGAACACAATGCAGAATGCATCGTGCAGCCAAGTTTGCAGCTTTCCAGTCCCATACATCTCGTGTTCTATCGAGAAATGCGAGCGGCGTTTCTACAGGTAGTCACATCCGCGCTCCGCGGTCTCGTTCTACGCTTGTAAAAGACTCAATCAATCCTCGTCCCATTCATGAGCTTGATGTGGAGCTCTCTCCAAATCCTGCCCAGCCTCTCTGCCGCGTAAGTTTGCGCCCGCATGAGATTTCACCACATCACTTCGTGGAGAGCACACCTCCGCGCAAGCGGTACTTTTTGACCGAAACACGTTGATGCTTGGGCATCATGATGGCCAGCAGCAGTGTTGTAAGCTTGTTGATGCCCTATTGGCATGCTACACGTCTAGCTCCAGCAAAGCTGCGCATTGGGTTCATATCCTAGACAGCAGGCAAGTTTCAAGAGCTATGCGGGACGTCTCACAGCAGAGCTCCATTGGCTGTGGAGAAATCTGATGGCATGAACTGCGGTGAACATGGACAGGGATGCGGACTGCGTGGCTTCGGCGATTTGGCTTCCGAACATTGAGACGATGCAGTGGACACCACTTGTTCGGTGAGTTACAACGAGAAACGGCTTGGAGGCCATGGTACGTGGACTGGCTGTGAGCGTATTGAATGATGCAAATGCTCAGATACTCTGTACAGCAAAGAGGAGCTCGGATCGGTCGATTTGCTGCGATTGCATTAGACCATGAAGACGGAGCTTCCGGCTCTTGCCACATGGCCCGGCTTGGATGCAGACTTCACGTCCTTCAACGCCGCCACTTCCGCTCACTGCAAGTCGACGCACATCATGCAACGCCGTTGCAACTGAGCTGGCGAATACTCTGCGCAGTCTTGCATGTCCTGCTCCGCGGCCAAGCATTTCATTGCGTCCTAGCCGAGCTATGTTGCGTGTGGTAAGGATCATGCAACGGAAAAAAGAACGAAGAGCCTCTGTACGCTGCTTGGCGACTATGATGAATCGCTCATGAAGAACCCAGAAAGCACAGGAGGTTGGCGCGAAGATGCTGATTCAAGCTAGTGCCTTAATGTTGGCTCTGGCTTTACAGCAGTCGATGCTCTACATGCAAGGCAAGCTTCATTTCGTGTAGCACATTGGCAGACAATATTGATACTCACAGGCTGAAGTCTTCTTGATATAGGAACTTCTACAGGTCTGACAATTCTATGGTCCTGTTCGGCTTACAATCATGCAGTCGTTCAAGCCTTTACCACTCGTATCTCAAGACAATGAATAGCCCTGCACTTGATCACAGCTTCGACCATCGACATACATCCTCGAGTCCCTTGTAAGCAAGCCAGTACCAGTTCAGATGTTGAGGGATCCTCTTGCAGTCCTTCTGGCCTTCGCGTGCGCTCTGGTCCGAGCTACTGTCGTCGAGCACAGGTTCTTTGTGTGCAGCTTCAAGGCCAGCGCTTTGTTCCGAATTCCGGTCAATGATTATCATTCACCTCCAATTGTGTCCAAGCATCCAATCAAAGGGGATGTGGTCCAATGGTAAGATCCAGGTGCTGCTGAAGGCACCAGGTGCACCTAGTGGTGCCTTCAGCAGTCGGGTCGTTGCATGCTAGGAGGGGTCGCTTAATGCACCACACCTTCTGCAATCGACACGATCAACCGGCTCGATACTCGATAAGATGCATTCATTAAGCATGTAGCGATCAAAAGCACCATGTCCATAGGGGACATTGGATAAGTCTTCTTCGCACGACCGAATGCATCATCAGTCGGTTGTCTCCTTGGGACGCCAGTTCGAATCTGGCCTTCTCCAATCTTTTTTGTGCCGACTGGACTTTCTTTTTTGCCAAGCAGAAATTCACGTGGGCCGTTCACTGTTGCTAAGAAAGAATGCTAGGTACTCTTCTAGAATGCGATTTTCTTTCTTTGTTCCATCGCTTTGTTTAAGGCGCTGACACGTCTCAGAAACCCTTTGCCGTGCCAGTTCCCCCAGAGCGACATCTAGAAGTTTGGAGCACATGCGTGCCTCGAGAGACATCAGCGATTCGCGCGCAGCGCGCCTTCAAGATACTTTTGCGCGACCGAATCTGCGATATATGTGGCTATCATCATGGCATAAATACAAAGCACGTAACATTTTACTTCACTAGTGCTGCAAGAGCAAAGCCGTTGTACAACGCGCGGTGAACGCGCGTGAAGCTTGACCAGTGTTTACCTTGCAGTCTTCACTTCAGTCTTCACTTCGGCGCCAAGCAACACACTTTCCACTAGCGGGCCCCACCCTCGCGTTTCTATTACCTGCCCTCCCTCTCTCCTCCAACTTGCTCCCCAGACATCGCCGAACAACACATCGACTTCGCACCACTCGACATCGAGCACTGTTCCGCCTTGTCTGGCACACCACTCGAACCGCCGCCAAGATGAGCGGCATCTTCGGTTTCCCGCTTACCTGCCTCATCCATTTTATCGCTTCACGTTTGCAGGATGCAGAGACCAAGAGGATTTCGGACGCTGCTAAGTCCTCTGCAGCTCCGCTGCCATCGCCGCGAGAGGGCGCACCCTTTGCCGACATCACTGCGCCGTCGACTACCATCCCCGAGTTCTTCTCGACGATGGATCCGACCCTTTACATTCCCGAAATCTCTTCCCCTCCATCCACGACTACCTTCCCCTCTTGGCTGATGACCCTCATCTTCTTCTTGCTCCTCATCTCTGGCCTCCTCTTCTTCAGGCGCGTTCACGTCACCGGTGCCAATCGACATGGAGAGTATCTGCTCGACGCCGCCATCGATGACCAGGAGCACGGACAGCAAGCGGCACGTGAGGCACTTCTCGACATTGATCAAGCTGAAAACAAGCACCAACTCGACCATCTGAAACTCACCGTCGACTCTCTCAAGAAGGCTGAATCCAAGGCCAAGAACTCGGAAGCAGATGCTAAGGCTGCCGCCGAGAAGGCTCGGAACGACTTGTTGTCTGTTCAAGCTCGATTCGATCACCTCAAGGCCGAGCTCGATGCCAGTACCGCAGAATGTGATAAAGCTCACTCTCGCGTCTCTGAAATGACTGGCAAGAACGAAAAGCTGGTTGAGGCACAGCAGGCGCTTCAGAAAGAGATGGATTCGCGGAGGGACGAGTTCGATGCCGAGCGGCAGGAACTCACTCGCAAGGCTGGTGAGGCCGCTCAGGCCAGTGAAGCCGAGCTTGCCTCTGTCAAAACTGAGAATGCCGAACTCACGAACAAGAATGCCGCCTTGAAAAAGGATCTATATGATGTCGGCAGAATGAAGTGGGTTGCGACTGAGCACCTCGACCGCGCCCGGGAGCTCGCGGAGTCTCAACAGAAGGGCTTCGAAGAGAAGCTGAAGAGACAGCAGTCCAATGCTCAGACCGAGCAGAAGTTGCTCCAGAAGCAGCTGGATGGCATGGAGTGGAACCTGGGACGTGAGCAATCTACCAACGAGGAGCTTCGTGAGGAGCTTCTCAGTGCTCAAAACCAGCTCAACTCCTCCCAATCACAGCTCGCTAAGGCTCAAGGCAGCATTGAGGTGCTCGAACAGCAGTCAAATGCAGACAGAGTCAAGCTGGAGGACGCACAATCCGTCCATCAGAACCTGCAAGAGAAGCTTAAGCTCGCTCAGGAAGGCCTTGATTCCGTGCAGAAAGAATCCTCCGTGCTCCAGGATACCAATGAGCGTCTCGAGCTGGAAATTGCAGACCTTCAGAAGCAGGCAATTGATGCAAAAGCGAAAGCGCTCGGCGTAGAGGAGCAGCTGGAGAACGATTACTGGAAAGTGTATAAACAGTTCATGGACGCTGAGAACGAACGTGATTCTGCGCATAAGAAGCTTGAGGAGCTACGCAGCAGTGCCCAGCTGGACAAAGAGAAGCTCAATTTGTCGCAGAACGAGGTAGAGCAGCTCAAGAAGAAGCTGGAGGATTCTGAGAAATTGCGCAAAGCTGATGAAGACGAACTGGAGAAGGTCCGATATGAGCTTTCCGCCGCTCGTGAGACCATTGAAAACGCAGGCGATACTTCTGAGGTCGCGCAGAAGTACAGCTCGTTGAAGAAGAAGTACAAGGATCTCAAAGGCAAGCTGGAAACAGAGGAGAATGCCAGTCATCAGCTTAGGAACGAGTTATCTCGAGACCGGGCTATTCTCGAGGTTGAGCGACAGAGAGCTGACAAGTTGGACGCGGAGAAGTCGGGCTTTTTGACGAAACAGCATTCTTCCGCGGAGACGCTTTTACAAAAGGATCGTGACCTGACAAGTAGCCAGAAGTCCGTCAACAAATTGCGGGGCGAGCTGGAGGATGCCCGAAATGCGAAAGCACCTGCAGAAAGCGGCTGGTTCAAGGCTTCTCGGAGGGTCAAAGAACTGGAGGCGGAGAATGCCAAGTTGAGAGACGACAGCAAGATGCAACGGGCCTTGGACGAGAAGGAAGAAGCTCTGCAGAAGGCTAATGGTGCTGTTCAGCAGCATCAGGAAGCCCTCGCACATCGAAACACAAAGATTTCTGATCTCAGGAAGGAGCTTGAGCAGGCGAAACAGCAAGCGATGAGTCCGAGCCAGTTGCGGCAATACTGCGAGCAAGCTCAGCAGGAGGCAATCGACAAGGAACACAAGAATGGCCTATATCATTACGGAAAACTCGAACGTGCGCACAAGGCCAAGCTCGCAGAGCTCGCAGAGCTCGCGGAGGCCGCAGCAGAGCAGCAGTCAGCCCTTGATGGAGCGACATTCACTTCCGAGCATATCGCTAAAGAGCTTCGCACTCTCTGTCTTATCCTGAAGTACAGCAAACTCTGGCTTGATCGCTGGAGAAACGGCCGTCCGAACACGAACCAGGACGATGCTGGTGATGATGACCAGAAGCCAGAAGACGATAGAGGTGATCAGGACGGTCATGATGGTGATGATGACCAGAAACCAGACGAAGATGAAGGTGATCAGGGCGGGCACGATGATGATGAGTCCAAGAAGAGTGATGGCAACGATGCTGGAGTACCGGACAGCCAAGCGAAAAACGATGGCGAATATGGCGACTCACAACCTGATGGAGGCGAAGATCAGGATGCCCCAGGCGAATTGGACGACGAGTACGACTATTATCGAACACACGTCGAGGATGTTGAGTCTGTTGATGCTACCGACAATACAGTAGAGCCAACGATCACACCGAAGGAGGCCACGACTGGCACAAATGGACCAACGTCGCCCACAGCCAGTCTCCCGACGCTTGCCGACAACGACACAGCGACCGACAGCGACGAACGCATAATTCCGAAATGGTTCTATGGCAACACTCGCGGCGGTCGTGGCAATGTAATCGAGCAGAAGAAGGGACAGAAAAAGCGGCGAAAACACAACGACGTTACACAGTCCTCTATTCTGAACGCAGCCGCTAACATGGACCCAAGTGCTGCGGTGTCCACATCAGAGTCCACGAACACACTGACGCAGGCTTCGCAACAAGCCCTTGGTCAATCGAGCTCAGTCAGCTCGCCGAGTACATCCAGCGCATTTAGCATGCCAAGACAGGCTCAGAACTTGTCCTTCCGATCTACCCATGCGGATACACGAGAGACTCCTCGTCAGATTCAGTACCATGCTCCTCATCAGCTGCAGTACCAAGCTCCTCAACAGCTTCAGTATCAGGCGCCTTATCAGCCCCAACACTGGGCTCCACCTCAGCTACCATTCCAGTCTCCTCATCCGCCTCAGTATCAGACCTATCATCAGGCTCAGTACCAGGCTCCCTCTCAGCCTCAGTACCGGTCTCCCAACCATACGAGCACGTCGATTCAGCCTCCGCGCCAGCCGTATGGCTTCTCGGGTCCATCGAACTGGGCCTCGCAGTCTCGATACTCCAATTCTCACCCAGCACAGCGTAGACGGTTTTGAGAAAGCAAACAGCTTTGTTCAGGATCGCATGAAAGCCATCATCGACACATCACAAAATCACTGGATGACGAAGAACTTGCGAACGACGAATGCCGCAATACCAGCGTCTTGCCCTGCACAACTTCAGAAACACACATACAAGCCACCATCTTCATTGCCCGACAATAAAACACAAAACAACACAAAAACACGCGAAGAACTCAAGAATTGCTGATGGGAGGGCGCCGTGAGCCCCTGTACATCGAACTCGAACTCTTAAGAGTTTCTTTCGTCGTGCAACACTTGAAAACAACACAGAAAATCATACATTATGAATCCTGCAAAGTTCCAGATTTTTGATGGGAGCGTCGCCTTGAGCACCTGTACATCGAATCTGTGAGCTGTTGCGTTTCTATCANNNNGTGTTTTCTTGCGAATTGATTGTTTTGGCGTTTGAGTTTGAGTGAGGGCGTAGATAAAAGTACGAGCATGAGATACCCATGAGTTCAAGGTTTTTGTTTTGGCAGTGAAGTGACCATGAACCGATTCAATACTCCCCAATGTGCTGCCTCGTCTCTTGACTGTGACTTTCCACATTGGGACTGCACGTTTTTGTCGCTTTTCTCCTCAAGGTGCCATGTCCTATGTTGCTAATTTGACCTTCACGACCTTTTCTTGATCGCTTGCACATGGCTGAACGATGGTCTCCAGAGGGCGCTACATTCAATTGCTTGAGAGTCGATGAATGACAGATCATGCTTCCAGGCCTCCGCCCTGGACGCGATTACTCTGGATTGGATCTGGAAGTTGCAGCATAGGGTGACGCGAGGGGAAACTTTCTGCCGTTCCGTCCCAGGCTTTCTGGGCATCAACATTTCCTTCTTCCTTCCCACAGCTGCGTCCTTTGCATACCATTGAACACACTTCACTTCCGACGCGCTAGCGTGGTTACTTCAACTGTTCTACGTCATCGCGGCTCCGAAGTTTCTAGGACTGGTTGTACGATAAGCCATTATCTCTTGGTTTATATGTTGGTTCGACCTCCAGTGCCACTTGCTATTCGCTAACGCACGCGTGTTATGCAATCGCCTGATACAGCATGGAGAGCAAACTTCACACCGCTGGGTTGATACCAAACGGCGGTAAGCATTTGGAACATGCATGGAATACTGACCTCCCAAAGTAGGCGGCCGAAGTCGCACGATGGCTTCGCATTGCCCAATGCAGCAAACTGCGGGTGCTGCGTCTGTGAATGTAGCACCCGTCGAGCGCCACGTCATGTTCTAGACGCTACAAATTGAACAACTCTCCCCAACTGAACCTGGACCACAAAAGTGAAATTCGGAATCATGGCTGCCGCTTTGACAGGCTACGAGGACCATCGAGAAGCTGTCCAAGAAGTCTCCAGGAAGGTCAAAGACTTCCACGCCGCAGAGATTCCATTCCGCATCTATCATGGGTCTACCAACAGTACTCGCACATCGCCTTTCCGCGAAGGCAACTTCGTCAACATCAGCAAGATGAACTCCGTGCTGGGCGTCGATCCCGAACGAAGGCTTGTCTATGCCCAGCCCAACGTGCCGATGGATGTCTTGGTCGAACATACATTGCAGCACGATTTGCTTCCGCCAGTTGTCATGGAGTTTCCTGGTATTACTGTCGGCGGCGGCTTCTCAGGTAGTTCAGGTGAAAGCAGCTCGTTTCGCTACGGACTCTTCTATCGAACTGTCGAAGAAGTGGAGATGGTCTTGGGCAATGGCGAAGTCGTGACTGCGTCGGACACCACTCGATCGGACTTGTTCCATGGAGCGGCGTGTTCGTTTGGGACACTAGGAATTGTCACACTATTGACGATTCGACTCATTCCAGCACAGTCAAATGTCGAATTGACATATCTGAAAGTCGACAGCATGGAGCAAGCTATGGAGACCGTGAAATTGGTGCAAGAACAACAAGACCTGCACTACCTTGACGCGATGTTCTTTGCACGCGATAGAGGTGTCCTGTGTCTCGGCAAGCTCGTGTCGAACATCGATGCTGATGCCAAAGTGACAAGGTATTTCAGGCCGCGAGATCAGTGGTTCTACATCAACGCCGAGAATCGAAGTATCAAGGAGAGGTCTTGGACCGAGATCATACCGATTCGCGACTACCTCTTCCGTTACGATCGAGGAGCTTTTTGGATGGGTAAATATACCTATCGCTATTTCGCTGTACCCTTCAACCGTGTGAGCCGCTGGTTACTGGATCAATATTCTCGCACGCGACTTATGTATCATGCACTGCACCGAAGTGATCTTGCTCGGGAGTATGTTGTCCAGGATGTCGCCGTTCCATACAGCAAAGCCTCGAACTTCTTTGACTATCTGGACCAAAATTTCAAGCAATACCCAATCTGGCTCTGTCCGCTACGCGTGGGAGGGGACTCGAATGGGACGACACAGGGCCTCCTCGCCGACTCAGCATCCACTTCTCCCACGGAAGACATGATGATGTCTTTTGGAATCTGGGGTCAAGGTTCTACAGATCCTGCACAAGCCATTGCTTGGAACAAAGCACTGGAGTCTGAGATCCAAGCTTGTGGGGGGCAAAAGTGGCTGTACGCTCACACATTCTACACTGAAGAGCAATTCTGGCACATATTCGATCGCCGAGGACGAGATCAACTGCGTGCCAAATACCATGCTTCGAAGTTGCCGAATCTTTACGAGAAGGTCAAGCCTGTCGACAAGTATGATGAGAGATTGCCCTTCGACAAGGAGACATGGATCGGCAAGGCTTTGCATTCCGTCTGGGACGTGTGGCCTGTGAAGGGCTTGTATGGCTGGTTGCAATGCATTGTTGCAGCTGAATACTTGTTACCGACTGCAGCGTCGAGACCTGCTCCACCCGAAATTTCGCGGGAAGCTCATAGACGGGACTCTGCACATGGAGGAAGCGATGCATTTGCCTCATCGGGCGAGCATAGCATTAAGCAGGACTGAATTCGGGCCTTTGAACGCTGAGATATCGACATAGCCATAACTATCTAGCCTGCTCGAATCAAATTTTACGACGTGCACTTGCAAGGCACAATCCCACCCTTTCTTGCGCAGAAGTTTCGTATACACGGTGTAGTCGCTATCTCTTCCGTGTCGCCTCGCGATGATGACCGCATAGAGCAGATCTTCAAGCGTAGATACCACGGCTGAGTGCCTGTGTCATGTATGACCTACATCTTCAGGGCTGCAGGGTCCTGCAAGCAGGCTGCAATGCCTTCCTTTGTGACAATGACGATCTTCGGTACCATTATGGCGGTCAACGGGGCGAGCTGCGACTTCTTCCAACTCGTCGGTTCTGACCATTCTCCACGAAACCAGGTTGCTTGCGCGATATTGTGCAGTGCCCGCTTCGGGCAATTTTGTGAAACAAGACATGCCGGAGCGATGTCGGCATGAGTTGGATGATACGAACACGCAAGTATACGCCGCTTGCCTTTGTACGTGATTTGGATGATAATTGACACATTCACTTTGAGAGTAGCAAGATTATTTTGTTCAGGAGTGGGTTCAACCGGACCTTTATGAACGATCCTTTCCTTCCCTGCGAACGGCAGAAGAACTCGTTTTCTCTTTCTCAGTTCTACCGGCAAAGAAGTCGCTGTGATCCCAATATGTCCCAAACAACCAATCGAAGAACGAGAAGAACTGGCCAAAGTTATAGTTGACGTTTTTGTGATGGACTGTATGGAATTGATCCCGATTATCATCTAGTAGGCATAAGCAATGTCAGAACTGTCATAGACGAGAAGTGTACTCACGCATCAGAAAAGTCCAGGCAAAAGTCCAGACGAAAACCACCAGTTGTGCAACATTCGACATTGGCAGTATGTAACTGAAGGCATAGATCGGTAGACTCATAATATATGCCTCGATGCGATGGAAAGCGTGAGCAGCGAAGGGCGTCGGCACAACGTAACTGAGTCGCCTTGTCAGCATTTGTCATCCTCCCATCATGATTTAGGAGAAGGCTCTCGTACTAATGATGATACTTGTGCATCCACCGAAAGAGCACTGGAACGTGGAACATTCGATGCAGCCAATACATCCCGGCATCACTGAACAGGACGAACAATGGATACTGCAGTATCTCGTATGTGAGACTGGCTTCGCCGAAGGGATAGATCCTCGCAAAACCGTGAATCTGGCCGAGAAATATCGGGACAGTGAAGAAGTTGAGCCAGAATAGTGTTGTGAGAGATTCTGTGATTTCTTCTCGGACTTGATGTTTGTGGAATTTGGGGTCGTTTCTCCATTGCCGATCGAAGTTCAGGTGGTAGCAGATTGTGCCTAGGATGAGATAGAGGCTGAAGCTTGAGATGCTAGAGTCGTTCTCAGTACGAGGAAGGTGGTGAGGTTGACAAGAGTCTTTCTCTTACAGCGTGAACAGGAAGATGCTGATACTCTGTCGCCGGATGTCGTTACGTTGCCAGATACTGGAGTCAGAGGCCAGAACACATAATGGAGTGCTGGCTAGAGTGCGATTCCCTGTGAAAGCAAAAGACACGTCCACTTGCTCGTCAGCACTTTGGCAGGCCCGTAATTTCAATGAAGACCTTGCGCTGGCGTATACCGAGTCCAGAACAATGGGATCGAGCAAGTCCAGGACGAGATCCATGATGTATTCGAACGAAAGTGGACGAAACACATGAGAGTCGTGTCTGGTTGTGCATCACTCAACTTTCTTCGCAGCCAAGAGGTCGCTCTTCTTGCTCGGATGATACCATCTGTCAACGTCTTGTCTTGGCTCTGGATACGTGCCTACAATGAGCCACAGTTCATCACCTTCGAGAAGCAAGCAAGCGTCTCGCCAGCGATAGCGGAGGCAAGCAACGAGCATGTCCATGCCGGCATATCGACGGATGTTCTAGCGGTCAACGACCTGCATCAAGACCTGGTAGCCGGGGAATGACTCCACGCATCCGTACGTTCCCAACCACCCAAAGCTTGGTCAGCCCTACTGCACATGTGGATTATCATGTGTGCAGATGTCGTGCCCACAAGCGAGACTATGCTTCCAGCAGTGATTTCTGTCAAGCCGTGAAGCCAGGGGTAGAAATGCTGCGAAAGCCAGGAAATGTTGAAGACCCGACAACAATTCGATCTTGCAGATCTTCATCGTTCCACCAGCATTTCAACCCGCGATGCAACAGACCACAACCGAGACACGACAAGATGCTCTTGCGGATCCTGCATTTCCCACGAAGGATGGCAAAGATAAAGGCGGACAACACATGTTGTTCAACGAGATCGCAAGCTTCTTGTTGGTGACAGGATCTCCTCTCTTTCTGGCCTTCTATCAGATAGCCTATCAAGATTTCGATGCATCTCTCGAAATCGCTGTGAGGTCTCTCATGGAAGAAGGTCCAGTATCGTTCTTCGCCAGCAGAACCCCTCGACCGACTGCGAGTACAATTGCGGTCTATCTGGGATATGTAGGCTGGCAAGCGGTGCTCTATGCGTTTCTTCCTGGGCCTCTGCATGCGGCACCAAGGACGGTAGGAGGCCGTCGTCTTCTCTATCGGCTGAACGGCCTTGCAGCTTGGTCGGTGTCCATCGTCGTGGCAGCTGCTTGCTCGTATCTGTCGCTCATCGATCCAACCTATATTGCAAACAATTGGGGTCCGCTTCTTGCCACCGCGAATTTGTACTCGGGAGCCCTAGTCGCTATTTTTTGGTTGAAAGCTCGAATTTCGCCAGATCTTGAGAGCGAGACGTTTCTGACTGGTAAGACAATCCCACTTCTCGATCAGCCAGAAGCTGATTGAAAGAAGGATATTTTTGGTATGACCTTTTCAATGGAGGCGAGCTGCATCCACGTTCCGGCCAGCTTTTCGACTGGAAACACTTCAACGCCAGTCGGACAGGAGGTATATTGACCTGGTCACTAATGTGAGTGTGCATGTTCTTCAAGATTGATGCCATTGGGGGCTGACTGAGATACAGTGACCTATCTTTCGCTGCGCTGCAGTATGAGAAGCATGGAAAGATGACAGCGTCCATGGCTCTGGCCGTTGCTTTCAGAATGACCATCACTGTCGAGTATTTTTGGTACGAGAATTGGTCCGTAGTTTCGTCTTCGCTGCGCCATGAAGATGTCCAAACGCTCATACTGATAGGTTCTTCGAAACGCTTGATGGATCGTATGAACGATTCTCATTTTACAGCATTTATGGATTTGCAGCGATGATGCCTCACCTTTGGACACTGCAGACTCAATACTTGATGACGCATCCCGTCGAATTGCCTACGAAAAGATGTCTCGCATTGACTGTTTTGTTTCTGATCGGATGGTACATGCGACACGTGGTCGATGATCAGAAGAGCTCATCGCGTGCCGCCGACGGAGAGAACCAGATATGGGGCAAGAAGGTCGAGGTGCTAAGAGTGCAGTATCGTACCTCCGACGGCAAAATTCACCAGTCCTTGCTGTTGTGCTCAGGTATGCTGTCGAGCTAGACCCAAACGTTCGAGCTGACAATAACTGCGTAGGATTCTGGGGTTGGGCTCGTCACGCAAACTATTTTGGTTCGAGCGTGTATACGTGGGCCTCGTGCATCGTCTGCGGAGCTGGCCACATCTTCCCTTATGCTGAAGCAATAATAATGACTGCCATGGTGGTCCATCGTTGCTTTCGTGACGAGGTCAGATGTCGTGCCAAATATGGTAGCGCTTGGGATGAATACTGTCAGGTAGTCAAGTGGAGAATAGTCCCGTTTGTGTTTTGATCAATATAGAGGTTCTTTTGAGACATGTAGCCTCGCAAGGCAGGCCGAGTGTCAGATATTGCTCCGTTTCATACTCCTCCACTCTATTGCAAGCGCAGCTGGAGCCGCTAGGCAAGCCATGACGATGCTAATAACGAAGGTCGTGGTCGTCGCGGTATTGCAAGCCAACCGCACAGCATGTAAGAGGTTGTCCGGGACTAACTCCTGCACATTCGTGACTCCCGAAGAAAGAATGATTGATCGGTCAAGGCTCGGGAAAATCGGGTCCAGCTCCTCGAGCAATAGATTTGTGAAAACGTTTTGTGCAGCGGACACAGAGATTCCGCCACCAAAAGTCTGGCTGAACATGATCATCGCTGTTCCAATGGGCATCAAGTCCTCGGGAAGCACATTCTGCACCGCCATCAGTGGTAGCTGCAAGCCCGCGCCGGCGCCCTAAGTCCACACATGTCAGCTTTTGGTCGTTGCCTCAGAACAAATCAGCATACCAATCCGAACAGAATCTGATACCAGATCCACACCGTCCGCGAGCTATCGACTTCCCACGTGGACAATAGGCCAGCGCCAATACTGAGCAGGACCGCAGAAAGCCAGAGCAAGGGAGTATAGTAACCGAAGAGTGTCGTCAGACTGCCGCTCAGGATGCACATGACAATCAATGAAAGAAGAAGTGGAATAATCCGGATGGCGCTACTGAAAGCACTTGTCCCTCGAACGGCCTGGAACCAGACGGGGATGAAATACACCGGAATGAAAAAACTCCCGCCGACGAAGAAGGAGAACAGTGCACTGGCCACGACCGTTCTCTGTGTGCATATTTGGAGTGGAATGGTGGTGCCACTCCCTCCTCTGGCCTGGAGAAGTACGAACGCGATCAGACAAGCTGCAAAGACAACCAGTAGGGCAACGACCCGACCGTTGCTCCATGCGTACCTTGTTCCACCCAGCTGTAAGGCTAGAACCAGGCAGACGACCATGGCAAGGAACGCCAGTGTCCCCAAGGGATCGAATTGCAAGGCAGCTTGTTTCCATCCTCGTGGCAGGACATTGGCGGCATTCGTGGCGGGTCGATAGCATAATATGATGAACACGGCTGTCACCACTCCGACAGGAAGGTTGATCCAGAAGCACCACCTCCAACTAAGCTTGTCTGTGAAGACGCCCCCCAAAAGAGGACCGATGATGCAGGCGATACCATACGCACTCCCCAGGAGGCCGGTATACGTCGGTCTTGATCGCAGAGGGACCGTGTCCGCGATGATGAGCAGCGCGCCTGAAAATAATCCTGCACATCCGCATCCTGCAATAGCTCTGCCGATGATGAATGTGGTGCTCGTAGGCGCTGCACCGCAGATCGCGGAACCGATCTCAAATAGAGAAAGTGCAACAACGAAGACCACTTTCAGGGAGAAGAAGGTGTATAGCTTGCCAAAGAGAAGCTGAAAGCCACATGTAGTCAGAAAGTAAGCCGACCCGTACCAGCCGATGTCGTTGATAGAGGAGAAATCGTCAGTTATGCTTGGTATGGCGGTCGCGATGATCTGCACAGGGCAAAGTCAGTACTCTTAACAGCACTAGATCCGTGGTCAAACTCACGGTACTGTCGAGTGCAATGCAGAAAATCGTCAAGCCGAGTCCAACTGTTGTCAGAACGAGCTTGATGCCAGACGCATAGTGGGTTGTGCGTTGCTCTGAGGAGCTCGAAATCAGGGTCGATTCGTGAAGGACCGATGCAGCCTGGACGCTAACATTCGCGGATTTCTCAGCCATACTGCCACTCGTGAGCGAGACCTGCGACGACCAGACCGCTTCTGGGAGCACCTGATGTTCCGTCAGTCGAGTATATGGCTGCTTCTCGTTGAGATTGGCACAGATTTATCTCGAGCGTTTCTGCCGATCGACAAACGTCCACTCAAGATTGGCCATCCGTTTTACCAAGACCGCAAGATTCGACAACAACGAATACTGGTGTTGATCTTGTATAAGTTCATCTCGCAATATCGAGAAGTTCCGAGCTGGTAGTTCAAATGGTTGAGGCTTGGGTTGATGCTCACGTTTGTCATGAGATAATCCCGTCCACATCGCCTCGGACTGGCGACGCAGGTTCACAACTGCACACGGGCGATGCAGGGCCTCAGCCTCATAGTAACGCTGTGTACAGCTTGCAGCGTCGTTGTACTCCGCGTGAAACGACTGACTTCTGAGCAAGAACATCGCGAGCGCGCCGTCTTGTTTCGAGCTTCTGGCTCGTATCGCGATGTGTCGAGAAGAGTCTGCTTAAGAAAGCCATTCGTGCCTATGCCTCAATCACTGTCTTCGTTGTCCCGAATATCCGGACTCGTCAGGTCCTTGCTCATGATGACATAGTCAACCTTAACGACTTTGTTCCTCGTCTTGCGGTCTTCGGGTGAGCAAATATCCATCTCATATCCCAGATACTCGTAGAACGCGCGTGCTTTCACATTGCTCTTGAAGCAAGTCAACATGACCTTCTCCACTCCCACTCTCTTCGCAATGTTTTCGGCCATTTTCATCAAAGATCTACCAAGTCCTTTGCCTCTTGTGCCGTTATCGAGGTGGATCTCGTAGATATACAGCACAGGGACTGATGGCGTTGAATCATGGGTAAGCATGAAGCTAAGAAAGCCACTTATCCCGGCCTCAGACGAGTCTTGAGGCGGACAGTCTTTGAAAATGATGTACTTCATCTCTTTCTCCTTCATCTCACGCATCTTTCGCTTCGGGTGCCATCCGAAGCTACTCGGCTCGTAGTCGTGGCGACTGGTCCGCTCGATGAGGTCGAAGCACTTTTGCAACTCGTCCTGGCTCAAAGTCTTCGCAAAATGAAATTTGCTGTCAACGTTCGCAAGCTGTGACCAGTCCTCTTCGGCGAGGTAAGCTGCCTTGAAGTCTTGCTCGGATAACTTATTGACAGCTTCAATTATGCCATGACCGCGCGACGCGATCTGTCCAGACGAGGGCTCGTTTTCGACCTCATCTGCACTCTTCCGCTTGCCCATTGCGCCGAGTGGCGAGATGTCGATGGTGGTGTAGCTTCAAGGTCGTGCTTGACGCGTAGAATCGGAAGACGCGTTCGCCAAGACTCGGCCCATCGCGGTCTCGACACGAGCAGCTTCCGACAATGACGACGAGATCAAAACCTCATCTCCTTTGAGAACTCGCGGTCAACTCATCAGTCTGCTGTGTTTCTGGCCGTTATGTACTCCACGCTGCGGCGATGTGCCACAGTATCGCCTGACAGAGCAGTGCGCTTCTCCGGCAAGACGCTCACGCTGGAGCACTTTCTCCAACGGCAAAAAGTCATCAAATTATGGCGAGAGTGCATTCGGACTATCAACAGTAAGTACAGCAGACATGTATACACCGAAGTGTCTTGGACTTATATCCGCGTAGAGATCCCGCCGTCAATGCCGACTCGCCGCGAGATGCGGGAGTATGCTCGTTATGAATTCGAGCGATACCGCAACGTCGATGATCTGGTAACTTTACCTCGCCAAGCCATAACCGTCTCTTAAGAACAACGCTGATTGTCGCTGCAGCAACATATTCGATACCTTGTGTCAACTGGTAAGACGCAGCTTGACTCCATGAGTCGATACATTGAGCAGAATGCTATGTGAAGGACTCTTCCTGCTCCATAAATCAATCATCACCTCGGAAGCACCGGCCCCCGGCGTCCACGATTGTGGTCTCCATTGACCTGCTCACCATGGGACTCGAGAACCTTGTCGCAGACCTGAGAAAGTACGGACGACAATGCGAGCACGGCTTCCGTGCGGTCGGCCTTCAAGCGCTGTATACGTCCCTCACGCGAAGCGGACATCGCCAGACCTTGCTGCTATACCACCGAGGACGCAGTAAGAACAAAGAAGCGGACATGCGATCAGACTATTGCCGCACGGTCCGCCCGCGCAGCCCAACACTATGTCCAAGAGGACACGGATCAAGTGTGCACTCGCGACCTGCGCTGCCGCCTCCGGCCTACGCAACACACCACGACAACGCGCCGCCACCTTATAATGCCGCAGAGGAGCCCAATATCAGCCACAATCAGGCATCGACGCACCAAGAACCTCCTCAGACACCGAGCACTGACAGTGGATCCAACACGATCCGGCCACCACGCTACGACGGCAGTGACCAGCCTGACAGAAACAGAGGCCACCCATTCGAACGCTCAGAGAACACTCGCTTCCAACGTTATTGGGAAGACATCGAAGTGCAACGTACCAGTCATGGCAGTGGAGCACGAAGCAATAGCTTCATGCAAAGTGTTCGCCGACACAGTCTCGAAGTGTCGATGGTGTTAATCGGGGTACTAGTGGTCATCATTCTGGCGCTATACTCTGTTCTTCACCATTGGCCAGGACGTTCATGACGCAGAGAAGGAGGACATGGAGTAAATTGTATGGGGAGGTCTTGAGGACATGTGAGAATGAAATTTGGGGGAATGATCCATCCGCGCGCCTTGGAGCAAATCCTACACTCCGACTTGCTTCAGCGCGAAGAAGACTCGCCAAATATGCCATGATGGAAAGATACCGGAGGAAAGCTAATTTTGGCTGATGAAACGTTCAAAACAGGTGTGTGAAACAGTCGTCGAGCGTCGTAGCAAGTCGTTAGGAATAGCAGAAAACTACGAAACACACTCCACAAACTAGTGATCATGACTCAAATCCTCCACTCCTCCATCAGTCGTCCGAACTCCAAGTCCCCCGAAATATCTCCAAAACGTCACCTGTTTACATCCCATCATCCAACATAGCCACAATCAACTCCACATGCCTCTGAAACGCCGTCTCACTAAACTCATTATCAAAATTCAACCCATACGGCCCAACATGCTGCCCATAGCACGAAAGCCTCGCATCCGGCCCGTCCACACTCTGCAAATATCTGGTCGCCCCAGGCCAATCGTTTCTCTCGCAACGATCGAAGAATGCGCCCGTCTGTCCGATTCCCAAAGTATGAGCGATCTCGTGCAATGCTGTTCCTTCAGTCATGTAAGCTCGGTCAGAGCCGAAACGCATGTTGCCCGCGTAGTTGGCGTCTGCGGTGGGGACGCCGGGGACGTAGCTGACGGAGAGGGATTTGGTGATGCGGGGGTGTATGGCCCAGCGAGAGAGCGCGGCGTTCATGGCTGATGTGATGCGGTCGTAGGCGTCTGCTTCGTCGGGGCTGGGGTTGGGGTTGCGGTTGACGAGATTCCAGGTTATGGCTGCCGAGGCGAAGGGAAGGTAGGTGGCCAGGAGAGAGAGGCGCATGATGAGTTATGTTTGGAAGGTGAAGGCTGAGCGAGAAGGGGAATAGTAGTGGAGAGTTGAGTCTTTGATGATGCAACTTGGAGCTTCTGTTCTTTCTTGCTGTGCGCATCTATGGACGTGGTAGTGAGTCTTTATACTTGAGATGTCGTTGCTGACACTGTCCAGACTTGCCATTGATCTGTCACCGCCTGTCTTAGCGACGATGTAAGATCGCTGGGCATTTCGACAGGAGACCTGTACCATTCGTGCGACATGATACTCCGTGGTGGTGTCTCTGCTTTGCACGAACGATATCACTCGTCGCGCTGGTGATCGCTCTTCCCTCCACCTCTCCAGTATCCTTGGTCTTGGTATGAAACTGCTTCATCTCCTTCGCCGGACCGAGGAGGCAGATCGATACCATAATCGTTGGTCGTCAGCCAGAGTTCCCGTGTCTCATACATATCCTTCGACCAGCTCTGTATGCACAGTAGTCAGATGTCTCTCATAACGTTTGCTGGATGGTGGAAGAACCTACCTCTGGCTGAAACTGCCCAAGCCGAAACAGGCAGGCGAAGCAATGCTGTTAAGCTATCGACCAATGCACCAATCGAGGAACGCCAAGACCTGGTCGAAGATCCTATGCAGCTTGCATCCTTCGTAGATGACTCCGATAAGCTGAGGTGCTCGTCGGGTGTGTGGAGAAATTTTCCGTAGCGTTTGCTTTTCTCATTAGTCTGCTAGCAATATGTGCCAAGGCGTCGCTTGCACTGTAGGAACAACGCAGGATGAAGTCAAAGCCAATGTGATCTTTGCCGGATTCACTCGCCCACAGCCTAGCTGGTTCTAAGCGAGAAATCAACAGAGCGGACTTGCAGTTTGGCGGACGAGAAGGACGAGTCCGGGGCCCCGGATTTTGGTCATGATGATCGTCGCTGTGGGCGTGCTTTTAGTAAAGCTGGTCTTGGTGTAGCAAAGCAAGACCGGCGAAACCGGTTTTGCAAGCGACGTCGAGCTCGCTTCTTTCAACAGTGGACGCTCAGAGTGCGAACGCCCAGCGCGGAGTTATTGTGCGAGCACAACTCCCATCAATCCATCTGATGCAGCCCCGGCATATTTTTACTCCTCACACACCACCAACCTCCATCCGCATCCCTCTCAAATTCGAACAACGTCACACTCGGTCTTCTGGTTCCTGGCGGGAGTCCAAGCATATGCACATGTGCAATGACAGAAGCATACTTTGCTTTCCGGATAACAGAAACCTGCATCTCCTCGCCAACTTCATAGCGATATTCCGGACAGGCATTGGAAAGGAATTGCTCGACGTGCAAGAATGCTTGGAGATTTGTCACGAGTTTGGAGACGTGTAGGTCAATATCGAGGTCGGACATGTCGCCAGGGTACTGCTTGGCGATGTAGACTCTGGCATCGTGCGGAATGCCGCTGCAGTCATCGGCAAAATTGGGGGAGAAGCTGCTCTGCCAGGGCTCTGAGGTGGGCGCAAAGTCGCGTTCGTTGATGGCGTGGTAGGCAGCGCGGATGATCTGCTCGATGCGTATGTGGATGGGTTGCTCATTCTGGCTGGTTTCTTTGCCGTTTGCTGTCTGTGTGTCTTGCATTTTGGCTGGTCGCTGGTGGGGCTTTCTGGCTGGGTTGCAGGGTGGGACAGGATGGACTGTCGCGCGTCTTATGATCAACAACTTGCCGCTCGTACAGACGTCGCTGCCATGGTCCTTGTTCAGCTTCCTTGGCCGCTGAGCTGAGGCTGATCACGGCGTTCACTGCGCAAGCTCATTGGTGAAGCTTGCCGGATGATTTTGGCCTGGAAAGATCTTCACGCCGCCGGCCACAAAGATCTTGTAATACAGTGTGTGCCCTACAGTCCTGCTCTCATCCGCATGGCCTCATATCTGTACTCGAGTGGTTGCACTTGCGGCTGGCATGAGGCTGAATGCTCCCGCTGCCACAACCGCCGAGGTGCTGCTGTGGCTGTCATCTTGGCGCAGTCTAGCTCTTCATCAGCGTGTTCGACAGAGTCTTGTCACTAGCGGATGTGGTCTGGACTCTCAAGACAGCCGACGGCAGCACTCTCTACCCAATGATGGAAGATGAAGTGGAACACGCTTCAGATCTTGCAAACGTGTGTGGAGAAGCGAAAGCCGGAGAACGCATGCCACCGGGTGCCACTATTGTAGTCTGCTGTAAGCGAGTCGTGGCGGCAATGCCAGGCAATTGAGGCGGGCAGTGAGACGCGCCAGTTCCATTCTTACCTCCTCCTACTCCATCCTTCTTTCTTCTTCTTGCTCAATACCCTCGGTGTCACTCGTTTGGACCACTCACGCTCGTTGCAGGACACGACGGAAGACGGAAGATGCTCCGGCTGCTGCAGTAACCCCAGACTGGACGGCCAGCAGCGGCGGCAGACGGCGACCATGGGACGCGCGGACGGCCAGGGTGGTGGTGTTGGCCACGACAGGCCTGGGAGGATAGCACGATGCACCGAGAAGGGCACGACATGGTTCAGAGAGCACGTCGCCGAGCCCGCCGAGTTGTGCTACCAACGATACATCATCGAGCTCCTACTGCGCCAGAAACCACTTCCTCCCTCCAAGGATGGCCGACATGTTCCATTGCGGGCGTTCCATGAGAAGCCGCTGCTGGATGAGCGGAGGGGACATGCCTTTCTATCGAATACCATCCGATCCAGTCGCTACACCATCTGGGACTTTGTGCCTAAGCAGTTCTTCTTCCAGGCGACGAGGCTGCACAACTTCTACTTCATCTGCATTGGCGTGCCTCAAGCAATCCCTGGATTAAGTACCACGGGAAACTACACCACGATCCTGCCATTGACCTTCTTCATACTCATCACGATCTTGAAAGAGGGCTACGATGACTGGTGCAGACACCGCATGGACAAGGTGGAGAACAACAAGCTTGCTAGGGTTCTGCGTCCGAAAGAGCATGTGGACAAACAAGAAGAGGCAAGGAGGCCATTGACGAGGTCAATCTCCGAGCTGTCTGTGCTGCGATGGGTTGGCACACGCAATGCGGGGCCCATTTTGGAGAAAGAGCAAGATGAAGACGACGAGCTGACATGGGATTGCAAGACTCGATGGCATAATATCAAGGTTGGCGACATTCTGAAGCTCAGGCGTGACGAGCCCGTACCTGCAGACGTCATTCTGTTGTACAGCAATGGCGAGAATGGCATAGCATTCATCGAGACCATGGCACTGGATGGCGAAACAACATTGAAGAGCAAGCAAGCTCTGCCGGATTTGCTAAACAGATGCGGGAGTGTCACTGATCTGAGACATGTTCAAGCGGACCTACGCGTGGAAGACCCAAACAAAGACCTGTACGATTTCAATGGCAAGCTTACTATTGACGGGAAGTCCATGCCGTTGACCCTGAACGAAGTCGTTTTCCGAGGCAGCGTGCTCCGGAACACTGGCTACATCTATGCATTGGTGATCAACACTGGCGAGGAGTGCAAGATCCGCATGAACTCGAATCACCACGCGGCCGCGAAGACTCCTCGACTGGAGAGGTATGCGAACCAGGTAGTCCTCACGCTCATCTTCTATGTTGTTGTGCTCTCTATAGGGTTATCCTGCGGCTATCTGCTATGGCACGACTCTTTTGAGACCGGCGCTTGGTATCTCAATGATGCTGCGCCGGGCTTCCAGCAGATCATCATCGGCTTCCTCATCATGTTCAACAACGTCATTCCCCTCGCTCTGTACGTGAGCTTGGAGATTGTCAAAGTTGGGCAGAGGCTCATGGTACAGAGTGATGTGGAAATGTTCGACGAGACTTCGAATACGCCAATGAGCTGCAACACGAATACGATACTTGAAGATTTGGGCCAGATCAGTTATGTTCTATCTGACAAGACCGGAACACTCACGGACAACATCATGAACTTCCGCGCAATGAGCATTGGCGGCATTGTGTGGACACATGGACTGGACTCGTCGCCTTCAAGCACCGAAAGCAGCAGTTCAAAGATCTCCACGGACTGCAGCGAGAAGCCTGGCCCGGGACTGGTTGTTGAAACTCGAGAAATGACATCGCGCTCAACTTCTGTTGCACACGACCCGCGACCTTCGCAAGCTCTGTCGAGGAGGTCGATCCGGCAATACTGGCAAGCACAAAGAACTACCACGGAACTGATGCAGCTCATTTCAAATGATCCGCACTCGAATATGGCACGCAAGGCGAAAGAGTTCATTCTCGGCATGGCGCTCTGTCACACTGCCCTACCTGAGGTCAAAGACGACAAAATTGAGTTCCAGGCCTCATCACCGGATGAAGTGGCACTCGTTCGTGCTGCACAAGAGCTCGGCCATTTGCTTGTGAACCGCTCTTCCCAGCGTATCGAGCTTCTGGTCGGCACTGGTTCGGATCAGACAAGGGAAGCGTACGAGATCTTGGAGGTGATTGAGTTTACCAGCAAGAGGAAGCGTATGAGCATTGTTGTACGATGTCCTGATGGCAAGATCTGGCTCGTCACGAAGGGCGCCGACAGTGCAATCATTCCACGATTGCGTCAATCAGAGCTGGCGGTGCGCAAATCGGCTGAAGTTCGTCGCAGTATGGATATTGGCAGGCAACAGCTCCGGAAGAGTATGCAGCAGGAAGGCCGGAACAGTCTTGGCGGTAGACCAAGTCTTCTGCGCAATCGAAGCTCAATGGATGTTCGTCCATCAATGACGATCGATCGTGCGAAGTCAACTGAGCTTCGACCGTCCATGGCTATAGGAAGAGCAACGCTTGAGGTGCCAAAAATCAGCTTCGATCCTGGTAGCCTTCAGGATGACTTACAAGCTGCGGAACGCACGGATGATGCGGCGCTGTTTTCGAAATGCTTCCAACACATCGATGATTTTGCTACAGAGGGTTTGCGAACTCTCCTCTATGCTCACAACTATGTGGATTCGGACGAGTACCAGACGTGGAGCAAAGTGTACAAGGAGGCAACAACCTCTCTTGTAAGCAGGCAAGAACGTATCGAGGCTGCCGGCGAGCTTATTGAACAAGGCATGGACTTGTTGGGCGCATCCGCGATCGAGGATAAGCTACAGGACGGTGTGCCCGAAACGATCGATAGATTGCAGCGCGCCAACATTCGCATCTGGATGCTGACAGGCGACAAACGCGAGACGGCTATCAACATTGCTCACTCGGCCCGTATCTGTCAGCCTGCTTCGCTGATCTACATTTTGGACACCACCAAGGGCGATCTCCAAAGACAGATGAGCGAGATTGTACACGAGACCGACAGTCATCGAGTGGTCGTTGTGGACGGGCAAACTCTTGCAGTCATTGACACTGACACGCAGCTCCGTCTCATCTTCTTTACGACCCTCATCGCCAACGTCGACTCCGTCATCGTCTGTCGCGCATCGCCATCGCAAAAAGCCGACATCGTCAAAGGCATCCGCGCTCGGCTGCCAGGCCTGACGTTGGCGATAGGAGACGGTGCCAACGACGTCGCAATGTTGCAAAGTGCGCATGTTGGTGTTGGTATCTCAGGCAAGGAAGGTCTGCAAGCTGCACGCGTCGCCGACTTCAGCATCGCTCAATTCCGCTTCCTACAGCGTCTCCTTCTCGTCCACGGCCGTTACCAATACATCCGCACAGCCAAATTCATCCTCCTGACCTTCTGGAAGGAAATGTTCTTCTACCTGATGCAAGCATACTTCTGCGAACACGCTGGGTTTACTGGTACTTCTCTCTACGAGATGTGGTCATTGACAGTCCTCAATACCCTCTTCACCAGCTTGTGCGTTATCGTGCCAGGCATTTTCGAGCAGGACCTTCGTCCGGATACTCTGCTAGCTATACCGGAGCTATACGTGCACGGGCAGCGCAACCGCAGCTTGAACCTGAGAATGTACGTCGCGTGGATGTTTCACGCGTGTGTGCAAGGTACTATCGTCTGGTTCGTCTCTTGGGTTTCCTATGGTCGCTACAATGTCATGGGCGATACTGGTCTCTTTGCACTTGGAGATTTGTGCTTCAGTCTTGGCATCGTTTGGACGAATTGGAAATGTCTGGTCGTTGAAGCGCATTATAAGACTCTCATCGTTGCGGTATCTTTCTTCGTCACTGTTGGCGGTTGGTGGGCGTGGAATGGCTTCATGTCGGCTGTCTACGGGAACAACATCAGTCCTTACAACGTCAAAGGCGGATTCCAGTACGTTTTTGGCCAGGATCCAATGTGGTGGCTGACACTTTTGCTGGCATTTGGAGTGCTATGTACGATGGAGTGGGTGTATGCTGCTGCGAAGAGAAACTTGGTGCTGGCGAGGTGTTGGCCGCCGTGGAAGTTCACGAAATGGCATCGCAATCGAAATGGAAATGCGGAAGATCTGGAATTAGAGCTTTGGCAGGAGATGGAGCAGGACCCGGCCATCCGCGCAAAACTGGAGAGGATGGCGAGGAACGAGGACGACGAAGATGATGATATCGTGGATTTGCAGATGGTTATTGATGAGAGCGAGCAGGGGAGTGAGAAAGCGACGAGGAGGAGAAAGTGGTTATGGTGGTCGTAAAGGCGATCTCTGTCCAACTGATTGCATAATGATGTGATGATACCCTGGAAACATGAAGTTTTGGATACACAAGTGTCGGAGTTATAGAGATAGATCTGTACATATCTCTTGTAAATATGTTGACATGTCTCTAGCCCTCTTTCCTGCAAAGAGCGAAGCAACTGCTTCCACGGACGACTTGCCAAGATACAGGATCTCCGGGATGTGCATCCTTCACCGCAACAGACCAGTGTCAAGGCAGAAGACGCGTCTTATCGACATGGACAGACAGACTCGACGGCGTCGTGGCTCAAACACTGTATGAGGCGCAGCAATCAACAGAACTCGTCGCCTCCGATTATCAAACCTTGTCCAGCATACTGACAGGTCGCTGTACCGCCTACCACCTCCGCGGTGCCCGCGCACACAATTGATCCTTCTTGATGCAGCGCGTCCGGGGCACCAATCAAATGATCGAACGACGTTTCACGAGCCACGCTGTGTAAGGACCTTACAAGATTGTGTTCGACGCGAAGACTCAGCGCTCTTGAACATTTGCTGCAAAACCATACACCGCTGGCCTGCACGCCAAGATCCTTCAGCTATTGGCGATGCACTGGGCATGCAGCAGCTGAGAAGGATGATCGATCCTGCTCGTTTGCGTTCATCACGCAGCGACGTCACTGCCGCCTGGTATGATGGGCGAAAGATATATACTCAAGACGTCGAGTTCGATGATTTCGACATCTTCTACCTGAGAATGAAGCACTTTGGCCACGATGTCTAGATCTTTGCTGCAGATTGTCAGACCTTACGACACAGAACGAGAGGGGACACGAGAGAATGGAAGAGATGCTCCAACGGTATTCGCATCGTCCCAGAACGTGATGGACGCAAGCATGAACCCACCACCGCCGTACATGGAACTCAGCCCAGGAACGATACCGCGGAGACCGATCATACCGTCACCCTCATCAAGCTCTGGGCCTAACAGTCTCAACGCACTCTCCTGCTATGACTCCCGTCAGCAGCATCAGCTGGCTCAAGCGCCAAGAGATATCCCGATCGTGATTCCCCAGACGGCGCGCTCCTCGGAAGGAAGTTTTCACTCCCCTTTTGTCCGATCATACCCTCCTTCCCTCCAAACCACCTCTCAAATCTCCCAAACAGATTTTCTCGCCTTCCTCGACAATCTCAACTCCGTGTGGGTCGCCAATCCTGCTCTCGAGTCTGTCGGTCTTGCCGGAGAAATAATGGGAAACTTATACTGGCTTCCGATCGTCTCCTGGGTTGGCATGGGAGTGGAAATCGCGGCGGGACTGAGTAGTGCTGCAGCGAGTCTTGCAAGATCCAGAAAGTTTCTGAAGCTGGCGAACGAGAAATTCTGGAAGCCTAAGGGTTGGTTTGTGAAGATCTGCGGGACGAAAGAGATGCTGGGTCGTGTGGGTTATGCTTCTGGTGGCGAAGCCGGTGCGGCACAATTGAAGTTACCGCCGAGGGTGGTGGAGGAGTTGGAGTGTGGAGGTCAGGAAGAGCATCATGCAGGCCCAAGTCGTCATCAGGTGCCGCAAGAAGACGCTCGAACACGACGTATGCGCGCCTTGGAAGGCTATGTTGCTCCGCTGGAGTTTAACGTTCCCGCCCTCGTTCCGCCGACCAATCTTCTTGCGAAGATGGGCACAATGCAAGCGCAGCGTATGGCATCAAAACAACAAAAGAAGGAAGTTCAGAAACGAGAGAAAGCCATTGAGAAACGGACGAAAGAACAGCGTGAAGCGGAGAACTCTTCTCGAAAAGCTGCTGAGAGACTCGACGAATTAGATACTCTCCTGGAGAAAGAAAGAACCAAGCTGCAGACGAAACTGGCGAGGAGAGGAGAGGATCTTTCTGAAAGGGATCGAGAGAGGATTCTGAGGGAATTTGAGAAGGAAGAGGAAAGGCTGGAGAAAGAGCTGGAGAAAGAGACGAAGAAGTTTGCGAGGGAGAGGGAGAAGAGAGTAGAGAAAGAGGAGAAGAAAAGTGGTAAGCCGAAGAAGGATAAGGAAGAAGAGGCTACGCAGAAGATGAGATGGATTGTTACCACGAGGTGGGAGGGAGGAAAGGATGAGGAGGGCGAGGATGGATTGGTTGTCGGTGACGATGATGAGAACGAGGGCACAGAGAAGGCGAGGGGAATGGACAGGTCATAAGAGGTTGCTTCGTTGTTGGAGCGGTCGTTCCAGGTAGAATTCCATCCACTGTCGCACAGCTTTCCCTCTGGCATTGTGTCCAACCCCTGCAGTATCGGAGGAACGACCAGTGACGCCGTCAGAAACATACTATGCGTACAGTCGTAGAGGGTCATCTAGGTATTAGGCAGTCGTTCCAGTGTTTCGAACCACCAGAACACCCTATTGCGTCAACGCGTGCCGTAACGGCCCTTTAGCGTGTGAGCAAGATACCGAATTCGGACTATCTTGAAAAGCTTCCCACTGTCGCAGCGTCTCCAATAAGGGTGTTACAGTGTCTTTTTCGTTGGGGCTGGTCGTCTGGACGCCAGCCGATGTCAAAGCCCCTTTCTCTGAACCAGTGATAGGTAGCTTCGGCCACAGTTCGGTAGGGGCTCTTCCCAGACGCGTAAAGTTGCTCCTGTTCTCGTTCCCGTTCTTTCTCTTTCCATGCATGCGGGTCCGACCAGAGCAACCAGTCCATGGTATCAACCCTGTGCTTATTACATTTCCACCCCTTCGAACGTTTGACGATTTGCAAGTCCTCCTGTAGTAGCTTGATCAAGTTGGTCTGACGCCATTGTGGATGGTGCATCGTTTCTATTTCCGGCTTGTGACTTACGGACTTGTCGATTGCGTATTTTATCGGAACTTGCTCTCTTGATTCGATTGCCCTTACACTTTCCAACATGCTAGAAAGTCGGTCCTTGAGGTCTGGATTTTCTCGCAGATACCTTCTGAAGTGGGGTTGAATGTGATCCAGATCGGAGTAGTATTGTCGCCACTAAGAGCAAGAACGTTTTGCGCCATATCTTTCGTGATACATTGGGCTGAGCTTGTCGTTGTCATCCTCTATGGAACCGATGTTGCAGAAATCACAGATTCCATCACCAGCATGATCCTTCTGAATTGAGCATTTGTTGGGATCGTAATAGATGATATGAAGAGCTCTCCTGGGCTGCCAATGCGAGGACACCGAGGACCATTGCGCTTGTGAAAAAGGCCTATATGTTGATTTGACGTAGCCATTGCAGAGGAGTCCGCCTTGGAAAATGGAAGTTGCCATTGTAATGGCAAATCGGTTTGTTGTTTACCATGTTCATGTGCAACCAACAACATCGGACAGCGTGCGTAAAAGCACAGACCAAGGTTTGAAGCTTTCAATGTTCCACAACCGCGAGCTACACATCCTGGTTCTCCACTCTCGATCTCGGTTGACTGATCAGATGAGGATGCATTACACGTACTCGACCCTTGGCCGTCCTCTCCTAACTGCACTCATTATGGTCATTGCCATCATCATCGACTCTCTTCTCACGTGCCTCTATTTGGTGAATCGCGGCGTTTGCACATTTGGTTAAATGAGACCTCCATTGCGTCTGTTGTATTGCACACCTATCTCAGTCACAACTTGCAAGTCTTTTTGCACGAGCTGAGGCGGAGTGCGCTTAGGGTTAAATTCACCACCATTCCTTGCTGTTATAGGGCTCGAAGACACGTTGTGATTGGTGTCCGGTGAGCAATATACCTATTCCATATGCCTGGAGTGCCCCCACTTGACGAACATCCTGAAATCCATGGCATCAGCTCTCTGCTTGCTGCACATCCACCTATTGCGCACCTTGACAACTTCCAGATCTTCTCTCAAATTCGATATCACGTCTCTCTGGCACCATTGACGAGAGTTTGAAATCTTTGCCGTCCGCACATACTTGTCGACTGCGTATGCGATGGGGATCTGCTCTGTCGACTCAACTGCTCTCACTCTCTGAAACATGCTTTCGACATGCCTTTGATGGATTTCATCCGCTGCTGCTCTTTTCTTTCCCTCCTTTCTTCTATTTCCTTGTTTTTCTCAGCAGCTTTCTTCCAGCATTCAGCACAGAAGGAAGTATAGCCAGTTCTGCCAATTGCCCACACCGGATCTCCAAATGATACATGCGCTGTAGGGGATGTTTCGCAGACTTGGCATATCGGTACTCTAGCAGCTTCTCTGCGTTCGTTTTCTCGTTGCTCGGCTTCTTCCCGGCAATCAACACATTGACAAGGACGGCCCCAGTCGCAGTCGCGTCGAAGTAAAGAATCAGTATGAAAAGGCGTCCCGAGATGGGTGTTGGACGCGAGTTGATTTCCTCCTGGTCGAGTAGGGTACCATCTCGTAGACCAGAAGCCAGGAGTGTTAAGCAAAGTACACCGGATGCGAGGCAGACGTACGAATATTCTTCTCGTGTCTGCAATCATCGCTACACTTGAAGTCCACTGATTAGGCGCCACTGATCAGGCGCCCGGGTTCCACAAGCGCGGGGACGGGCGTATTTGAGGCGCGGAGCGTAAACCAGAGTGAGTCCAAGACTTCGTCAAGACCAGAGGCCGGATAGACAAGCTTTGATTGCACACTCCTGGTACGTTCTGGTACGAGTTGAGTCCCTGGTAGAGTGCCCTCGAAAGAGGGGTCTTATACTTTCAAATCCCTGGCGCCTCTCTTCATTCCTCTCTTCTCACGTCGGGATAAAGCCCTTCGAATCCTTCTCCTGCTGCTTCCAATCCTGCCTGAAAGCCGCAATCCCCGCGATGATCCCCACGGCCATGAAGCACACACTCACCAAACTCCAAATCACGCCCCAGCACCTCGAGCTCCCACCATAGCGCTTCGCAAACTGCACCGCATCAGAAGAATTGACCTTTCTCAAGATCAAATCGTCGCAAATATCCCAGACGCTGTAAAGTGAAGACATGGTTCCAATGAAGAGCACCACGAAACGGAGAGCTTGGGCGTGAGCGATGAACCAGCAGGCCACTAGGAGGCCGGTAGCAAGAAGTATCGTGATGATCGTAAGCCAGTCTTTGCGAGCCCACCATAGAGTCAAGAGGAAACAGGCTGCGAGGACGAAGGAGGCGATTTTGGAGGCGACGATGTTGAAGCCGGCGAAGATTAGGAGAGCCCCAATCAGGGAGGAGGTGAGATAGCCTGCGGGGAGCTGCGCGTTTGTTAGTTCAGAACTTGACTTTGACGCCACGAGCGTCTTGTTGACATACAGTGATCGCTCCTTTCCCGCCTCGCATCCTCGTCACGCCGCCTTCGTTCGGATTCAGTTCGATGGATTCGACTTTGCCACCAGTCAATTTCGCTGCGAAAGCATGACCAAATTCGTGAAAGGCGATCGTCAGCATCTATTATCATCACCACTGATTAGCAACACGTTTCTCTTTCGCGCATGCTCAGCCTATAGGGCAAAGAAATACCTTAAACGGCCAGAGCACATTCCTCACATAAGGAATATTCCATAACAGCGCGATGACCACCACATAAACACCTATGATTCCGACAGTGACGGCTTGCGTTTGGTTGACGGAAAGGTCGCGTCGTAGAAGGTGGTGATGCTGCGACTGGATCGTCTCGGGCTGGAAGATTGGGAAGCCATCTGGATCGAGGGATGGAAGGAGAGCTGAGGGAGCCATTGGGAAGGAACTTCCGGTCGTACGAACTTCGAAGGGTCTTTTCGACTTCGTCTCTCCGAATCTTGAACTTGTCTTATGTCTTCTGGGTCTTCAATCTTCGTCTTTCGTCCTCAGCCTCGTAAATCGTTCTTGCCGGTACGTATTCGTGAAATGTGTCGCGGATTCAAACGAACGCCAGTCTCCAATTCGGCGACCTGGCAGCCAATATACAATGGATGGTGCTACTGTTCCTCGCGCCGCAATACCAAAAGCGAAAGAAAGGAAAGTGGTCTGTAACGAGAAGAAAGGCTGGAAAGGCTGAAGTGGTCGGGCGTTCGTCGTCTGTTGTTACGCCATGCATAGCTTAGCCACACCAGATTTCCCGCCAAGACCAACCAAAAATAGGATCGACGCGTGGCGTTTCAGGGTCTACATTCGTTTGGCAGCAAATGTCTTTCGTCTCAGCCTTGCGAATCTGTTACACAAGTTGGGTAGAGGCTCGTCGGAACCCGGTGGTTGGCGACGAGGCCTTGATCTTCCGCCTACCAGATGCGAAGGAATAGCTGTTGTGCTCTGCACGAGGTCGGATACGCCTGAAAGCCGAGCTCAAGTAAGGAAGCTGTGGAAGTATGGTGGAGAACAGCCGTTCTTCCTCATGATAGCGATGATTAAGTTATACTGATACTTATGTCCATCTCATCCAAGGCCAATGCCCACATCTATATCAACTATGCATCGTCCTTCCAATTCGCTCCCGGAATTTTCTCCCCTACTTACGACCTCGCTCTCTCCTTCTCCAGTGCCTTCTGCAACGCCTTCTCCTCCGCAAGACTAATGCTCCTCCTCCTTATCCTCTCCAAGTCGCCAAATACCTTAGGCACCAACTCCTTCTTGTTAACCTTGCCCATGGCATTTCTTGGGATCTTCTCAACGACCTTCATATCTTGGGGAATCTTATATGCCACCAGCTTGTCTTTCAATGCCCTCCTCATATCCATCGCACTCCACTCCGACGTCTCCTCTTGCTCACCGGTGGCAGAGTTTCTTCGCTTCCGCTTTTTGCCCGCAGTCTTTCCTTGTTCAGACAATACGACGACGGCCGCAGCTTTCTGGCCCCAGGCTTCCGAGGGTAAGGCAACGACGGCGCATTCCTCGACTTCTGGAAGAGACAGGAGTTCGCGCTCGATTTCCAATGCAGAGACCTTCTCACCACCAGTCTTGATGATGTCGGCGGACTTACGGCCTTGAATGAAGTATGCGGGTCCAGTCGCCCAAGATCCGCTCTGGCCGGTACCTGCTCCATCAATGTGGGATAGATCTTTTCGGATCGCAATGTCGCCAGTCTTGAACCATCCATCTTCAGTAAACTCTTTTTGCGTTGCTTCGGGATTGCGCCAGTATTCGCGGAAGATAGTGGGGCCTTTCAATTGGACTTCGCCTGGATGTTCTTTTTCGCCTTCTTTGGTGACGCTGGTGATAATATCGCCAGTGTCGGAGTCCACGAGACGGGCTTGAACGGAGGGGAGGGGCCAGCCGACACTGCCGTCGATACGGTCGACGTCTGCGAGGCCGCAAGAGAGTGCCATGCCAACCTCAGTCATGCCGAAGCGTTCGAGAAGGACGTTGCCAGACGAAAGGGCAGTCCATGCTTTCTTGGTTGGAGTAGGCAATGCTGCAGAGCCGGAGATGTTAAGGCGGAGATGTTTGCGCTGTACAGCTTCATCGGCGGCAGCTTTGAGGTCTTCAGGTAAGTCTGGATGGGATTGTAGCATGCGAGCCCAGACCGTGGGGACAACAGTGAAGAATGTGATTGGCTTCTTCTCCTTGTCATTCCAAAAAGGTGCCGCAAAACGTTTCCATACATTATCGACGTTGAAGGGGTACATGAACTCGATGGTGGCACCGGCCAGAAGAGGTGTCAAGAGAGCATTGACAGTACCATGGATGTGGTGGAGTGGCAGAACGTGCAGCAAGTGATCTTGAGGAGTGTACTGCCATGCTTCGATCAATGATTGAGCCTGAGCTGTCAATACAGAGGTGGGGAGGAGGACACCCTTCGGTCGTGCTGTGGTGCCGGACGTGTAGAGCATCATGCCACCTTCTGTAGCAGGTGTTGAAGCGGACAGTTGGACCTGCGAGGATGACTTCGCGCCTTCGGTGATCTTGCTCACTGCCACTCGCAATGGTGTATGTGTCAGGCCCTCGCTGAGAACTTCCTGTGCCAGCTTGGAGTATTTGCCAGTGTGGACGAGAGCGAGGGCTTCACTGTGGTCAAGGATGTACCGCAGCTCACCTGCTGGGAAGGAAGGCGCGAGAGGCACGGCAATGGCATTGGAGGCCAAACATGTCAGAAGGGTGACTGTATGTTCTCAGCTCGATGCTCTTGATTTGACAATGCCATTGACGTCTACACACCTGCATAATCGTAGCTATTCTCCACCAGGAACGCAATGCGTTCCCCAGCGATTGTGTCCGCATCTTTGCCCGTCTCTTTCAGCAATTGCTCTTTCCGCGAAGCAACATCTGCAAGCAGACTGCCATAGTTGAACGATCTCCCGCTCAAGGAGTGTATTACTGCTGTCGACTCCGGTGCATGTTTCTGTATCGCTTCTGTAAAGGCAATGCGCTGCAGCGTCAATTGTTGAGATCCCGTCATGGTCGTGGTGAACGCTCGTCTTAGTGCTGGTTTCGTCGATCGTATCGAGGAAGGTGTGTTGCGCGTGGTAAAACGTGACGCTCTCGCGACACAATGGCTCGAATGGTAGAAGCGTTGGAGGAGTGAAGGGAGAGTATTCATTTTTGCCGGCTCCTCTACAGTCCTCCTACTACCTCGGGTTGGGACACGGAGCCACAATGGGCAAGTCTGATGGGACCACTCAGCAGCCAACCATGATTTCCGCAGTCCGAGATAATAAGTGACGATGTCGGTGATGCAGGGATCGGCCGAAGCACCTCATGCCAGACTTCCGTCACTCAGACTGCTCGGCGTTGGCCGAAAGGCTATTGCGGACAACAAGTGAACATGTTTTGCCAACAACCACAGTCGTGCATGCAGCAAAACGGGCTTGAAGTATCGTCTGTGAGTGGTAATATTCTCCGCGAGGGGCTTGGAAGGGCACAGCATTCGGTTGAGGGCAGGAAGACACGTTCCGAGACAGACAGAGCGACTTTCGGCGATGGGGCCGATGCTCTGCAATGGGGAGCGACCAGAGCTGTACAATCGGCAATACAGGCGCACACAGTGTGGCAGCAGCAGGCAGGAGGCGCAGTGAATAACATCCGTAGAGAAGCGATGCCACAGCACCGCCACGCGCTCCGCGTATTCCCCAGACGTGGGCTCTGTCACATGCACGCCGTGAGCGACGAAGGCTGCTGAGGTGTCAAAGCGTGCGTCATTTCCTCCAAGCCTGTGCCCGCCGGCGGACTTTCTTGCACTGCCGCGTAAACGACGACTACCTTCTGCCACCACCGCCATCTGCCCGTACATAGACATTCTTCACTCCGCACATTCAGTGACCCCAGCCCAGTACTGATCCCAGCCAGCAGCGACATGGTCGTGGACACCGAGTACTACGACGCCCTCGGCGTCCCGCCGACCGCGACCGAGATTGAAATCAAGAAGGCATACCGGAAAAAGGCCATCCAATTGCACCCAGGTGAGAGACTTGCAAGGCGCCTGATGGAGTGATGGCTAACACCCTCCAGACAAGAACCCAGATGACCCGACCGCACACGAAAAGTTCCAGGCAGTGGGCGAGGCATACCAAGTGCTGAGCGACAAAGCACTGCGATCGCGATATGACCAAGTTGGCAAGGAGGGCGCGAAGCCCGACTCAGGTTTCGAGGACCCAGCAGAGTTCTTCACCATGATCTTCGGCGGCGAAGCCTTCCATGACTGGATCGGCGAAATCTCAATGATGAAGGATTTGACCAAGAGCATGGAGATCTCAATGCGCGAACAAGAGGCCGCCGAAGCCGAAGGTGCTGCCGCTACAGCAGAAGCCGCCGCCGCTACTTCAGACGCTGCGAAAGCGAAGCAAGCCGAAGCCGCCAAAGATGCCACGCCTGGAGCCCCTCCACCACCACCTGCGTATGCAGAGACTGCTCCGCCCGAGTATGCCGCCGGCGCTGCTCACGATATCCCCATTCGCGATTCGAAGCCCGCATCTGGCTCCGGCACATCCACGCCCCGCCCATCAGGCATCCCTACCAGATTGGCTATTACCGATAGAACGGAAGAGGAGGCTGCCGCTGCTGCTGCCGGCATGACAGAGGAAGAGAGACTACTGCGCGAAAAGGAGAAGAAGAAGGGTGGCTTGACCAGGGAACAACGCGAAGAGCTGCTAGCATTCGAGGCGGAGCGCAAGAAAATCCGAGACGAGCGAATCGAGACACTCTCCAAGAAACTCATCGACCGCATGAGCGTGTGGACCGAAACTGATAAGGGCAAGGACGTCACTGATGCCTTCCGCGAGAAGATGAGGTTGGAGGTGGAGAACCTGAAGATGGAGTCCTTTGGTATCGAGATCCTCCACGCCATCGGACAGACATATGTGGCCAAGGCTTCCACCTATATCAAGAGTCAGAAGCCATTAATTGGCGGCGTCAGCGGCTTCTTCAGCAGACTTAAGGACAAGGGAAACATGGTCAAGGACACTTGGGGCACCGTATCCTCTGCGATATCCGCGCAGATGGAGATTGAGGAAATGGCCCGCGCAGAGGAGAAGGGTGGTGAAGAGTGGACTGATGAGCGACGCGCCGAGTATGAGAAGCGTGTTACCGGCAAGATTCTGGCTGCTGCTTGGAGAGGAAGCAAGTTTGAAATCACTGGTGTGCTCCGCGATGTTTGCGACAAGGTCTTGTACGATAAGAAAGTGAAGCCAGAGAAGCGACTCGAGCGTGCTCACGCTCTCATCGTTATTGGCGAGATGTTTGCAAAGGTGAGTCGGGCGACATCACTAGTGATTCCTCAAACATACTGACTCTATTGCACAGGCCCAACGTGATCCAGACGAGGAAGGTGACTTCATGGCATTCGAGCAGCTCATGGCTGAAGCGACTGCGAAGCGCGAAAAGAAGGAAGACAAGAAGAAAGAAAAGGAGAAGGACAAGCAGCGCCACAGCGTCTTTGGACACAAGCCACAGGAAGAGAAGCCGGCAGCGTCGACGTCGTAGAAAGCGCCCACGCCAACGACTCCTTCCAGCTCTTCAAAGAAAGAGGGCGCTGCTCCTCCGAAGAAGTCCTCGCTTCGCGGAAAAGTGCCCCCAACTCCTTCACCACCACCTCTTCCCCCTCGTTCACCATCTCAATTCTCCTTCGAATCATCCCCGCGCCCCGACTCCCCTGCTTATTATGGCCGGGTACCACCACAGCAATCGGAAGTCCACCCGGCGCTGGCGAAGACGAGAAGAAGGGCCAACGCGCAGCATAGCATTCGCGTTGTGGCTCCTGACCACGATACAGACGACCCCACGACGTGGAACGACGAACTACAGAAAACGGAAGATAATCTCCAGCAAGAGCACAACAAGAAGGAAAATGTTACTAGCGAGCCTGAACGTATGAGGCCTTCGACTTGGGGAACGCCGTGATCGTTATCGGTCTGTCTACGTCCACTTGGACCGAAGAAACGCTTTGGAGCAGTGTGCTCTTCTGCACGATGGCGACGAATGTGCGTGCTTTTCTTGCAGATCGGGAAATGATCGTCAAATTGGTTGGTGGAGTACTTTTGTCTTGGGGATTCATCACATCGAGCATTGTATGTCGCGCAGCCTGTACACTGCGATACCAGAGGATAGACACTTCACTTTGATACGATTGTAGATGTTCCAGAATCAGAAATTGCTTACTGGATCACATTGTCACAATGGTTCGAGAATGCGATTCGAAGAACGTGAGATTCCGTATTACATCAACCTGCCCACGGGACTTCCATTCATAATCTTGCGCACAGTTCACCTACGAGCTATACCGCTGTGCCGCTGCGCGCAACGGGGTCGTCATCGCATCTCCTGTCACCGCCAGATCGAACACTCGACCGACGATATTCCATTCCACTGCATGACTACAGAATTACATACGTGTTAATAAGCAAGGGCGACGTGCAATTCGTGATCATTGATAAACCAGTAACCATTTGTCCCCAAACTAGCCAACACTAGCCACTGGCTTGAAGACTTGCAGGGAAGTGCATCTGTACGAGAAACGCAATTTGACTATTCGTAGATCTGTACTAATAGGAAAATCCATACTAAGCATTCGATCATTTGCTCGAGTGCAAGGAAGAATGATCCGCGACTAGGAGGAGGTTTGTTCCCTGGTTGGTTGTTTCGTGACTTGTGCACGTGTAGATCTGACTTTGGCATTTGCGTTAGTCCTTTGTGCTTGGTATTTTGTTGGCACGCTCGTCTTTGCCGACGCCTGTGTGCCTTCTAGGGGCCTGGGCACATGTCGTTGTCTTCGCCATGTCTGCCTGCATAGTGGACTGCATTCGACGGATTCTTCTGCTAATCATATTCCGTCTGACTCGTCGGTATCGCTAGCGAGGCGCGCGGGAAGATCACATCGTCTCTTGCGCCAGTTTAGGATGTAGTCTGTGCAAAAGCAGACTAAAATAGTGTGAAGAAGGAGAAACTAGCGTCGAAGCCCTTTTCTCACTGATCATCATTATGATGAACATCGTGGAAGAGGCGTAGAATTTTTCTAGAATTTTGGTGTGGTTCTCTTGTTGAACTTCGGCATTCTGGATGATCATTCAAGGCGTTTCCTCTGGTTTCCGCGCACTTTTCGTCATTTGGTTTCGGAGAGCACTCCGACGGGAATCCTTTTTGGTCACCGCTGGTGAAATTGTGTCTCGGTGTGAGGATGGCGCTATGATTGTAAGATCGAGTTTCGAGTTGAGACTTGTCGACACCTGATGAAACGCTCGCCAGCATTTGTTCTTCAGGCGTGTAGAGTGGGATGAAATGCTGGAGGAACGCGGGTGAAGATTTTTGGAGAGTGTGGGATAGAACCTTGAAGGTGTCAAAGACACGAAGTGGGTAGTAGCGCTCTTGCTGACATGCCATTCGGTGTTGGGTCTTCTCTTGTGGCACGAAGGAGAAAATGGACGAGGCCTTCGCTGCTGTGATCGAAGCTTGGTCTTGGAGGTGGCTTCATCGTGGAGAGATTTGTCAGAATTGATTCGTTGCTTGCGTTTTGAGGTGAGCCTGTCAACCATAGTGCACGGTATGTATAGAGCTTGGCCGCATGCTTAAGCTTCGTTTGTGTGGCCGCCTTCATATGGGTATGCTGCACTGCACATAGACTTGAACCCGTCCCACAAATTGACATTGGCTGAAGCGCTGAAGGTAGCATCTTCACTTGGCCGGAGCATGTTTCCTGGTCACTTGTTCCATCGCTTAAGCTGCGAGATAAGTTCGATGGTGGATAATTTTCCGCGTACAGGTCGACCTGGTGTATCTGCTTCGCAACTGCCTTGGCCATACGAAGCAGTATCTTCTCGTCGGATCTTACGGCCATTGCCCCTTCATCGTTCGTACAAATCTTGTGCATGACACAATTCCAGAGATCGGCAGGCCAGTGTCGCCAGTTGCAAGTGCCTTGGACGCAGAGTCTGTGATCTAGATGACTCAAGACGTGCAACAGCCACAGCAGTGGCTCCAGCCCAATCCACTAGGCAGCAATTCCATATCTTTTGGGGTGGTGTGAAGCAGATCTGGGACTCAGCACTTCAACAGCCTTGGCATGGTCCCTTCATGAAACGTTCTTCGATTCGAGAGTTCGTCTCGGATACAGTGGCAAGTACCGGAAGCATGAAACAGATAGAGTTGGTTGTTACCGATCTCGTGTTGAATCTGTCTGCGAGCCTGAAGCAGAGATCCATTGTTCATACTCCACTGCCCTGCTTCTTCAGCAAGAAAGCTTCTCTCGCTTGCATTTCCTTGACAGCATCGTGCATTAGAACCAAAGCGCAGAGGATGGCCTATAGTTCGCGACCCTTGACGCGGCATGTTTGAACAGGGTGATGCTCTTCTGCAGCAGCAATTGACTGCCAATCTGGCGTTCGAGTGTCGGAAAAGGTGTAGGAGGCCGTTCTATCCCCGTCGAGGTTACTGCCATGGCATTTCTTTTGGACGCTGAATCTTTGTGAGACGTTCCGCCTTTTCTTGGAGATATTTCAGTCTTCCGATACGAAGGTTTCTTGATCGTGATAGAGTGTTTCCGCTTCGGTTTCTGCCTGGCGCTTCCGACAGTCGTGCTCTGCTGTTCATCACCCTCGGAAGCTCCGGCGCGTAGCCAGTATCGTGGATCATCTGGTGAGAATGCAAAGTCTCGTCTGATGACTGCAGGCTCTACACAGCTGCTGCAGAAGTTTACCCGCTTCTTGGTCGTTGTATTTGTGAAAGTTGTGGAAGTTGTCACAATGGTCTTTATCTGCTGATCACAGTTGGAAGTAGCGTCGTCGAGCTGCTGACAGGCTGCGGCAGGCGTGACAATCTGAAAAATGGCTTGGGTAGTAGGCATTATGATCAGCCTCTGTGATGTCGTTCAATCGAGCACGGCACGGTGGTCAGTCACAGTAGAACACGCAAACGGAGTTGCTGGATGAATCCTGATGTAACGGCCAATGTCACGTCGTTGGGCAGCGTGTTGGTCACGTTTGATTGGGTCTGCCTAAATGCCTCGTTATCAGCATTGAGTTGAGAAGGGTACTGAACGAGCCAGGCTTCGTGAATTGAAAGGCGAAAAGTCGACCAATCTTGCACGCGATAACTCCTCAACATCTCCCGAGGAGTTGATGCATCGGAACGACTCGGGAGCAAGATGATTGGGGATCGCGTTCAAGACGTGAGTTTTGGCATTCGTGCTGCACAGCATGCTGTGGTGCGGCACCCACGGACATTGAAGTCGGAGCATCAAGGTGTGAAATGCGGCATCGTGTCTCTGCACTTGGACCTTTTGCTTGCAGTGAAGCATATGTTTCCATTCCTGGAAAACGCAATTCCCGGCACGTGGCTGATTTTCTTGACAACAATGTCTGGGATGCCCTTCACAAACTGTCGACCAGGAACTGCGGCCTGGTGATCTCCCGCCGGCCGTCCGACGGAGTATACGTTGGGCTGGACCGTTGGCCAACAGGTCGGTCGGCTGTACAGCCCACTGCCGTACGTCGACACTGTTGGAATGCACCCCCACGCACAAGGGCTTGGACACATGTGAGCAACGCTCCGAATCATCCATTTGGCGCTGTTGGTTTGCACTGGCAGCAACCAATCGCGCCATCCGCCGAGAGTGACATTAGTAACGCCAATTCTTGACCTCGACCAGGAACACTCCACTGATAATTACCAAGCCGGCCGTTGAATCCGAAAACGACCAGGTCGCGAAGGTTCGGGCAGTCGCCGAATTACTCGCAGAAATTTTCTGTCAGTCTTCTCGCTGGCCTGCTTCAACCCTAATCGATGTTGAAGTCTGTGAAAGGACTTTCGCGGCTTTCGGATAAATGATTGTCTAGGATCACTGGTCACGGGGAAGATTGCTCTGATACCATCGAACGTGTACTCATCTGAAACGACAAGTCTGAACGTGAGGTCGGCAGTCACAGCCGGCTGCGACAAAGATAGAAAACTGTTCCGGTTGAATGGCCTGACGAGCATGTTCGGCGGCACTTGGACAAGTGCCGGCATGAAACTGGGCCTCGTTTGACGACAGGACTTCACCTGCAGGAGTGACAGAAAGTGGCTTCTGCGCGCTGGACTTGCTTCCGGAGAGGCAACATGAAACCTTCCTGTCCAGCGGCAATGTGATAATTCGCTTCCGTGGCTTGACTCAGCGAGACTTTGTTGCCCAACTCGAGGCTCAAGACCTGTTGCTGGTATGCGAGGCATTTTCGAACAAGAGATGGAAGCGGGCTGTCCTTGCCTTCTTCATCCCAGTGCAGCTACCTCTTCGACGCGACAGCTTCCAGATGACTCGATCGCCTGCAACTCTGCTTGGTGTTGGTCTCGAAGCTGAAAGTGGCTCATCTCGTGGTCCAGACAGTCGGAGTCGTATCCTCGAGGGTTTGGTGGTTGGGACATGGCTTGAGCGCTTCAGGTTGAGAAAGTCTGAGAGTAGCCGCAAAGTGTAGCCGCATGAAGCTTGCGATAACTTCACCTGTATTGTTCCGCTAGTAAGCTGAGGTGAAGAGGAGAGTCGCGTCTATAGTAGAGACACAATGTGAGTAGGGAAGGCGCCGATGCTGAGGTTGCTGACTTTCGCCTCTCGCAATCTTCTGGCGCTTCACTTTCCTGAGCTCGCACCAGGACTTGGACCGCGCATCGACGGAATGCCACGTGGGAGTGAGGATGTCGTGTCGACCGTTAGCTAGTGGCTGTGTTGGGCTTTCGACTCCAAACGGAGATCTCAGGAGTGCCATTGTGATGTGTTGTCCCTGCATGAAGTGTCAATGTCTTCCATATTATGACAGGAAGGCGGTCTGCAATCCGGTGCCAGCTCCTTTCTTCAACGGCAGATCTTGTTTGTCATCCCGAGCATTGGGCGTCTCGTCAGAAAGTGCCAATTTGTCGATCTTAGCACTCCTGTCAAGGTTTGATACGACGGCTCCCGACGATGGAAGTGTTTGCGAGCCCGACATTCGCAAGCGCCATTTTGGGCGTTGCGTTGCCGGGCGCCGTTCGTTGCTCGCGCTTACTACCCTGCATACGTGCTGTGCTAATTCTGGCCTTTGCTTTCCGCGCGTCAAGTACACATTCCGTTGATCCAGAAGACCGTGAACAGGTGGCGGTGTCGCACCAAATCACGGTCGTACTGATGTGGCAATGTTTGCGAGACTGGACTTGCGGTATTGAGTTTGATGAACAAGGTTGCGAGTACACTCCATTCCAAGGTCTTGCGTTGTCATAGCAAGTCACTCCAGATGCATGTACCTTCTGCAGTGAGTACAGCTGTCCAGAGGTGCCAGCAGCGCAATGATGTCCATGCGTTGCAGCTGCAGGACATTGCTGCAGCCCCTAACGCTCTTGGACAGGACCCAGCAACCGGTCTATTGCGCAGCACGAGCGCCCAGTGGGGCCTCGGAGTGGTCTTGTTCGCAACTCCGTGATGAGGATTCGAAGCGGTGGAGATGCTGTATGCGAGTCTGCTCATGCCTTGGAAACATGCATGATGCATAGATTGTGTGCTCCTTCACACCGACCGCATTGCGGAAGCTGTCAGCTGGTGCCAGCGTAGCAGCGGCATAATGCACGCCTTGGAAGGATTGCCGCGTGTGTGTATTAAAGTGTTTGTCGCACAGAGAGCGAAGCGGGAGCTCGCTTGTTTGATATGCAGCTGGCATGGCTCTGAGCAATGGGCGGGCAGGACTTCAGCTCGTGCTGCCAATAATACCGGACATGTCTCGGTGGCGGTTGATTAGATTGCATTGCATGTGTGGATCGTGCAGCACTCCTTACACTTGGCCAGAGAGCATCATCATTAACTCGCGGCAAGAGCGTTTGAGTGTTGGTCGAAGCGATGCTGTAGTACCTGCAATGCACTTCTACCTGAAGCGCCGGTTAGTGTGATCGACTGTGCTCGTGACGAAGATAGTGATGACAATCGTCAGCTGTTTGAGGTCCAGCACCGGCAGTTCGGACGAAGGCAGCATGTCGTGCAGGTATGCGTATGCGTGGATGGCGCAACCCGAGTCACGAGCCACGGCGTTGACATGTCTCGCGCGCCTGCAGGTGGTCTACTTCGGACGAGTCGAGAGAGAAGCAGCAGTCGGGGAAGGTGAGAAAAATTGAGGACCAAAGTAACACGAAATGACACTTCATTGGACGCGAAGGTCAATCGCTATTCAAACAACTAACAAACTCGGCGCGCATATTTCTGCTGCAGCCTCTGGGGTATCGTCCTCCTCCGTATCCATGCATTAAAAACCTTTGTAGCGCCAGAAAATATCCCATGCAAGCCCGCCAATTCATCAGCATGTACTATTAACCGACAGCGAATCCAGCCGTTTCAATCTGCCTTGGAGTGGGATCCTATACCCAATGTATGCCAGCGAGCCCGCGAAAAAGTAGTAATAGTAATAACACATGCCGCCCAGCAGCCCCAGAAGAAGTGTATTAAACGAGATAGTGTTACAGTCGTGGTGATGAAGCACGGCGAATCAGTCGAAGGATGCTGGAATTTGCATCATCGACGTTGATGACTATCGCCGAGGGATGTAGTCGAATGCTCCATGTCATTTTGGAGAAGGTGGTGGATGCGAGAAGAACCAGTAGGATTTGGCCAGTCGTTGAGTGATCTCGATGGCGAAGCTGGACCCGTCGGTCGGAGTGGAGGTCAGATGGTGACAAAAGCCCTGGTTATGCATGCCAGGCGATTCGAGGTGGTTCATGAATCGTCAGGCGCGCGGTGCCTTATCTTTGCGGTCCCGCGTCGCTTCTTGTCGATCTCGCTCCATCGGGGTTGGTGACGAATTCCAGCCGAGCCATCATATGTTGCGTGTAATCAGCAACATTTATTTGGTAGGCGTGGGAGGCAGAGGCCGGCTTGGAGGTGGGTATGGTGGTGGTCCGAATGTCGAGGCAGGCATTGTGGTGGTTGGTAATTCGGTCTGGCTGAGCTTGAGTGTGGTGATGGTATAGTGGTGTGGTGGGCTTGTCGTCAATGTGATCAATGTTCGGTCGTGTAGTCGTAAAGGCCAACTCTGCAAGCGTAATCGTGATGGTCTGATCTGTGGTGGGAGCAGTGGTGGGAGCGGAGCGGCGAGGTTGCTTATATGTTTGCGGCCTGGCAACTTTTCTCCCTCCCACGCAAGTCCATGACGGATCATTTCCCATGGACCCATGATGCAAAACGGGAGTACCTGTCTGTGCTCGGCGCCCAACCCCGGGCGGTGAGCCTGTGCCTACCGCTGCCTGTTTAAGGAGGCTTCACTCGCACTTGGCGGCAGCTAGGTTCGAGCTAATAATGTGAAGCCTTGTTGCTGCAGAGCAAACGACGCATGACCCGCCGCCCTACGTTCGCATCCTTTGCAGCCCGAGGCTGAAGGTTTCAACGTAACCGGCCTCGTATCATCGTGAGCAAGGAAGCCGCCTGCGCAGCGATCGCCGGCAGCACAGTCGACGTCAATTTCTTTGGCACGTCGATGTCCCATGTCGCACGACGCACAACCACACTCCTCGTGCACCTGCCGCATTGCACCGGGCGTGCGCAGCACTCGTATGCGGTCGCGCCGACCGCGCAAGCCACGGCAATATGGGATCATTCTAGATGAGTTCCAGCAGGCGGGCTCGGATTGATCGCCTCATTGCCTTCCGCACATGCCGCGAGAAGGCAGCTCGCTCGAGCGCGCTAGCTGGGAAAGCTTCCACAGCTCTGCATCGTCGGCCCAGTCGCACACCTGGTGCAGGGATAAGGGCGAGCAGCTCGCGACACCTGCAACACCTGCCGTGCCGTTTCAGCACGCCGGCGAACGCGTTTGGCCTTTTTTCTGCACAGAAGCTGGCGGGCAAGTGGCAAATTTGTCTGCAACGCACTCCTGCGTGCGCGCCGAGACCGACACCGCTACTGACACCGGTGCTGCCTCCAGCGCGCACTCAATAATCTCGCTTGCCGGGGGTGCAGACGGGCGCGGATAGAACGACGGTAGAAGGTCCTCTAATGCGGCCATTTGCAAAAAACGTTGCCTTGCATCGCTCGTCCCGCCGCCATTCCTGCAACTCTCGCTGTACGAGTTATGCCTTCTCATCACGAGGCGTCATTGACCCATCGTCACGGCCGGCAATAGCGTGTGCGGTATCATGGAAGAGCTCCATGCCGCGGACTGCTTCTCGCGCTCTTACTGGACCGCACACATACCACATGTAGCGAATCTGCCGATTGACACGAGTGATCGTGGAAGCTGGGCGGAAGCTGGCGCAGCATGATCACGAATGCGTCAGCGGAGACGACGACGACGGCCTCGCTTCTCGCTGCCTTCGTCCGCTGGATGGATGGAACGCTTGGCCACGTGGGCGCCGTGAACTAGCAGCGAGCCCGCTCGGAGCTTCGTCTGCGCCCACCCGTGTTCTAAAAAAGTGATCACAGGAACGAAAGGTTGCAGTGTGCAGCAGCCTCCTCGTTCCTGCGCGCCCGCAATTGGAAATGCCACGAGCGCCCGCGTCTGCTGCCGGCGCATTCACTGCTGTCTTGGAAAATCGGCATTGTGGCAGCATCGGCGGATGTGGTGGGAGCGGAAAACCGAACACTCGTGATTCGTTGCTCGTGCTCTCCGCTCAGCGCTGTATGTACCTGCATGATCATCAACGCCTGCTCCTGATCAACGATCCACCGTCGCCTAGCCGTCTCTTCAACAACGTCATTCGCGTGTTTCAGGCTACATTGAGATCTGTTGTCGCGCATGCACCAGTCACCATGCCGTTCCTGCGAGACGTGGGAGGTGCTGCTATGGCCGACACGCTGGTGCAGTCGTCGGCGTCCACGGTGCTTGCGCGCGGCAGTCCCTGACGGCTGCAGCAACGACATTTGTGCAAACCTTGGGGGCGGTGAAACATGGCGTATTGCTCGAATTTCGTGTGGCTTGACATTGGAGGGGCACTTTTCTTTTCTCTCGGATGCGCTGCCGTGATGTTGTTGCTCTTTGTCCGAGCAGGCGGTACGCGACAAGGAACAAGGCTCGTAACTTCCTGTTCCTGTTGTCGACCGGGGTAGGCGCGTCTCCTCATCCCGGCAGGTGCACGGCGGCCGCGCTTCCGTTTCTCGTCAAGATGACAAAAGCCACTCGCGACCACAGCATCAGAAGACCTCACGTATCGAGTCTGACAGAGACGTCGTACGCCGTCTACTTCGCCATGTCTTTCCGATTCATGCGCCTTGGCGCTCCATTCACAGAAACTCTGATGAGGAGCTGTGCTGAGGACATCGGGACCGCAGGCTGCATACCACTTCGCCGGAATGTCACTGCACTCAATATTGCTGCAGCAGCAGGACAGACAATGCGCCATCTCATTCCGCGGACATTGCTCACAGGATCCATGAAAGCACAATCGCACATCGTGGCTTGTTGGAACGACCATTTCCGTCTGCTGGCGCCCGCTTCGACCGCTTTGAGGCTATGCATGCATGTCTAAGCCGTGTGATTACTCTGCTGCACCCATCACCAGGTTGGAAATAATACATGTAAGCGGCTAATGGTGGGAGAAATTTCCCCAGTTGGCTGCTTTCACGCAAGTCATGGTATGGATGTCTGTGGTCTCAGACCACCCAGGCGGTACTTCTGCTGCCTTCAACTCTATTCCATTTGATACTGGACCTTGCGAAGTCAATCATGCTGCCTTCAGACTGTTTGTGCAAAAACTCTAAAAATTTCAGCATGTTGCATCTTCCAATGAAGCACACTTTTCGCTTGCCGACGGAGTTTCGAAAATTCAGAACATGCGTTGTAACATGCTCTGCTGTGGACGATACTCGGCGGCTAGCTCTTCGCATCGCTAGACGACTTCCCCAAGCTACCCCGGCCTCAGTGTCTTATCCGGACGTGGCGGATCGACTTCACATCCCACGAACGTGATGGGAAATGCTGCGCGCGTGACGCTTCTGTTCCTGCAGCTGAACGACATACTGCTTGCAGGCCTATCTGCGAGGTACACCAACCCCACGGTCGAGCTCAAACGTGCTGCAGTCTGCAGCTGTCATACGATGCTTACGATCGCGATTCCCACTCGCTCCGAGCTCTCAACTCGCATTGTCGGGCGAGCTTCGGTAGCGAAGTGGTTGGTATCGGCGACAACGAGCATTGCCACTGACTGTCCAGCAGCTCACCAGCATATCGTAGAGCTCTCCATCCGCCACGATCCGCGATCCTGATGTCTTGTCATGCCTTGTCGTGCGCAGTCCTGCCCTTCGGAAGGCGCGCACGATCACAATCGGTGAGAAGACGCACCATGGGACTGATGCACGCCTGGGCAACTAGGTTTCTGTTCCTGCAGAAGCAACCACAAATCCGTGCCACGAAGGATCGCTGGGCTTGAGCCATGCAGGGACGCGATCAACGTCGCCCGCGATGGTGCCCGCACTGCTTAGGAGTACAGCATGTCATCGCGATAGGGCTTCTCAATGCATCTTGGCCAGCACTGTCTGGTACGCGTCCTGCTACGAATCCTGCTCCCATTGCGATGACATTGCAGCTTTTTAGGCACCGAAAGCACGTCCCAGCCCTATCGATCAGGTCAGTTAATATACACGATCAACATTGGCGCCACTAGATTGGTCGGCTTTACTTCTACATTCGTCTTCGCCCTCCTCAAAGTCAGCATCGAATCCCATGAACTTGGAAGATGATCCTCATAGGGGAAATATTGAGAGCAATGCAAGACAATATCCAGCACTATCGGCGCCCGGAGAGCTCTGACTCGTGCACCCAATATCTTCGGTAGCCTCATTCCGCAGCCTCGTCAAATCCTCAAGCCAGTCCAGCTGCAGGATGGCAATAGTCCGCAAATCCCGATAAGGCATGTGTTCATGCAATGCATGAGGTGAGGTCTCGCAATCGCTTCTTTGTTTCGGACTTGGCTTTGAAGCTACTGCGCAGCTGAGCTGTTCTCATGGTAGGCAAATCAGCTAGTCAGTCACAGCTCTATGCTAGCTGCGAATCCTCGAGCTAATGCAGTTCACGCCTTGAGAACGATCGATCCGCGCGCTTATGGTGCAGGAAGCAAGATCAACCGCGTGCGAGCATGGTAGATTATCAGCTGTGGCTGGAACCAAGTTGCAGATGCTCTATGGCGGGACAGGAATCAGAAACAGCACTGCGAACTCGAGCTCAGGAGTTCGACTTACGTCTGGTCCTCGCCATCTCTGCGTTCTGCAGCGTGTCTGGCTCGAGGAACAAGGCAAGCGTGAGATTCAGCTCGCGCGGTGAGGTCACAAATTGATGTGGTTGCTGAATTTCCATTCTGCTGTCCACAGCTAGACGCTCTTGTGCACATCGCTAAAACCCCAAAAGGCCACAGACGAAATCCCCCGCCTTCTTCCCAGCATCAACAAGCGCGTCCGTAGCCTTCTCCACTGCATTCTCGACCTTTGTCGCCACGTCCGTGGCGACCGACACAACTACAGAGGTCGCAACATGCTCCACGCTCGTGACCTTACCCGCCGCTTCAACCGCTTCCTTCGTCACCTGGTTCAGCACACTCGTAACCTGGGGCTCGAGTTTTGACTTCCACAACGGCACCAAAACACTTTCTCCCAACTCCTTGTAGGCAGAAGCTACCTCCGTCGCACCCGATACCAACTTCGCCGTGGCAAGATCGCCAAGATCACCAGTCCAGGGAATAAAAGTATTCACGCTCGCCGAAGCAATCGTCGGAACGAGCTTTGTAGCACCGGTGATGGGTATACACGTTGAAACGAGATCGTACTTTGTCGAAGCTAGAGTCTGTCTTCCTGTGGTCTTCAACTTCCAAAACCCGACGGATTCTTTCGCGATGATTTCTTGATTGAGGTCCAAGTCGAGATTGACGCCTGAGATTTCGTTATCCTGTGAGTCTGCACTCGTGTTATTGTGTTCTTGAGGGGTTATGTTCGACGACAGAGCGATCGCATTCGTGCCTTTTCCATTGCCGCACGCTGGCTGCCTGTCATCTACTGTGACATTAAGCGCCAACTCCGCAGCACTGAATTGAAACCCCACACTCGCTCCTTGTCCCAAGATCTTCCAGTCAAGACTCAACTCCAGCTTCGGCCCAATCTTTCCATGAATCTGCAAGTCGTCTGATATACCTGCTGGCAAAGCTTCGAACTTGGGGTCAAAGCCAGTGAGCTTCGGTTTCGTGGGATGAAATACATCCAACTTGAGCTCGACATTCTGAGGAAAAGATAATTTGTATCCCACTTGCACCGCCAGTTGCTCATCAATCGGAGAGTAAAAGTCCGAGGAGAGGAGAAATTTTATCGTGGGGCCCATGTCGAGGATGCCTTTGATATGGATTCCAGCATTGGGAACTACGTAGCCCCAAATTTCATTGTCTTGAATGGAGCCTTTGGCTATGGCTGTGTAGATCTCGAGAAGGAGGGTAACAGTTGCAGAGATAGAAGAGGCCGTAACGTGAAGGGATCCGCCCCACAGGCCGTGAATGTCGATGCCGAAGTCGATGTCGCCGGTTATTGCGCAGGTGGAGCAGGTAAGGCGGCCGATCGCATCAGGACTGGAGAGGACTTCCGCTGGACGGAGAGATGAGGGGAGATTGATCCCGTATCCAGAGAAGTCCTTGTTGAGTGAGATGTGGCCGCCACGTTTGTGGAGTGTGGAAATCGATGCGTCGTCACGCTGTATCTTGAGATGCCAATTCTTACCAAAGGCTTCTTCGAAGTTGATGGGCTCTGCAGTCAGGTGGACTTTATTAGTCATGTCGTCAAACTCGGCTTTTGTAGCTTTCCATGGTTGTCTCGGAGAGCCATCGGTGTTGTTTCGATCACAGTGCTCATTCTCTGTGATGAGAATAACAGCATGTTCCTTGCCGCCATTGATCCATTGCCACTCCTCCCTCACCTGTCGTTGAACCATGATCAGTGGATGCTGTGTTCTCCATAGCATCTGGATACTCACTCACCTGCTGAAATTGTATCTCCTTATCAAACGTCAACTCCACCTTCCCAGCCTTCTCGCACTTCGCGGTATTGATCACATCATCAAAATGCTCCATGTTCAGGACCTTCGTCATCTTCTCTTCACTTGCTACGTCCAATTTTGCAAACTGCTGTCCATGTCCACGTTGGAAATTACCTGGAGCATAATAGATGCTAACACCGTCCTGCAAAGCCACATTTCCCGAAGCTTTCGTCACGGCATTCCTTACCCTCAGCGTTCGCTTGTGGTGGTTGGGCGAAGCTACGCTGCTGTGATTTAGAAAGATTGATTCGCGAACAGGGTCAAAAACCCTGCGTTCATCGCGCACGAGTTGCTTGATTGAAGCGAGCCTTTCCACTGTAATGTTGAGATCCACGGGTGTCGGTGGTTCATAGGCCAATACGTTCTTGGGTGCCGGAGTTGGCTTAACGGTGACGGCGAATGCACCCAGGATGACTGTGAATGGTACATGGTAGCGCATGTTTTGAGAGGCAGCGTTGTGCTCTTCATGAATCCTGGAAACTCCTGTTCACAGGTGTGGCGGGCATATCGTTGATGCCCACTTTTGACACGCTGAAAATCCAGCTGAACTGGCATCAGATGAATATGCCAGCTGACTTGGCGTGATGCCCACGACAGGCGGTATCGGAAGGTGACGCTGCGAAATGATCCCTCGCTTGTAAAAGTACATGAATTCAGACCCTAAAGAAAGCCTTCGTCTTTGCATATCTCAAAGTACTTTTCCCATAAACCGCTGTGATTCATGACACGCCTATTCCGCATCCTTCTGCTGGACGAGCCCGTCAGCCGGGTACTCTGCGACCTTCCTCTCGAATCGCGCCTCGATAGCGTTGAGCACTTCCTGGTCGCGATCAGAGCTAATGAAGCTGATAGCAACACCCTTCGTTCCGAAACGACCAGCACGGCCCACGCGGTGGAGGTAAGTGTCAGCAGCTTGTGCAATGGATTCCTTGTACTCTGCTGAGCCCTTGTCGGCTCCACTGGTCTTCTGACGCTCAGCTTCCTTGTTGGAGGTCGAGTCTGGCATGTCATAGTTGATGGCCAAGTTGATCTTCTCAACATCGATACCACGGCCGAACACGTCAGTGCTGACACAGATACGATGGGCGAAGTTCTTGAATGCCGTGAAGCGCTTGATGCTAACCGGATATCAGTATTTTATGCTTCGATCAACCGATTGGGTCAACTTACCGCTCGTCTTGCGACATTTGCGAGTGCACAGTGACGGAAGGGAAGCTGCATTCGCGCAGGAGACGGTCAAGCTCGTTCGCACGGAGTGTGTTCTTGACGAAGATGATGACTTGGTTGTAGTCCAGGGTATCAAGCAGATCATTGAGACGTCGATTCTTCTCGTCCTCGGTAAGCTTGACATAGTATTGCTGAAGACCATGCAGAGTGAGCTTAGTCTCGTCATCGACGTAGATCTCAAGTGGGTTCTGCATGAACTTCTTGCAGACGGGTTTGGTCTGGTTGGACAGTGTTGCCGAAAACATCATGACCTGCTTTTGTGTTGGAGTGGCACGGAAGATCTCCTGGACATCACGGCGCATGTCTGCCAGCATGTTAGCTCAATCATAATATGGAAAGCGGTTGGCAATACCAATCTGATCCAGCATCTTATCGCACTCATCGAGCACGAATCTTGAGACACTTCCCAAACGCAACTTCTTCTCCCGAACTAGGGCGTTCAGTCGACCTGGAGTTGCGACGATGATGTGTGGATGCGTGGACTTGTTCGCGAGAAGCTTCTCGTTCTCCTTGATGTCGGTACCACCATAAAAGACCTCAGTCTTCACATCTGGCATGTACTTGCTGAAGCGCTGGTACTCGTTCTTGATCTGAAAGGCCAATTCACGCGTGTGACACATGACCAGGACGCTGACCTCGCCGTTGACTGGCTCAATCTGCTGCAGAGTCGACAAGACGAACACTGCGGTCTTTCCGAGACCAGATTTGGCCTGGCAGAGCACATCTGTCCCGAGAATGGCCTGAGGAATGCATACTTGTTGGACTGTGGAGTGATGTCAGAAGCGTTCGTCCAATCGTTTATACGCAAGAAAGCATTCTTGAAAGAGCAGAGCGTCCATCCATCGTCGTAGTCTCTTGCGCCGCAGTATCGAAACAGCGCGCGCAGGCTCATTGCCTCGCTCCATGGCCTCGAAGCACATGTACCTCCACTCCAGGCCATCGATGCTTGGAGGTTTCTCGCGGACGCGTCGCCACTGTGAAGCGGACTGCGTTCGACTGCGCGACGCCGCAAGTTCATGCCGTCGCTGTCCTCCAACTGCCCCTCATCCCACGACACAGCTATGCTCGGCCAACTTGACGACCTCTGCGACCCGCTGAGATGGTTGTGTAGTGTCTCTCGAGATTCTTCGTCTTACTTTGCGCTCACTTTTGATGGACTAGATGGATGGACGCCCCTTGCTCGATCTGGCGGGAATGGGTGGCAGACTCTAAGCAGATTGTATGGAGATGACTAACCCTCTGATGGATGCTCGAAACCGCAGTCTGTGATGGCCTTGAGAAGTTCCGGCTTCAAGAGGAAATCGCGGAAACTTTGCGAGTGGACACCCACGTAACTGCCCTTGCCTTTGTCGGCGCCAGCTCCAGATACTGTCAGGTCTCCCTTCTTGGCATCGCCGTTCGAGGCGGCAGTGGCGCCAGTCGCACCCGCAGCGCCATCGGTGGGCTGAAGCTCCTCATCGGAGTAGTCAATGAGATCCTCCTCGCCAGACATGGTGGTGGTTAGTCGTGTGTTAAAGGTGACTCGGTCGTGACAGCGTTATTCGGCGGTGGGTCGGGAGCGCGCTGTAGTGGAGACAAGCACGGCGGGGAGACGACGAAGTGAGTGCTGAGGTCGTGTAAGATGCGCCGCTGCGAAGTTGACGGCGCTGTTGATGGCGGGTGAGGTGGTTGTTGACGGTCGAAGTTCGAAGACTTGGAGCGCGCGCGCGCCGCAAGCGGCAAAGGCAACAAGGCAGACACGGCAAGGCCCGATGGCCTTGGCAGCAAGAGCCACCAGAGATGAGTCGGTCGCTTGAGACATCACCCACAACCTCGCGTTGCACAACGATGAGGTCTTATTAATGCGAACCATTTGCCCGGCAGCCACACTGCAACCACAAAGCTCTCAATTTTCGTCTTTCCTTCTCATTATGGCCAAGGAGAAGACCAAGGGCTCGAAGGGAGCGCACAACAAGCATCTGTCAGCTCGTGCCGCGTTCCTGCTGCGCGCATCAACGTATTTGGCCTCACAGCAAGCCGGGGAACAGAGCTCTGAACATCTTCCATCAACTACGAACACAACGTCGCTCGATGAACCAGCCACTACGACTGCCTGTACAACCAACTCTGCGTCCGCATCATCACAGCAAGTGTCTTTCGGAGGCTTGCCTTTCTTGCTCACGGCACAGCTTAAGCAGGTAGCGCTGCGTTCGCAGACGCGTCTCGATGCCGAGACAAAACGAGCGATTTGCAAGGTCTGCGGCGCGGTATTACTTGAGGGCCAAACGTGCACAGTCTTCGTCGAGAACACATCCCGTGGCGGAAGAAAGCAGCGCGCAGATGTCACAGTCATTGCATGCTGTGCCTGTGGGAGCAAGAAGCGCATCCCTACTGGTGTAAAACGACAGCAGAGAAAGAACCAACGCAACTGCATCCAACAGCGGGTGCCAGCCGAAGCCACTTCGCCGTCTCCGCAGCATGTTCCGAGGGTAGTGGGTCCAAAGCCACAAATGGGTATCAATGCTGCTGCTACTTGATCGACTTGCGGTCCTGCGAGTAACCATACAAGCCGCGAAAAGGCTTCGTCCTGCTCAGTAAGCCCATGGACCATTACATTGGCATGCGCCTTCCTCGGCGTGCCCGGTCGGCTCATCCATTCTTTCGCCAACATTGCGCCTCTACGGTTCTATCCTTGTCTTGGGGAACTGCGTTCGCCGTCTTGTTCACTGCGACTCCCTGCGAAATGACGATGATGAGCTGGAGGGACTGTGACCTGCGTTCAACTGTTGCCAGCATTCGACCGAATGATGCGGCGGCTGCTGTGGGGGTTGTTGGTGCTGGAATAAATCTGCGCCACCGATACCCGCTGTCATCGGCCATGCATGGTTCAATCTGGCCTCGATGCTACGAAGCGTGGCATTCATGATATCAATGTCACTATTCAAGCTCGCAAGAGTCTTATTGTAAGTCTCTGCGAGCTTGACCATCTTCTCCATCGTGTCATCCTTTCTGGGAACGAGGTCGTTAGCGTCGTGCATACGCTCGAGATCATAGAGCCACGCACTTTGTCGGAGGTACATCTCGGTACTTGCAGTCAGTATGTTGCTCTTCGCAAGACTGGCAGGGCTCGCCACCTGGTTACGAAGACAAAATCAGCGACAAGGACATTCTGGACTTGAGCTGCGGCTTTCGCTCACCATCACATTTCTGCTTGCGTTTCCGACATTCCTCGCACGCCTGTCTGGTCAGTGGACGACATGAACGCTCTTCTGGTCATCCACCTACCGTTCTGGTTCGTTTTATGCGTCTGGATGGCTTATCTTCGTCCCCCTCGATGGAAGTGGTTGATCTTTGCGAGCTCGCATGCCTTCTCACACTCGCAGATCCGTTGGGCAGATGGAACGTAGCCGCTGTGCTGCTCTGCGGCCCGTAACCGTGGCTAACGTAAACCATGTTCGACCCTGTACTCATGTCGCTGGCGGAACCGAAGCCGAAGCCAGACTGTCGTGCCATCGCGTCGTCGACGTATCCAGGTGCATAATTCTGTGCAATGCCGTAATCCCAATCCGATGGAGCAACGAAGTCTGGCTGTTGGAACGAGCCCATCTCAGTTAGGTAAGGCGAGGATGACGGCTATGAGTCGAAAAATGGCCAAACAAAGTTTGAAAGAGACGACTAGGCCGAAGACGAAAGGCAGTCGTACCAGGTCGCGCGGGAGTTGCTCAGCGAATCGCGGCGGCTCTCAAGCCTTAGTACACTCCAGCTTCGTTCTAAACCCGTGCTCCGGCTGAGTGACGACAAGGACCCTTTCTCCAGGAGCACAGCCATCAGTGACGATCCCTCTGTCCACATTGTCAGTCTGCCGACTGCATGATATGTGCAGATACCACCCACCGGCCAATAGCGCACCAATGTGAGCGGCTTCATTGGCCACCTACCAGGTATGCCCAATGCCACGGCCGCGTAGAGTGGGACCATGCTGCAACTTACTGAACTCTAATCTCATCTGCAACCTCCCCTAGCAGGCATATTCGGAGACTGTGAGCCAGACGAGCTCAGCCTTGGCAGGATCCTCGAGGATATCAATCCCGGAGCAAGATCTGTTGAGCCGCACTACACGCCGTTAGAGGATCGATCGGTCAAGTGTTCTTGTGTCAGTTTGCGCCTTTACGTTCTCGAACGACGCGATATTGAAATGTACAACGGCCAGCCCGGAGCAAACCCAGCATTACTCCATGCACGCCACTGCAGCTCCTTGGCTTCGTATTGGTGCATGAAGCGCTGGTCGCCACCGCGTCAACCACGTCAACCACGTCAACCACGCCACTTGCCGTGCAGTACACGAAACGCGACAGGGAATAGTAATTCCCAGAGACGGTGGTTTGGGGCTCAAGTGCCACAAAGCACGATGCGAGAGACGACTGGTCGCTTTCAGCGATGCGTACCACGCTTGGAGAGCGTGCCCGAGCTAGTAATAGGTGATGTGTATCAATCATCTTGGACGCGCTACTGTTCTCAGCTAGCTGCATAGCAGGGCCCGCGGACCAGCTTGCCCCCACATCAGCGATGGTAGACGCGTGAGAGTGGGGCTACGATGCCCACACATACCATATCCTACACTGGTGCTAATGAAGCGATCGCGATGTATCCCCTGCACTGCGTCGAATTCATGACTTAGCACCGCCTGCATGGAGCCTTCAAGAACATAACACTGCAGTCTGGATAGTGCACTGTAGGAAGAAAATCGCCTCAGGCGCACGTTAGACCTTCAAGGGGATTTCTCTCGTCACGAGCATGCCTTGGGCTCGTTCTCATCAGATGCAAGGTAGGTCCATGGTTGGGGGCGGTACCAACGCATACACTCTTGTGTAACAGGACCTAACGCTCCGCAACAAGTGCGGTGAGCTGTGCAAGCGATGATAAGCCTCGGTCTTACACATTCGACTGTTCAGCAGACGACTATACACTTGCTTGACCGCAAGATCAATGCCTGCCATGAGAACGGTCTCGAATCCAGCGAAAACGCTGCAATCCAGCTTAGCATCTGCTTGCATGAGGATGCCTGATCTCCACCTGCAGCTCACTACGGTCGGACCTGGCGCTAACAGTATTGTCCACTCTTTTTCGAATCCGTGCAAAAGCCCATGGTGGCTGGAACATCCATATCCAAGCGCAGAACCGCGTCGTGTTCAACGTGCAATGGACAACCGATGTGACCTGGTTGTTGCAAAGATTTTACCGAAAGATTGAGTATTACCACTCGGACCGCGGGTTTCCACTGGCCAATCCCATGAGCCTGGGATGGTCGCTTGCAGCGGAAGAGGTCGAGCACATTCATCAAAGGCCAGGGCAATCACCTTCGACAGTGCTGTGCACCGAGCTTGTGCGATGCTACTTGCGCTTCCCCTCATTCCTGAGTGCATCACATACGCAGGCACTGCACCTGCCAAACTATAAGCGCTATTGCTTGGAGAACACTTTGATAATGATAATCCCTCACCGCCGTCTGATTCTGCATAGTGCATGCGTAAAAATTCGATTCGCGCTGACCAGCACTACAACATATTCCAGATGCTCTTGCGGCTCTTCTGAGGTGAGTATCGGGATCCGTACAAGGGAAGTAACGCGGACATTTCCCAATCGTTTCAAAAGCATGCCGCGTAGCCGCAGCCGACCCTGGCTGTTGCGCTAGGAGGTAGCTGCGAGAAGCAGAAAGGTAAGCCGGCACTGAGCATAACGTCGCAACGAGGTATGCAGACACAGACGTGGTTTGGCTCCTTTCCCGGGAGTGCCGCGTTCCAGGAGTAGGATCCTCCTGATGATGTGCATACCGCCTCCACGTACGTGCGGATGGTAGGTCCGCTCTTGGGATCCACCTTCAAGCGAGTCCAGACCTGCTCTGCGCGGAACGCTTGTCGAGTGTGTTCGAATAGCAAAGAGCAGCAGTGCAGTGTCGTTCACATATCTCGGCCTTGTTCAACAGCACTGGACGCACGCAACCCGTCTCATGCAACTCTAGGCTATGGCATACACTATTTGGAAGTTGGTGTTTCTGCCGCAAGCACGCTTGTGATGGTTGGCCGTTCGCTGTTTGTCAAAGATCCATGTACGTCGACAGCCACAACACGTGATGTTCGCTCAGCTTCCTGAAGAGGCAGTGAGCTACGTCGTCCAGCCTCGACACCGCGTCGTGCTTGAACCCTGCAGCAGCATGGTCCCGCCAAACCCTCCAACAATCGGACAAACAGATGCATCGAAGCGATCCAGGAAACAACGCACTCTCAAACAAATGCATGCAAGCGATATGGCGGCCTCCGTTCCAGCTGTGTACATCCGTGGGGGCACAAGTAAAGCTTTGTTTTTCCATGAATACGACATACCACCAGCCGGAGCAGCTCGGGATCGCTTCCTGATGCGGGTTATGGGTTCTCCAGATCCCATGCAGATTGATGGCATGGGAGGGACATATCCTGTCACGTCGAAAATAGCCATCATCCGCCCATCTGAGCGTGAGGATGCCGATGTCGACTTCATCTTTGTGCAAGTGTCTGTACAAGATAGTTTCGTTGATTACAACGCGGGCTGTGGGAACATCTCTGCGGGAGTTGGTCCCTTTGCAATCAACGAAGGACTCGTTAAGGAGAGGCGAATCACGGATGTTGTCGAGAATTACACGACGCAGGAAGTAAGGATGTTCCAGCCACTCTCCACAAAGAAGGTCCTGGTAGCACATGTTCCGATCGATGTACGGACTGGCCGATTCGTAGAGAAGGGCGATTATGCCATCGCTGGCTGCCCAGGTACTGGCTCACCGATACTCATGGACTATCGTCATACTGTTGGTGGAGCTGTCAAGCGAGGACTCATGCCCAACGGTGAGCCGCTGTCGAAAATGCAATTAGATGATGGCAGGGTGATTGAGTACACTATCTGCGATGCTGCGCACATCATAGCCTTTGCACGAGCTAGCGACTTTGGCTTGCAAGGTGACGAGCACCCCAAGAAGATCAATGAAGACCGCACATTACTGGCTTTAGTACGAGAGTTTCGTGGCAAGGCAGCTCACAACGTAGGCATGTGTCGGAGTCCGGAAACAGTCGACCAAGACTCACCAATCCTACCAATGGTCGCTCTTTTGTCTGAATGCCCAGATGGCGATGGAGCACATATTCAATCGAGACTATTTCTTGATAATGCTTGCCACTCCGCAATGGCTGGCGCTGGAGCGACCTGTACGGCCGCTTGCAGTCGTGTTCCCGGCAGCTTGGTGGCGAAGATCATGAGAGAGGGCGCCGAGAACGACGGCATCTTCAATGTGAAGCATCCTGGTGGAGTGTTGCCGATCACCATTGCCACGCGTGAGGGCCTCGGAGACGGTGATCCAGCTTTCGAGACTCTGTCTTTCGGTCGTACTGCAAGGTACTTGTTTCGGGGTGAGGTCTTCGTACCAGATGATCTACAAAGGAATTGAAGGTGAAGCTACTTAGTGGATGCATGCTTCAGCTGGTAATCTTGAGGTGCTGGAGAGGACAGATGGCAGAACGTCCCATTTTCATGTGCTTGAATGCCGCACTTCTAGGCAGGGTCGTCCTCCAATGTGACCCCCAAGAATCCTCATCACTTGGGAGGCAAATGCTGCCTAAAGCGGTCCTGGTGATGGATGAGACCCGAAAGAGGCGGTGATCTCGGTGAGTGATGGCGCGCTATGGATGCAACACATAGCATACAATCTGGATCAAGTTTTCCGTACCAATGTGATCTTCTCCGATGCTGCTGCTCCTACTCTCTCATCTCCAGACAATCTCGGAGGAAGCTCCATCATGGCTGGAGTGAAGACAGTCCAGACCAGGATGAAATCGCCCATCTGCCACGCCACACCGACGATAAGCAAGGTGTCTGTGTGTATTACGCTGATCATCGATGTGTCGAACCCGGGTTCGTGCGACCCGCAGACCCACTCGCCAACCACAAAGCTCGCTTGAAGCCTTCAACGTCTGACGAAGACGCCGGAGTATGCATACTTGCATATCTACCCTGGCCGTCCCACAACCTCAACGTCGTATCTGCGCAACCCTTGGACCACACCCATGATCTTGCAGAAGCCAACCAACGCCAAGACTCAGATGCACCATTGGAGACAGATCCACGACCCATGTAGAAATCGCACGAACCTCTCCCACTGATGCGTAACTATGGAAGGACCCCCAGTGGATGCGACAACCAGGTTGAAGAAATAGCTCAGAAGCAGGGACTGACAGTCTCAACATTGATTACGTAGAGTGCATATCGATGCGACGACTCAACCAGGTCTATCATGCATCCCGCTTCGTACTCGTGTGTGCTGACCTGGACAACTCTTCAGAGAAGGGTGTATGCGCTCGATGGTCTTCTCTCCGGTCTCGAGGCATAATAGTGTTCAGCAGAACGCCCACAATCATGCTCAAGATGAAGGGAGTTTCTACTATCAAGTTGACGCCTTGCAGGAAGCCCATCAAATGCACATTGCTGCCATCGTATTCTAGCACCTGCGAAAACCATTCTGGTACCACGATGTCGAGTAAACCCAGACCAAAAGCAGCTGAGAGGATGAAGCGGTTCCGCCGGGTCCACGAAATCGTCGCTAAGATTCGCATACCAGAGATGGCGATGGTAGCGTAGAGGAAGGTCTGCATACCACCCAACACAGTGCTAGGCATTGATGCAAATACCGCGCCAAATTTCCCGAACACTCCCATCAACACTGTGATTACACTGGCGCAATAGCCAGCTCGGCGGCTCTACAAAACGAATCAGCTCATTCTCCACAACAGACAGATCTTGAGAAGCGACTTACCGCATTACTTGTCACCACAATCACCCCGTTATTACCAGCATGGCTAACCATCGGTATAGTCATTCCCAAGCCCGCAATCAAACTCCCAATAGCATCACACAGAATCCCACCCTGGATCCTCGTATTCGCCTTCTCGCCCTCGGTTTCGATACCGCTTGCTTCAGAAGTCGCCGCGATAGAAGGCATACACACCATGGCCTCACAAATGAACAGAATCATCAATGGCAAGACCAGGGTGCCATCGACACTCAGCTTGAAGGTTCGTACCCAGAGAAATGTCACAGTGGGAGCTTGCTGAATTTGAGTATCAGACCAGAAACCCGTGGCCCCGGAGATCGCACTGCCGACTGCAAGGCCGAAGATGATGCTGGCGCTTTTCATCAATGGAGAGCCGATCATTTCGACGAGAAGAATCGTAACGAAGACGGAGAAACCGATACCGATGAACTTTGGGTCGCCCCATGGTAGTGGCCTGAAGAACCAATATCTGTCAGCCCAAGACATCTCTCGATCATTTTCACTTGCATAGGCAACACTACTTCTCGGCTGGAGAGAATGAAAATGTAACTCACCTCGGAGCATTAATGTTAGGACACAAAGCGTTCACTCCCTGTCCATCCAGACAACTTGCTCCGCCACCCCAACTCTCCCCGGCGGTGGTCACAAGATAAGCCCCCAGCACGAGCAGCAACAATCCCGTGACCGTTGGCGGGAATATCCTCTTCAGCGTCTTCGCCGGTATCAGCGAGACTAAGAATTGCATCCAGACGCAGACCAAACACGTGCCAATCAGAGCTCCATATCCGTCCGGGCAAGGTAGTCGTGTCATTGTGCCATCAATCTCTTGAAGCGGGCACATTCCGCGGGAATATAAATCGCTGCCATACTTCAGAGCAATTGGTATTATATCAAAAGTTGGGCCAACCACGGAGAGCACTCCACACCCAATGTAATATGGTGTTCCTCGAATCCTACACCTCGTAATCTGCAGCAGAGTAGCTATTCCGCTCGTGATGAACCCGGCAGAAATCAGACTCTCGGTGTCTTGGGTAGAGAGGTAGAAGGCTCCGCGTGATATCGCCAGAATTGGTGTGACAATGCCGGAAATCATGGTAAGAGCATGCTGGATTCCGAGGATGAGAATCAGAAGTAGAGGAATTCGGTCGTCGGGGTAGAAGAATGGTGGGATGTGGTTTCGGTACTTTTTGTTGAAGGGATAGATGTTTGGAGTGAAGAGGTAGGCATAGTCGTAGGAACCGATCAGACCATCACGGGTCGTGAGAGTGTGTTTGAGTTCGGACCAGGCGGTGCGCCAGTGCGAAGCGAAGGAGCCATTGTGATCCCTTTGTACGGGATTGGTGGTGGTGTTGTAGGTAGGCAGTGAGTGCTCCTTCTCTTCGTTTGATGTAGGGGTGTATGTGTCTTGAGGCGCCGCTGAGAAAGAAGCAGAGGACGAAGCAATCGCGGAGATCTCTTCCGTGGCACCCATCTTCGTCATCACTTCTACGTTCCAGGACTCATGTCCTTCCCAAGAAGTCGAGAATCCTAGCCTGAAAGAAAATACTCGATTTCATGAGCAGTCAGCACCTTTCATCCACTTGTCTTCTCACCCCACCAGACAGCTCTCGCCACTTCTCTCGGAATGATCTCCATTTCTTCAGCATTCGTGCGAAAGCCTACATGAACCGACCTCGGGTCTCTTCTTTTCCATGTCTTAGATGCTCTAGTCCGGCATTAGATTCAGACCAAGAGATAAGTGCCAAGCCTTCATTGGTGCTCTTCACTGCTCAAGACATTAGCTAGAAAAGTTCCCGCGTTCTTTACTGACGAACTGCCTAGCGTCGTCTAGGTAGGACAGTCAGTGACAAGGTCCTTGATGTACTATTCCAAATGACTTGACCTTGAGATCTTCACGAACAAAGAACAATTGCCGCACAGGTAGCTTCACCGACCTTTGCCTTCAATGTGCAAATACCGCATCATCTTACACCAATGACAAGTTGCCAATGTGAAATATTAGTGGACTCAATGGTGTAAGTCTCCATGGTTGATAGACTATGCAAAATGTGCATAGGCGAACAGAAAATACTGGGCCTTGAAGCGTCGAATGCAACGTGTACCAATTGTAGAGCTTGAGAGCTTCGGTTTTCATGCAGGTTCCTATACTTCCGAACTTCCACCCGGTCGGCCGTCGTATAGTGTCGGCAGTGATAATGTCAACTTGCCATTGAATTTCTTTCTGTCAATTGCTCTTCGTGTGGCTAGAGTCGATTCTCATGTGAGGCCTGCGGAGGAGAGCAAATCCAACGCTGAGGATCAATGGAACAGTATTGTTATCGTTCTTCTGCACAGTTGTGAAATTGGAAATAAGGATCGCGATGCACAATCATTCGGTGTGCTTCCCTCGGCTGTGATGTCGCGCTCTGCATAATGTCTCAGGATTCGATCCTGTCACTGGAGGTACCGCAATGTCAGCTGCAGGGCGTTGTGGCATTGGACTGGAGCTGGGAAGCCATTCGGTGATTCGGGGTACCTATTCACTCGTGATCGCTCGTCAATGTCAATGCCATTTGATCACGTGTCTACTGAGTGCCCCGAAGCAACTCGCTCGAAGGACCCCAGCGCTGTTTGATAGACCGGCTCTGTGGGATCAGTTATCTTCTCCGATGACTTGCTATCGTCGGCGCACCCTGCGAATGGCACGAGCGCGCACAGGAGTCCGAATTGTTGTTTGTTTATACTCGTAAGCATATATTGTTGAGTTCTTCCCTTGAATGAAGCCCCAGAAGAATCATGTCAGGTTCGCAGAAAGCCGCTCCAGTCGTGATAAATGCAGACAGCGTCTCTGCCGCGACAAAAGCAACGAAGATGCTGTGCTATAGTTCCACTTCCGAGAATTGCTCGTCTCCTGCAGAAGGTGGTGCTTTGCCAACATCGGTATCACTGGCTTCTTTCACTTTGCCGGCTGAAGTCGACTTCTCGGGATCCTCCGTCTCAGTATCGTCCGACTCTTCGTCTGATGATTCAGCTTCCTTCTCATTCAACGTCGTTCCCGTCACCGATGACGAAGATACGCCGGCCGTCTGCGGGATCCGTTCTTGCGGACTCGAAGGCTTCGGCGGCGGCGTTGGCGGTTCCACACCAGGCGAAGACACGCCCTCGTCCTCCTCGTCACGTCTCGTATTGCCTGAGCGTTCTGGGGTGGGCGGCGTGGTCTCGATCCTAGGACTGTCTCTCGCTCGCTCGGGTATACTCGTAACACTCGCGCGCTGCTGATGCGTACTCGGGCCCATTTGTCGCAACTTGGGATCAGCATCGAGGTAATAGCCTCGCACACCAACAATTCTGCCTTCTCTCTCACACCCTTTGACCCAATCTGGCACTACGATTGGCACGTTCATCTCCTTTGCTTTCTCCCACGCCTGACCTCTCGCTTCGGTGCAGACGAAATGTGTGGTGTCTATGCGAACGGAGTCGATCATCTTCGCGCCAATTCTGTTCACTGTCTCGGCCAAGCTGTCCTTCAGCTGGCCAGGCATTACACCTGGCGTGATGGTGATGCCGTGCAAATCGGTCATCTTGTGTGTCTTGACATTCAGTTTCTCTGACGAGTACTGTCCCGCGCTCGTTCTCAACACCAAGTGGAAGGTGTATTCGGTGTCCAATGCCAGTCCACTGATCTTGGTGCTCATCTTGTCACGAGGAATATTGCCAGCCTTCGTGCCATTGCGATACAGACTCAGGCTGCGAAATTCGGCGGTCGCGAGCTCGACAGGATCCCATTCGAGCACGATACTCGTCTGCGTGGCATTGCGACAGCGCAATTGAGGAGGTTGGGGGGACTGAGCGCCGAATGCGCTCAAGATGTCAGTTTGGAGGGCGTGAAATTTCTGGTCGGCGATGCTCTCGGCTTGCTGGTTGCGAGCGACGTTGATGTCGACGATGCTCCCAGATTGGATGTCGGGTGGGAGCAGTATGGACGGGAATTCAATCTATGGCCAACGGTTAACAGCTGGCTTGTTGGAAGGATCTCGTCAGAGTTGCATGGGCATCATCTTACCAGTCGCTTGTCTTCGGTCAGAAGAACCGCGACACCGGCGTCGACCTTGCCGACGGTGAGGGAAACCAACATGGCGTGGAGTGTGTGGTGCAGTGTGTAGTCGCAACAAAAGTGTATAGCTGCACATGAATAGACGGAGCTTCGCTCAGGGATCGCCCGCCAAGATGTCGTACCTGCCCAATGACACGGTACCACCACCTTCTACAAACAACAACCACCTTCCAACCTTCTCCCACCCATCGAACACTAACGGTACCACACTCTGCTCCAGCCAGACGCATCTCTCCAGCACCACGAACGCCCAACCCGAAGCCTCAAAGCCCAGCCAGCCCGCCCGAAGCAAGCTCCATCAGACTTTCCACGTGGAAACGCCCAACAGAAGCCATGTTTGACCACGTTCCGCCATATCGTCATCAAGACTCGAAACCAACAGCCGCTCTGAATGTACCGCTCTGACGTGTAGGAATGTGGTGGTAGTCTAATCCGACTTCACTCCTCCGTCTGAAAGAGCTGTGTGAACTCAGAGAGAGCATGCCTTTCCAGCTGGTGGGCACAGGATTCAGGCGATGTCCCTTTGAGCAGTCCTACTGTGGTAGGGCGACGGCATGTCACGACTTCGCAAATTCTTTGCGTGCTCGATTCTTGAGATGAGAGCGTGTGTCAGGATCCGGCCGCTTTAATGGGGTTCAATATTGCCGCCCAGGACTCTAATGGTAGTGGATGCAGCTACGAGCGCGTAGGTAAGGTCGACTTTTCACGGGCCTCAAGGCGTCTTGCTGTATCATGTCTCCACGTCAGTGTGGTATCGACCTGGCTGCGTTCGATAACGTCAGTCCAGCACGGGCGCTTCGGCCAATATCTTAACGCTGCAAATGCGGCTCTGGTCACTGGAATTATCGCCACTGATCAAGTGCTGCCATGCCAGCGTGCGCCAGCTGTCGCAGAGACGTTCATCCCTGACAATCGCCGATCGGGTTGCATTTCATAGGACGTCGGCAAGACAAGATTGCAGTTTGCTTACCGTCTCGTAGGTTCCTGAATCGCTCATGCCGAACGGGAGAGCATCTTGGAGGAACAGCTTCTTGCCAGTCTTTACACTGCTCCTTGCACGCTTTGATACGTCTCCGCACTCGAGCAGCGTCTATGATACCCACTCGCATTCGATGATCTTCCAATTCCTGACCTATGACAACCTTTTGCCATAGCTTGCAGGTCATCGTCGGGACTGCTATAGTCCTCCAAACTCCCCAAGGACATATATCAAATGCCGAACTACCACGCCGATCCAAGAAGCTGCACGTCTCATCAAGCACACCTGTCCGAGGAGACCGAAATTAGCGGCGAATCGCGATCCTCGCGAACCTCCACGTCCGTTAGATCGCGAGAGACGAGGACAGCACACGACGTGATCCATTCTCTCGCTTGCGGCATCGCCGAACTTATGGTCTGATATCTCCCTGGGAGTTCGCAGACTTCTCGGCTGCGAAACACGAGCGGACTCGGGACCGCAATGTAGAGTAGCGAGGGCGGATAGATATCGGCTTTACCGTACGTACAGGCCTGGTGGTCTGGACTGCTCTATGGATCCTTTGACGAAGACATGGGCGTTCTTCACGAATGCGAGTGTGACATGGGCTGGCAAAGTATCGTGTCTCTCGCAGGGCAGGCTACAGGTATCGGCAAACCACTTGTACATCATTCCTGATGTGCCAAAAGCAGTACTGCGATGGCTGTTTGTGACCAAGTCTGCTGGATCTCTGTCGCTGTGCCATCAACACCGTCCTTCACTCTCACTCTCACTTTCCAACCTATCAGTGCCTGCACTCCTCGTGAAAGAAATTTTGAACGATGAGTGTTCATCACCAGCAGATCTGACTACACCCAGCCGTTGGCATTTTGTTTACGGTAAAAACTGCAATTCTAACCAAGCTATATCCAAGCCGATGTCACAAACATATCTCATCCTATGCTTCACCTGACAACTTCTATGACCTAACAATGGTTCTCTTAGTCTTACACAGCACACACACTCAAGTGTTCGCTCATCGCTGTCATGCCATTGCTTTCGTCGAACAGCGATGTGCACCACGCTGAGAAGATCAAGACGTCACGGAAAGCGTAGACTTTCCATTCAGGCGGGCTGAACTGCTGAGATATGAAGGGCAAGTAAGCTCGTAACAAAGAAACGAGGAAAGGGCTCAGATAGAAGGCAGTGTACGTACTCGTAACTGACAATCCACCCAAACAGTTGGATCTTACATCTCATTGCATGTCGAAACTGCTCAACAAACTGGCTTCCTTTGCTGCAAGATATCGCAACAAGTGGGATGGGTCTATGGGATCTGTAGAAGCAAAGCATACTTGGATCTCATCGACTTAGCGCGCAAAGGAGAAAGCCTCTCGAGACGGCAAGACATACAATATTCTGTCACCTAGCAAATCAGAACATGCATTGTGCCTGCCATCGTTGATTCCATGCGTCTGTCTGTGTATTAGTCTATGGATCGTCAAACTCTACGTACATGATTCCACGTTTTAAGGAGATTTCTCCTACCTTACCTTAGCGTAGACCAGCTTCATCTCTTATACCTGAAGCCTTTGTTTTGCCCTCCGCCACAAGTCCACATCGACAGCGTCATTTGTAGAATGTGCTATTCACGAAAGGGTTCCCTTCGTTCTCTTCTCCACGAAGATATAGTCAAGCACAAGACATCTTAGCAGCGGGACTGTCAGTCGTTCGACTATAACGCAGCGGGAGAATGTCCAAAGCCAGCGTAAAAGATCTGATCATAGGAACGAACGACAGACAGACTAGAATCGTAGACTTGCCATGGCTTCACATTTGCAATTGCTGCGCCATTTCATGAGTTCAATGCGGGCATCGACATGCATGGTTTGTCCGCATTCGGCAACTACCTGTGCTCTTCCCATCCCAGCGTTCTTTTCTGCTCGGACAACTATGGCACTGGGAAGGCATTGCCGAGGCGCAATGTCTGTCCGTCGATAGATGAGGGCGAGGTAAATGTCAGCTTGAGAAAGCCGAGGAACCTGTACACACTGAGGACGGCAGGACGATAGTGCGATCGAGGCAGGAGATACGGCCGTTCCAAATGTCCGGCATGCCGACTGATGAGGAACAATGTGCTCTGACATGTCCTGGTCTCTGCGAGTCTGCGGGTTACTGCGGAAGGGGAGATGTTCATCCGATGGTGTCTCTCTTTCTCACCAGAACCGTTGGACGCTAAATTCAAGCCATTTCAACGCAGAGAAGCACAGTCTAGCCACCGACAACGTCGAAGCAGGATATACCGAGATACGCACCCTTTTGAATCATCACAACGGCAATTCCAGACGGACGTTTGAAGAACTCGTGGTTCACGAGTCGTTCCATGCATGAGGAAGATGATGGTCGAGAAGGGCCGAAGGCTAAGAGGAAGGGGAGGACTCCGAGATGAGTTTGTTGAGCCGACTTAGCATGCGGAAGTCAACGGTACAGCAGGAAAGCTGTTCGGTATACGCTCAGAACAGTCATGTTGCTGTTCAGATCGCGATACGAAATGCGTTCCGTCACTCGCCTGCGGACTTGTGACCTTCGAGAGTCCTCGGAAAAGTCTCACCAGAGGTTACTAGACATCGGTTGTCAGTACTCCGATATCAAGTCACTCGCTTCCGTCCTTGATCAATTCTCCCTTTCCAAAAGCGGTAGCTTCATCATTACAAATGTGGTAATGCCATGCCAGCAGGATCAAATTCGTGCTCGCCAAAGGCAGGCCGACAAGGATAGGGCATGCCGGAGACGAGCAAGCGAAAGCCGAACAATAGACAGTAGCCTCCTCACACCACCTCTGCTAGCTGGCTGCTGCAGGTGCAAGCCCACGGGCGCTCCGGGCATGGACGGGCGTTACGCTTCAACAGCCCATGGCGCTGGACCAGTAGGAATGAGGTGGCTCACGACAGCCATAATGAAGGGCGCTCGTTTGACGTGATACGCATGGCGTAGGTATGTGCCGAAGAAAGAGGCGTAAGGCGAAGCGCGGAGCAAGGTCAAGACGACGCGAAGAGGCGTTCTGGAGACAGATTGGCTTTTGCTTTTCTGGATTGATGGCAATGAATGGCGGTGGTCGGCGCGAATGGGCTGCCTCGTTGGCATGTCTAGTGCATGCACAATGCATTCCGCTGCTGTCCGTCCTGATGAGATGCAGAGCAGTACTGTAGGATGGATCCAGGCACTCCTTTCGTGCTTGTCCAGCGTCTGTTCCTAGCAAGCGCTCGCATAGGTGCGAAGTATTTGATTACAGATTAGGTGATATACGAAGATACCATGCTCCACACAGCTTAGCGAGTCTACACACATGCACATGCACTGTCATTGCTCCAGATGTGTGATGACGATGGGAGTGCTAGGGCAGTACGTAGTCGGTGCTGGGCCATGATTAGTGTGAGGGAAGTTCCAGAACTCTAGTCGTTAGCCAGCTCTTCGGCACCGAGAGAGGAAGCGAAAAGCAGAACCTGCTTGGGAAGACTGTGTCGTAGCACCCCGAGCACTTTCCGAAGACGACCATGCATCCCCGCTGTGCAAAAAAAGGGTGAAAAGTATAGAGAGACGTTGTGCAGAAGTCCAGATTCGGCCGCGAGTCCAGGACCTTGTAAAGCACGTGGCAAGAACATGGCAATTGACGAAGGATGGTGATGTGGCTGCCAGCATCATGGAGCAGAGCCGGTCCGTCGCAACTCCCCGAGTGTGATCCCATGGGAGCAATAATGACCGGAAACCCGAAGTGCATTGCCGTGCTTTCGGTCGGATCAGCAGCATTGTCGCTGGAAGAGGCAAGCAGCGATTGTCACACATTCCCAAAATGGCGAGAGCTGAGAGGTCAGCCTGGTCAGAGTAAAGCAGCGTGGTGGTGGCAGCAGTCACTCCGCGTCCGGCGCAATTGCGCGCAGTAGTGGCGCCGCCAGATGAGCCATCACCACCACTAGGCGGTAAGGCCAAGGTGTTTGGGTTTAAGCTTCATCGAAAAGCACTCTCCGGGGCAGTGCTCATTTCCAGCAAAGCGTGAGATGGCGGCCACGCGACACTCCCACATCACCTGCGCTTCTAGCGCTGCGCCAACCGACAGTGTCGAAATCGAGGTGGATTGGACGGCTGCAGCGCCTCATCCGCGCCAGTGGAAAAGCTTTGACTCGTCGGTAGGGCAGACCTGGCATATACGAGGCATATGAGCGAAGTACCGGCCGCGACGCTGAGAAGTGTACAAAGTGTGTTTAGCTGCTCATATGGTGCACACATCCGGCAGTGAACGCGAGGTCTACAGCGTTTCGCGTAGACTGGAGCGTCATCTGGATACGCGCTTAGTCTCCAAGCGGCTTGGCTGCTTTGCAGGATGCTGGAAGCTGGACACGAATAGCAGATTCCAAGGTAGAATCCTGGGTGCTGCAGCGGGTTTGGAGGATCGAATGTGCCGGCGTTCACAAAACTGTCATGCATGTGAAGACACCTCATCATCAATAGTGGTTGCGGTATTGTCATTGTCAGTGTCTGATTCATGCAATGGTCCGGATGCCAGGGTGGGGTTCCAGACCGTTGCATGATTTGAGTTTGGCTAGATCTCTGGTGGCCAGCGTCTCGCCAGCGCTCCCCTGGCACACACGCGAAGACCAGCATGCGGAGAGATCGAAGTCAAATGCACCGTCACCATCCCGGCGGAAGGTGCATGGGATGGCGGGTGCATGGAAGAAGGCGCAAAAGTGAAGAGCAGCAGCCATGTTCAGCAAGAGATGGCGTTGAAGCGTCCGCGTTGGGCGATTCCACGATGCATCGTGTCTGCCACTCGATGCTAGCGTTCGGCGACCCCGTACACGCATGACATGCGCGCCAGTCAGAGGTCTCGTCTGGAAGCACGCTCCGCGGAGTGCTGCATGACGCTCGAATGGCAGCGAAGGAGTTCCTGAGGCACGCTCTGGTAGACGAGATCGTGGGTTCGAAGGCCGCAGCCATACGGACTCCCGTGCGGGAAAGGCGTAAAACAGAGAGAGTCGACGCTAGAGCAGTTACAGGGAGCAGGCAGCGCGGACCGAGTCGTGCGCCCTCCGAGCGCGTTCTCTTTGCAGCTGTTTCTCGCTTATTGAGCAAGCTGATTGGTGCGTGGTGCTTCCCTCTTTTGAAGGTTGAGCTAACGAATCCTGCAATATTGGTAGGGGTGGAGCCTGGATGTGATGAGGAGCGACGAAGCAGAGTACGAGATGTTGTTGGAAGTGCGAGTGTTGTGACCAGAAAGATGGCAGTAGCGGGCGCATGGTGAAGTACAGCAGGCTTGACAGTGTGTTGGTGCAACGAAGCAATGTCCAAGCAGCCACATCGTCGAGCACAGGACCCGACAACGGGTGAAGAGAGCCACAGCCGCGGCATAGTGCGCTCGCTTGCAACGCCATTCGCATGGATGAGCAGTGTTGATCTCCATCATCCATGTGAGGCCAGCGTGGTTTAGCTTCGTGCAGAAGCGCACATACCACAGGCGGATTCGGCAGCGAAAAGAGCTGATCATCCAGTCGTTCCGCAGGTGAGCGCTGGCCCTCGCAGCCTGCTCGGTGTCTTTGACCTGAGTTTCACGCTCACCTGGAGCGGGTCGCTCGATCGAGCACACAACGGTCATCGTGGATGCACAAGATCGAGTCGCACCAGGAGCACTAGCGGGTGCGATTTGTGCGAAGAGTGGGCGGCGGAAACGCTTGACGCTGCAGCAGTCGCACGTGGCAGCGTGACCAAGGAGATCCGAGAGAGCGCCCCAATTTCAAGCTGCGATGATCCGGGACGCCTCCCGCGAGTCTATCTTTGTCGCCGTGTGCTGCAGTCGTGGCGTGGGTTTGCCTTGGGTGGATTTGGAGAGCGCGGCCCCTGCTCCAGGCCGCAGCCTTGCTGCTGTGTGATGGTAGATGCATCTGCAGGCGAGATGAGGCACAGCTGCACTCGGCTGAGGGGCACGAGGAGAGGAGAAAGCGAAATGGTGCAAAGCTGTCATGAGCAGTTGCGCAAAGCAAGCCGCCGGCCCCATTGGCGCGATCTGTGTCCAGAGAGCGCAGGCAGGCACAGGCACGAGTGTCACTGCGCTCGATTCGGTCCCGCTCTGCATGGCCTCCTCTCGCTTGCTGATCACTGATCATGATGCGGGCAGTGGGAGGAGGGAGTGTGCGCAGTGCTGCGTGGAAGCGTGGAAGCAGGTGGGCGTGCATAATCATGGCATACGTGCGTGAGCAGACGGCACCGCGGTTCTCGGGCAGCAGGGACAGCGGAACGCCAAGATTGCGCAATGTTTCGATCTCGATAGGGAAGAGGCGCTGGTGAGATGGCGCGGGTGGGAGGGCGGGCGCGTGTGAAGAGTGCGCTGCGCTGGGCTGGTGAGGTTTGGCGGGCGAGCAACAAGCTCTGGAGATTCAGTTGGGGAGTAGCCAGAAGCTTGGGTCGACGCATGGACTAGGCCCTTGTCTGTCTGAGACGAGACGAGCGGAAAGGCTAACGCTGCCCAATCGCCTCGGGCGAGCAGGGATCGCGCTCGACCCGCTGGATCCTCCCTCTGCGCGGCACAGGACAGGAAACAACAAAGCAGTCTCGCCTAACAAAGCACGCGCAGGACCTCGCTCATTTCCCGATGAGGGCAGCGGACGACGCAGTAGCCTTTTTACTTTGGCGAATTGGTCACGCCGGCCTGGGCTGCGCGCGCACGTAGTATGTACGGCACGCGCGTGGTGACCGGGGGGTGCCCGCGAAGACGATGGTGAAGACGACGAGGTGGAAGACGACAACCGAGCGCAGGTGGCAGTATCGGTCGTGCCCTCATGTCGAAACGGGGGCCTGCCGTTGCGCAGACAGACTGACCCTGCGAGGCTGCGTGAGAAGCAGACGGTGCTGCTCGCCGCCGGCCTGGTTTCTCTGTGTCGACTGATGCCTTTTGGCTTCTCTCTATCTCGCGCGCGGCTGCAGCACGCTGGCGAAAGCCTCTCCGGCGCGGGAGCGGCCTTGTCTGATAGACGAGGCCGTCGGTGCGGTACAGCTGGCGCGTGCGTTTGCAGGTCTGGAGACAGAACAGACGCGATCCATGCAAAGCCTGGATCTCCAACGCAGATGCTGCTCGCAGGCCCGAGTGGTCCAGCCAGCCACGCTAGCTGCTCGTCTCCCTTACTAGCTGCTGCCCGTACATATACATGAACGCCCGCAGACCGGACGCTGCCACACGGTCTCGCCCTCCGTGCGCCAAAGACACACTCTAAACAAAGGATCGCCACGCCCACATCTCAAAGGGCCCGCCCAACTTGACGCCGACTTCACCTCGTGGCCTCGAAACACGCTGTTCTTCTCGGTGGAGACGCCCATTGAACACGTCCAGCACGACGACACCGCGGCATCACTCTTGTCATTGCTGTCTCAGCTTGACGACCGCACGCTCCTCTCGCTTCACGCCTCACTGGAGACCCTCGGGCATTGAAGCACCCACAAAGGTCCAGAATAATATCGCTCGCTCGCAGTCATTCACCCTTGTGCGACCGGGGTGTAACGCAGCATCTGCACGACCACACTTTCGGGTCCTCTTCGATCTCGCCGTCCCGGTTCGTGGGCAGTCGACGCGCTCCCAGTGCACAATCTATCCTCATCCTCAACTCATTTCCCACGTCTTGGATTTGGGTAACGCCGAACTCCCCTCAGGACCTTGTCTAGGCGACTTTGAGCGCGACCTGCATCCATCTGCGTCACGAACGTCCCAATCCGCTCCCATTCACCCCCAGCGCCCGGCATCCCTCCTCGCCGCCGCAGGCATCCACATCCGCCTCGTCGGTCTCGCGGCTTGAGTACAAAGCCTGCGCGTATCCAGCTCCTCGGATCCTCTGCCATCCACCACATTGTCCATCAGTCCGGAGCAGACGACCATCGACTCCACGAAGCTCACTCGACGTAAAAGCCGTCGCAACAACCACCCTTCGTGGCTTTCCTCCATACTCCACCAGGCACCTCCTGGCAAGACGCGAAGCCTTCTGTCCATCCATCCTTCGTTCAGCCGCTCCCCACGCCGCCGGCCGATTGCAACCAGCCATTCGGCTTCAGTGACCACCAAACCGCAACCGTGGCTGCAGCAGTAGCGTACCCTCCTTCAATGGGACCTGCACAGGACCATATGGCATCCAGCTTTACCGCCCGGAGGCCAAACGCTTCGCACCTCCCAGCTTTCGAGCTTCCACCGCCACCGCTCACGCAAAAGTACCACTCCGGTTACTCGCACGTCAACCACAGCCAGCACTCACCCGCGACCACTCTCACTAGCGTCGGCAACCTCCTGACACCACCAAGCAACGGTTCTGTCGACGGCATTAGCCCGGCGACCAGCGTTCCTCAGAGCAACGGCGCAGTGCAGTCATATACGCCTAGCAACGGCAGTGGCATGTGGCCACCACCAGCGAGCAACGCTCCCTACGGTTTCCAGCCGTCGCAGCCACATCACTCGTCGTATCAAGGAACTCGCAGCCTGTTCTCCCCCTCGCTGAACTCGATCATCCGCGGCAGCAACTCCCCTACTGCAAGCGAGGCGCTTCCACCACCACCCTACAGCGACATGCACCACTACCCCAGCTCGAGCATTGGTATGTCGCAGTCAACGGTACCTGCGCCTCAGCAGTACAGCTCGATGCCTGTCCCTGCACCAGTCACCCAGGCATCCCCGGTACACAACCAAGAAGCTTTCGCACGCCCACCTCCGACGCCAACCACATCCTACTACTCACAGCAGTCCTACTCAACAGGTCCTTCGCCAGTCGCACAGAGCCCAATGAGCGGAGGCGGTCTCGGCAAGATGTCACCAGTCAACCAGTCGGGGCCCGTGCCTCCTCTCCACCAGTCGCAATCACAGTACGCCCAACAGTATCGACCACACAGCTACTCCGGCATGGGAGGTGCAGCAGTCCTCTCCGGTCATTCCATGGGCGGAGTACCAGGCGGTATGATCCCACACTTCAACAGCGGCCACGCCGCACAGATGCACCACATGTATGGACATCCTCAACCAAACCCTCAAAACGACAGACCCTTCAGATGTGACCAGTGCCCTCAGAGCTTTAACAGAAATCACGACTTGAAGCGACACAAGCGAATTCATTTGGCTGTCAAGCCATTCCCTTGTGGTCATTGCGACAAGAGCTTCTCGCGAAAGGATGCCCTCAAGGTATGTCGTATCCATCCATCATCACAACCTACCACAACAACTAACATTCATTCACAGAGACACGTCCTCGTCAAAGGCTGCGGCAAAGCAGGCGCAACCTCGGAAGTCAAGGAACTTGATGGCTCGATATCGCCCAAGAGCGAGAGTCTCGAGAATAGCCCCGTCGTGTCCGCCACAGCGTGACATGGTCATAAACACGACTCGAGTCTACTTTCGTAATTATCATGTTTCTTTTCCTTTATTGCTTTACTTTGGACGATACCCTTCGCGAGCATTGTACTATGAGCACGACATATTTACGGATTATTCTATCATGACGGACATGGCTATGGGATGGACGGATGGCATGGACACCAGGACCTTTTGGTTAAGGATCAGCGAGTTTGACAGGATGCTCGACAGTTGGCAGGGCATTGGAAAGCCGGCAAGCAAGCGCGGCGTTTGGACATAATGGTACTATGATGCGAAGATATGGCACAGCAGTCCAGAGGGGAAGAGTTCACCGGACAAGACCGCCTTGTTGTTTGTGTTTGTTTTGGAGCGGCAGGAATGGCTTTTTGCTTCGCAGAGGAGCGCGAGAACAGTGGCACGACAGAGAAGATGACAACAGATGAATTGAGACAGCTACTTGGAACAGAAGCATTGCAATGGTACTGAGTAACCAGGGCTTGGATACTACTACTTTTACGCAAGGGAAATGGAGAGGGGATCTGTTGATTTGTGTATGCTGAGAGCGAAGAAAACCTGTCAGATACTTCGAGCATTGAAAATCAATCACCAGCGCGGATTGTGCAGAACACTCAAAGCGTTTCAATTTCTCAAATCTCTTCCCATGTCCCAGTCCCAGATGATCGTACAACTATCGCGACGACAGCTTCGTCCGTCGACCGTAAATCTGCCAGTGCGAACGCTCATGTTCACACTCCTTCTCCCACTTTCTTCTCCCTTCCCTCACCATGAAGATCAACATCACCTTGCCGCGCGTTATCCACACACACACGAGTCACGACAACACTTCCACGCAGCCTTGAAGAAAAGGAACTCAATCTCATCAGACTTCAACTCTATCCATCTCTATCGTACACTTCACCTTCCCAACTCAGAAAAGATCACACTTACAGCATCGCGACGTTAATGAAGATGTGCGCTCCCGACTTTCTGCCTAAAATCCGGTGCCACCCTCACAACGATCCTCTTTCTTCATCCAGGGGCGAGAACGATAGCCCAAGTCTACAGGTCAAGCCCCCTCGTGGTCGGCACATGTATCAATGTACACACCAAAAGTCTAAAAGCCGTGAAGAAAATGATGAAACTCTATGAAAAAGTTGAAGTTGGGAAGACCGAGTAAGGCCGAGAGATTTGCAGTGAAGATCTTGTTGATGAGGATAAGATTTACACTTTTTCGGCCATTCTCGTCTCTCAACAGCAGACTACCTCCTACGACGACGATGATCCGGTCATCGGTCGAGAAGGGTCCGAACACGAGAAGGCCTTTTTCGTCTGCTCATCAACGATCAATCATCAGCAGGGACAGCGGGAGCAGATCTTGCGTATTTTTCTTCATGGCTTGATGGCTTCGCCGATCAAGCCCGGAGATCCAATTCCGCATTCGCGTTGTCAGTCGTGTTCGAGATTCGTCGATAGGACGTGGAAGTGATGTCCACGAAAACTTTGCCATTTTCTCATTTACTGCTCTGCAAATCAAGTCATCAACAAATTGATCTATCATTTTTGGATAGCCCGGGAAGAATAATTCGGACGTCGTGATTAGATGCCGTAGTCGAACAGGCTGTCGTTGCATCACTCGGTTGTCAATGATCAAAGGCTGCCAAGATGCTAATTATATAGATAACATATCGTACAGGCTGTTCTGAGGTCATCTGTGCCGACAGACTGTAGAAGCCTGGTTGAAGGTGTTTCAGGTGCAGTGGATTTCTAGATGATTCTTTGATGATAAGACGAAAGCACTGTGAAGGGGAGAAGACATGTGAGTGTTAGGAGTACAGTGTTGCAACTTCCTTTTTGGGCAAGAGCGAGTGGGCTTTCATCTGTCTTCTCTGTGGGGCACAACTTGCTTTCCGCGGAGAGCACTCGCCATCTGCTTGATCGCATCGTCGCATCAAGTCTCCATACATAATTCGCACGAGCATCATGCCGTTGGTATGCGCATTGCACGCATCAAAAGCTCGCCGCCAGCCGCTTGACGTTGATCCGAATCCGTGGTCGTGCGTTGTGTACAAACCCTTGCAGGAGATCTCAAGCGGCAGCCATCCGCAAACCTGCCCGAGCTGTTGGGACTCTCTCCCAAAAGTCCTGCAGGCAACCAGAATCATGCTTGTAGCACATCATTTATTCTTACACTGGAAGCGCCCGGGACAGGAACAAGAAGGTGCGACATCGTCGACGTGTGAGGCGTTCAGGTTTGCGAGGGTCTGGCGAGCCCGGTGACCAGGTACGATGAGTGCGCCATGGCGCGGTGGGTACCCGTGTGGAGGGTCGTTTGCAGCGTGAGGCGTGCTGCGTGTCGCTTGAAGCGATGTGTCTCGTCTTCTCTGCTCACGCGGGTACTGCTTTTGGAAGATTGTGCACTTTGTGCTGCTGATATCAGTCGAGGTAGGTTTGGGATGAGTAGTGGTTGCTCAGACTAGGGATCGAGGGACTGTCATACACTTCGGAGCTGCGCGGTTTCCATTTCCTACCTCACAAGCGTGGGAAGATACATATGGCAGGTTTTGAAAGAGATGGAGATAGGCATAGATCGGAATCGGGTTGTTTAAGAGAGGTCGTGCATGACGAAGAAGGACATGATGCCTTTGAGGAAATGACAGCTTGGGAAGAAAAGAACGTAGGACAGTACTGGACAAATGCAAAGACGCTTTCAACGCAGCCGTTCGGGACACCAGTAGCGATGTGCTTGCTCGCAATGCGACCCACGGGCAACGCGTAGGATATCCAGCATAACGATCTTGCTGACAGCAGTAGGGAGCCATGCCCAGGCAGGCTATTTCCGCGCCAGTCTGCGGTCTACATACAACGCGCGAGCAGAAGCGCTGACGGCGGCGAGATTGCAGACCACAAAAGCGAGTCGTACATCTTGCAGGTGATCGAATTGGCGCGTAGGTTGCGCGTGAATTGCGGAGGATCCAGAAGCATATGGGCCAAAGTGCTGTCCAGGAAATTTGCTTGGGCGCGGTATATTCGCAAGATCGAGTGGCGACTGTTCGCAACAGAATGTGAAGATGCTCGTGCTAGGAGGGTGAAAAGAATGATCTCGAAGACGTCGGCGAGGGTCGGTCGGTTGTTGCATGTATGCATGTCGCAGATGGGGGACGCGAGACCAGCTTCAGCAAGTGCACATTCCAGTGCCGAGCAAACACACGACCAAAACAACTGCAACTCCCGCCATTCCGAAGAAGTTTCGACGAAGGATTGGAAGCGCTCTCCCTGCCCTCCATCGTGCAGCTGCACACCAGAAGTCCTTGACTTCGCGACTTCACCAACACCCGCGACACAGCCTCGCCCCAGCGCCCTGTCGCTGCTGCCGCCACACTGACCGCATCCACTCTTTCTTGCCAGCAGCGACACCTCGCCGACGCGCAGCATCTCACCGTCTCGCCGTCTGTCCGCCAGTCGCGCCATCAGCACCAGCAGCAGCACCCGCGTTGGCCACGCCGCCAGCCGTCCTCTCGTTCCCGACGCGTGACTCTCGATGCACGTCACCTCGACAGCATCTTATTTATTCGACAGTCGATACAACACCACGCGCACTGCCGAGTGAAGGCGCGCGCCAACTCTCCGCCACGTCTTGGATAGGGGTGGGGCAGCAGAGATAGCATTCAGAATCACATCGAGCAGCACTCCCAGGACAGCTTTCCCCCTGCATCCCTCTGCCCATATGCAGCGTCCGTCTCGCAACTGAAGGATACATGGCCGATCGCTACCGCACCAACCGCCATTCGGCGATGCGGCAACCGCTACTCGAGCTGAAGAACAAAACCAACACGCCGCCTGTCTCGCAGCGGCAGAGCAGATCTATCAAAGGGCAGACATCGTCGAGCCTGCCCCACAACGAGTCTTTGGAGCCCAATGGCACGCTCACGGTCCGCACGCAACAGCGCCCAGTGTCCGCTGAAAACAAGCGCGTCTCACAGATAACCAGCGACGACGCACGCGACTCGAAGCGCAACTCTGCCATATCCACGACTTCAACAAACTCAGGAGTGAGACGCAAGACCTGGATTGGACACTGGCAATTGGGCAAGACCATTGGCAGGGGCGGTTGCTCACGAGTCCGTGTCGTCCGACACCGATACAGAGATCAATATGGAGCGGTCAAGATCATCACGAGATCCACTGCAGAGCAAACGCGCGCTCAGAGTTTAGCCAACTTGATCGAGAGCATCAGAGCGTCGCCTGGGCTGGCCACATCTGGATACAAGCCAATACCGTACGGGTTGGAACGTGAAATTGCCATCATGAAGCTTCTGGAGCATCCCAACATTGTGCAGCTTTACGATGTATGGGAGAACAGGAATGAATTGTAAGTTCTCTTTGTTGCTTGGTAGCATTCGATACTAATGAAGATCCAGATACTTGATCATGGAATATGTCGATGGCGGCGAGCTCTTCCATTATGTCGACGAGCGTCAAGGGCTGACGGAGGACGAGACCGTCTACATATTTCGACAGATTGTGTCAGCGTTGCTCTACTGCCATCGAATGCTCATCTGCCATCGAGATCTGAAGCCAGAAAACATCCTGCTCGATCGCAGAACACTCCAAGTGAAGCTCATCGATTTCGGCATGGCTGCTCTCCAGCCCAAAGGACGTCTGTTGAGCACCCCTTGCGGCAGCCCGCACTATGCTGCTCCTGAAGTGGTGTCCAACCGACCGTACGACGGGCCTCTGGCTGATGTCTGGAGCTGCGGCGTTATCCTTTATGTCATGCTCACCGGGACGACGCCTTTCAATTACGACAAGACCAATGACATTCGGATTCTCTTCCGGGACATCACCGCAGCGAAGTACCACATGCCTAAATTCCTGAGTCGCGGGGCGCAAGATCTCATTTTCCGCATCTTCAAGGCGGACCCCAAGAAGCGCTTGACCATGGACGAAGTGTGGGATCATCCTTTCATGCACGAATACGACGAAGAGTTCGATCTCTTGGGTCCTGATGGTACGAAGGAGGCCGCGGTTGGCAAGCCCCCGCAAATCGAAGAGTGGAGAGTGAAGAAGATCCAAGACATCGATCGCGAGATTCTCAGCAACATGCGCACATTGTGGCATAGCGAATCAGAACAAAGCTTGATCCAAAAATTGCTGGATAAGGACGACCTGAATCAGGAAAAGCTCTTCTATGCTGCTCTGCTGAAGCACAAGGAAGAAACGCTGGAAAGCTACGATGAAACAGATGGAGTCAGCTACTCCGCCAGCGACTATCATCACAGCCGACCACCTTTCGAGGACGATGCACCGCCAATGCCCAGCAGTGCTCCACGCTCGCAGTCGCAGTATTCGATCATGAACGATGAGCATCTTCGACCGAGTTCCAGTTTTGCCGCACCACCGGCGTCAGAGAGCAGTTATGATCCGTATCGAGCATCACGAGATCCGCTTATCAATGCTCAAGGGGACTACTTGAGCGTGACAGTGCATCGAAATGGCACAAACAGCACGCGCAAGGGCAGCATGGGTCGCAACCTGCGGCATCCAAACTCAACCCGGATTGAGACGCTCAAACAAGCCCATCGCCGCCAATCTAACACGACATCGTCCAGTCTGCCGCGCTCAGCAAGGAGCCGATCGTCCTTGCAACGCTCCTCGATGTCTCGACCTTCTATTGCAGGTCACTCGCTTCCAAGCAGTCCTCCCGTTCTACCTACAATGCGGCCATCTGATCGACACAAACGTGGTGTTAGCTTTGGTCACATTCGGCGCGTGTCCACTGCAAGTGCACTCACTGCACAAACTTCGACCGAAGGCTCGATGCCACCTACACCGAGTCTTCCAGCACACCTGCGAAAACAACATGCGAGACTCATGGCAGGAGAGAAGCAGGGCACAAATTCAAGCCCATTGGCACATGCCGATCAACACATAAAGTCCCGCAAGGAGCGAGGGCCGACAGTGAAGCCAGAAACGCCACGAATTCGTGTCCGAAAGCCAGATACTCCTGGACACCACATTCGGAGCGACATTCGCAAGCATAGTGCCGAGCTTGAGAAGGCGTGCGAAGAGGCCTTCTTTAGGGACTCCTTGGGATCTAACACAACAGCTCGCACTTCCTTGACCGACAAGCATTCGCCATATGAGACGCCTCCGTCGTCTGTTGCTGCCAAATTCTCCGACAGCCCAGATCTCCCATCTGTGGGCAATCCACCTCGCCGACCATTGCCAGAGGTCCCAACTAGGGATACCCCCAACTCTTACTTGTCCAAAACCATCGAAGAGACTCGCTCGAAGCTGGCAGCCTACAAAGCCAATGGAGAAGATAATACTGCAAAGTTTGACGAGGTCATGCGAGCTCTCGACAACATCTTGCCTGCTGCTGGCTCAACACCGGACAAGCGTATAGTATCGGCACCGGAAGCGAGCAAGCATGCGGATCAAAATGGCTTCCTGCCAATTATATCAGAGGAGAGCAGCGACCCACGAAGCAGCCGCGACGGGACCAACTGGCACCGCAGCGTAACTGCACCCGTGGCCAGAGAACGCAAACCCGAGGAAAAGACCATACGAGTTGTACCTCCCACGTCTCCTGGTGTGGTCGCGCCCCTCAATGTTCGTAAACGCAACACCGGAAGTCCTGCATCGGACGATACTCTCCGAAAAGTCGCGACAAAGAGATCCGCGGAAAGTCTGCAACGGAAGGCCAGGAACCTGGACAGCTCTGGTCTTGCATCGATCGACGAGAACAGTGCGCTTGGATCGCCTCAAGTAGTGCGCAAAAAACGCTCCAACTGGTTCGGGCTCTCCAAGAAAGAAGATGAGGTGCTCAACGGAGATACGTTGGTGGATGTCGATGGTAAAGTCGAGCGGCGCAAGTCGACTGTGATCTCCAAGCCATCGCACGCTGATGCAGCGGCTCCACTGGTATCAACAACAGAGCAGGCTCGCAAATCTCGTTCCACGAATGAAAAGAAAGGATTTGCCAAGTGGTTCAGCAAGATGGGCCGCGACAAAGGAGTCGAGGACTTCAACATGGATGAATTGGGTATGTCAGCATGCGGTGACTTTTTACACTTACCTGGCGATACTAACACTCTGTACAGATACTACCATGCGAACCAATGGCTCGCTCAATTCACTTTTCTCCTCAGCATCACCAGTTCCTTCGAGCAACGACAATCCACCCCAATTGGGCCCTGCCCGCTCGTGGTTCGCTCGTTTCTTCAATATCAAACCAGCAACTCACATCCTCTGCTTCGAGCTTCACCGCGGCAAAGCACGACAAGAACTTGTCCTCCTCTTCAAGGAATGGCAACGTCATGGCATTCGTGATCTGCAGTACTCTCGCGAAACCAATACCATCTCCGCGCGTGTCGACAAGGTCAACGCCTTGGATATCAAGCCCATCACATTCCGGATCGAACTGTTCATAGTGCTGGACAACGGTCGCAAGGTCGGCCTATCCATTGCGCGCTTTGTACAAGTCAAAGGCGCGGCTTCAGGCTTCCGACAAGTTATCGACGTTGTTGATGGGGCTATGAGGAGCCAGAACTGGCTTGTGCAGGACGAAGATAAGTGGCGGGCTCTTTGCGAGGTTGTGGAGAGTCCATATTGATGACTGTCCTTCTCTTGACGTGGAAGAAGCTCTATCGCTCTCTGGACTGATACCGACGTCGTCCAATTGGGTTGCCCTGTCGCGAAAGTCGGACCGAACGAAAACGGTCGTTGGGTCGGGCGGTCGATCGATCGTTTCTGGACGTGCTATCCAGGCCACAAAGCACTAGAACCTACAACTTGGACACGACGACTGGGACTGCTCTCCAACGGGAACCACAGTATCTGTTCGACAACACTCAATACTTTTCCGCTTTTTGGCATTGGCATCTGTCGTTTTGTGAGTATGCATAATCGGAGCTGGACCACCACTAGCAGCTGGGAATTTGGGCGCGAAAGAGAGTCCTTTGAGGGAACGGAAGCGCTTCTGTTGTGGCGCTATTGCGCAGCTGAGTTTGGTGTATTATGCATCTTGCATGGATGGATAGAAAATGCGACGGATGGTGGATAGAAGGGGGTTGAACAAGACAGTAATGCATAATCATAGGAAGGGTGTAGGTAGCTTAGGTAGTCTGTTTGTATGGCGACTTTGTTGGTTGAAGGACCGTCGTACATTGTTGCGCGCATTGCTTTGCCTTGTTCGATCATGATTCTATGAGCCGCGTGTGTGGCCGTCTTGAGCACGTCCTTCTGAGAGATCTTTGCTCCCCTGATCCTGGTCCTTACTCTCTGTATACCGCTTTCCCGACTGGGTAAAATTTCACGGGTGCTCGAAGGGCGGATTTCCAGTTGTTTTCTACAACCTTTGTTCTCTTGCATTGTTTCTATTCTTCCACGACACTTTCGGTGGTTCTGCCATCTGTTTGACCTCCCTCGTATACTCTCTCGCGTAGAATGAGTTACGAGGTCCACATCATTCAGCCGGGTCATGATCGTGATCGGACTGGCAGGAGCCTGCTCTTCTCCACTGAGTGCCTGGGTGAACGGCTCCTCTCCCAACATTTTCGATGCAGCCGCGTCTCGACAGAGTGGATAGGGTGGGTATCCTGTTCTCCGAGTGAACGCCATGCAGGAGGCGAGGAGGAAATTCTTCTTACTCGATCCTTTGTGTCGTCGTGATCAGACCAGGTCTCGTTACGACAAAGGTTTGGAACGACAGGCGGAGGAGATCTTATCCTGGCGTCTCTGTTCTGTTCGTGAACTGTCTTCATGCCGCATTGCGTCCTACCGTCTCATCTCAAAGTGCGCGTCCATTCAGTGAGCCAATTCTTGGGCAAAAGCACAACGCGATCATTTCGTTCCTTCACAAAGTAGTGAAGAGACAGAGTAGAGTAATCCGAATCTCCATCCGGCCCTTGCCGTTTTCTTGTAGTCTTAAACCCGGAGGAGGTGATGGTAGCTGGGCTGTTGGGTCCTTCCTGCCCTTGACCCTGTTCCCAAACCATCCCATCTTTCATTTCCCGTTTTAGGAAATCACAACCACGTGCCTGACAGTTTCCACACGTGGCTTCCTCGTCCAGGGAAGAACACATAAATCAGGCAAAAATGTTCTTCCGTGCTCTTCTCTTCCGTAATCTTGCCGCAAGAATGACATGTTTGCTCAGTCTGTTGTCATCTTCCAGCGTCTGTTTTGCACGTGGCGTGAGTGCCATGTGCAGGGAGCGCCCCGTCTCTTCAACGCTGACGTTTGTGTTCCTGCTCTTTGCGAGCAGAATTATGCCGCAAAGAGGAAGTCTTGAGGACTGTAGGAAAACTCTCTTTGAAGAGAAAGAATTGAAGAACGAGGAAGGAAGGGGGCTCCATTACATGTCCCATGCATCCATTTGAGTCAGGTCATCGTAGTTAGTCAGTATAGAACCAAAAACTGTATATAAGTGTAGCAACTTCCACCTGTTCGTCTACCTTACCAACATCCTCCTCTTCCGCAATTCTTTGACCGAAAGATTTAATATCAATATACTACTGTGCTTTTGTAACCGAGAAGTATCATGTAGATGTCGTTTCCGCGCGTGTTGGTATGGACACCAACGACAACGCATTCCCACTCATATCCCACCCGAGAGCGCCTTACTCGCTGAACGCTGGACAAGAGTTGGAAAGAGTAAAAGAGAGAGCCAAAATCGAAGCCACGTAGCGCACAAAAGCAGGAAAAGAGGCAGCGGAATAGCTGCGTCCAGTCGGTCGAGCGATCCGTCGATCCGTCAAAAAGCAATCTATTTCGCCGGGGGCAGTCCAGAAAATGGATGATGAGAACACCGGGCAGCTGATGCAACAAGATATGCCGAGTGGGTCGTTCAAGGGCCTGTAACGCAAGATGTTACACAGCACAAAAGGGTAAGATCAGAGATTCGGCGACTGCAGTTGAATGGAGAAGTCGTTCATGGACCTCGCTTGCGCCCCAATCCGGATCAAGCCGCATAAGTACGTGCATTGGTTTGAACAGCAACAAGAAACCAGAAAGCACACCCCACGCCGCTAAGGATTGGAAAGATTTTGTTGTGATTCGCCACTTGCGCCATGATACGCATATCCCGTACCCAACAGATAAGCGAATATGCGAGGCGGCCTAGGCGGAAGGTATCGGCATTCAGCCGAGGAGGACTAGAGGAGGACAGCGTTAGGTCAGCCTTGATGCCGCCAATGGTGTTAGAGTGAGACACTTACCTTCCCAGGCCCAATCCCACATGACTCCCACCCAGCTGATATGACCACGGACGGTGTAGGCCATATCAATTTTGCTGATGCCCATTTCAGGATTCCGGTCTCGCGGCATTCTCTTGTTGGGCCCGTCACTACTGGCCGGCGGGCTACGAGTTCCATCCATGTCCATGAGACTAAAGACCATGCCGGTGCGGCCAGGCTCAGCGTTACGAACGTCTTGCGCGTCACGGGCCAATGGAGAACCCCGGTTTCTGACGTGCTGGAGGTCAGCTGTCGCGATTAGTCTCCGTTTTTCAGGAGGTCTAGCCTCGTAGCTGTCTCTTCGACGCCAGACTTCTTCGGTCAAGGCGACGCACTTGTCAATGACGCCTATACGCATCTGTGCTCCCATCACGCCCCATCGTTGTCGGATCCAGTCCCGGTCTTCGCTTTCGACAGCTTGGCAGCCTGCGATCATGAGAGGGTAGATGTGAACAAGTAGCATTCTGCTGTTGAGTGGGACAGTAGCCAGGTATTGAAGTACGCGCTGCGCGTACTGCTCGTCGTTCAGTGGCGTAGGCAACTCGGGCACTGATTGGTGAAGGTGAAGCATAGTGGCATATCGATATGCTTCTGCGGTCTGCAGAGCGTGACGGACGTCCGTGAGAGGGTCTTCTGGTCTCTCGATGTACGCGGGTGGCTCCCACTTCTCCAGTGATTCCATCAAATCTCTGGCCTGGCTGATCACGCCGATTGGATTCCTCTGCGATCTGCACACCTTGCGAACGAGGTTCGCAACATGGCCGATGAGCGGAAATAATGTGCCGGCGCATCCCATCAGCGGGTCAAGTCGAGCATCAATGCCCATTCCGAAATTAATACCAAAACCAGGCTCATTGTGTCCAGTGCTTACATCGGGTGTCTCATTCGGTGGCCATAGAGCATTGTCAAAATCCGTGCTGTCGTTGGCGTCTACTGCTGTCACTCTTGCAATGACATCCAAGTACACCCACGCGTTGCAGAGAAACTTTAGTCTTGCAAGATCTTCACCCTGATGCGGATCCTCGTGATGCGCGTTGAGAGCCTTCTTGACCAGAGCAGCGGCTCCATTGATGTGTGCGTTGCCAGTCTTGACATTGCTCTCCCATGCTTCGACGAAACCCAGTGCAAGGGCGGTGGCGATCGCTGCGTGATTTAGCATTGTGTCATCTCGAAGCCCTTCGCGAATGTTCTGCATCGCAATATCTTTGTGGTGAGCGCCTACATAACGCAGGCGAGGGGTGTCTTGGGCGCCGTGGAAAGCAGCCAAAGCCAGAAGTGCATGATACAAGCCCGTCGACTGCTTGGCCAGTGGCATGATCAGGCTGCGCCACGGATTCTCCGTTGGTCCATCGATGACTGAGAGTACACCACAGGTTATGGTGTCAAAACGAGTCATTAACGTCTCGTCGCTGTCGAAGGGCATGTCTGGGTGGCCCCAAGGGCTGGGCATCTCGGTATGCCACATGGCACCATTGAGGTCTGGAGAAGCTGGTGTCTGCAAACGCGAAGGCCACATGAAAGTGTCTATGTCGAGTGGCTGAATCGGGCCAATTAAATCGATGTCGGCGAAAATGTTGTTATTATCCTGCATCCCTGGGTCGTGTGATCCTGTCGAGAACATGGGGAACTGGTAGTCTTCGGGCATGGAAAAGGGCACAAAGTCCAGCTGTGAAGCGTCAATATGATGGCCGTCTTGCATCATCATTTCTGTCAATGTCGGCGATGGGCCTCTGCCATCTCCTGGTGAAAGCGAGCGGGTGCGATATACGAATGCTGAGTCCGGGTTGAACACGATCGGGTGGCCTTGGACCTCGCCTGGGCTGCCCGTCCCTTCGGTTTGTTGCGACGACGGACTGGGTCTGACATCTTCGCCGGGCATGAAAGCACTGTCTGTGCGAGAGTGATCATCCTTGACGGGCGATACAGCAGACAGCTGTCGCTGATGGAGTGGTCGTCGTAGCGATGCTTCATCTTCTCCTTTGGTGGCGCGGCGGGGTGCTTTTCGGCGAGGTCTTTGCTCGTCGTCGGGATTCGACCGCGGCACGTCTAAGATGTTAGGTGGTTCACCAGTAGGTGTTGTAGTTATGGAAGAGTTGTTCGATGCCTCACGAGGTGGAGAGATGCGAGATGTGGCTGATGCCGTGTCAGTCTTGGCAAAATTGTGAAGATTGAGGCGCTTGTACGTACCTTGCTTCTGGCCGACAATGTTGGTCTTGACCTGCTGGCTGCCATAGTCGCGCCATTGAAAGACTTTTTTGTAGCCTCCGCAAACGACGTTCCTCTTGGAGCAGTTCAGGCAGCCGGGCTTCTCTTCTCCGCATTTTAACCGCTTCGCCTTGCACGTGGAGCAACCTGATACACTCGCTCATCAGTATTCCTCGCCGGGATGAAATCCTGAGACGTGCAATTGCGTAGAAAGATCAGAAAGTCAGAGATACAAGAATGCGATGCAAAGAAAAAGGTGGTGCAGGGCGTGTGATAGCAATTACCATTGCGACTTTTGGTCTGCTTGGGCTTGTCGACTTTGGCACCCTTGACAGTGTCAGGACCAGCATCTGCCTCTACGGCAGCGGCCTTTTTGGGCACCGCTTTCTTGACGGTGTCCTTTCTGCTCGGACTGCGTGCGTGCTTGGGACGTCTGGCGGGCTCGGGCGGAGGCGGTGGAGCGGGTGCTGCTGCTGCTGCTGCTGCTGCTGATGAGGTGGGTGGCGAGTCGTGGTGGTCTCCCAGAATCGCAGAAGGGGAGGGAAATGGAAGTGGGCTGCCCTCCGCCATTTCTCAGGGCCCTCGCCGCGAGTGAGTGCGAGGAGACTGACGTCGCTGGCTCTGCGCTGCGCTGCTGCTGCGGCTGCGACAGACTCCAGAAAGCGGGCAAGTCATCCAGATGATGGAGCGCTTAGGGAAAGGCAACGAGTGTATGACAGGTGGAGCGGGCGAGCCACACGCAGCAAGCACGGGCCGGGCAGGCAAGGGAAGGGCCCCTCCAAGACACGCCAGCGGTGCGTAGTCGATGTGCCGCGCAGAGGGTTGGTGCGTGGTGGTAGTGGCGCCTATCAGCAGAAAAAGCTAGAATGCCCGCAGAGTGCAACAGTGAGTCATTGCCGACGCCAGCGGCTGCAAGCAGCACAACATCCGCCGTCCGCTGTCCGCTGTCCGCTGTCCGCTGGCCGCTGCCCTCCCACTTCCAAGCAACAGGCCCAAGCAGCAAGAGTGGCGCGCCTCGCTGATGCTCCTGCCGAGTTCGCATCGCTCTCGCCTCTCCAGGGTGGATACGTAGCACTGCATATTCTGAGTGCAGCAGCTGGAACGGTTCGCGCGCCTGGAAAATGTCAAAAGCCGCCCGACGCGCCCACTCTCTCGCTAACTCGACGGCCTCGTGCACCCACTGGATGATTCTCTCACAGCTCTGTCATTGTGACACTCTGCATCGAACATCGCCTGTCCGCTCGCCACCGTCGCCCACCAGCCGCGCGCCGCCGCCTGCCCCTCCTGAGCCCTCATTCT